CACCGTAAATTTATCAAAACAAGTTCATCAGAATTCGGAGGGAATTTTCGAATGTGATTACGCAGCTGCAATTATTCATCGCGATGAAAAATCTCGATGAAATTTACCGTGCAAACGCCCGATAATGTCGTTGATTTCGAATTTCCACTCTTTCTTAATGATACTGTCTGTGTAATTAATAGAGGTACATTTCCAGCGTATCAAGTGTATCGTTAATTATGAAACTTAATTTTTCAAATGTGTTTAACTAACCCATTTGTATGATAAAAGTACTCTAATTTCTTATTACTATTCGCCTTAGCATTGCTTTAATTATACACGGTAATTAACGATGATTTATAATTGTTATATAACCCGGAGTTTAATTTCAATTTCCGGCTCGAAACACCTGAATAATTACCAGTAGGAAACTATAAAACGAAACGTTACTCTATATACAGCAGAAAAAAATCGTTAATACACTCGTAAAGGGACCGGTAAAACCCGATGTAGTTGGAAATTCGCCATCAAAACGTTGTAATTGTAAACGATTTACTTGCAAGAGGTGTTCTACTAAGTGCTCCGGGTATTCCTTTAATAATTATCTTCGTTTACTTCGATCACAAAGTGTCGAGATAATTAACTGGAAATCGCGTTGTGAACTTTGTGCAACATACAAATCGTTAGAAATAGATACTTTAGTGTAGCTAGCAGTTGGTTAATTAAATGTACGATTATTAATAATATCTAATAATTTTTAGCGCCGATTGAATCGATAGATCTATTCCATTCGCAAAATTTAACGAGGCTTTCGAACGAAATATTAATTAAAACCGTCCGGTTGGTATTGAACGCGATAATGCATTCTTCAATAGCTGCATTCGAAATTTCCGGGCCCTAATGATAAACATTTAACCGGAGAAAATTCCACATGGAATCCCCCCCCACGAACAACGACAATTAAAACGTCATGGGTCACACAATGGAGATATTTCTACTATAAAACCGCATCGGGCGTTAAGGAATTTAATAAATTTATGCCTCGAAAACTGGCCCTCGTTTTTTTTTGTAATAAATTCAAGGCTGTTGGGAAAAATAGATGTGTAAATGTATACAACATTTTCCAGTTGATGTATCCTAATTATCTAGTAGAATAGAGATGTGGTTTTATTCTACTAGCACTCGGCTAATGAGAGATTTATTGATTTATATAAAACGCATTGAATCGGATCTCCATTGATGGGAGTTTCCCCTCCGGGTTATCTGCAATGTAACAACTCCTCTTGATCGTTATTTTGTATTCGAACGTGCCTGTTAGGATGTTCTGGTCGAGATAAATCACCCCGGAAGATTTTCTGTTACTCGATTCCGAATTGTAGTGGCCCTTTTAAGACCTTCCGGAGAGCGTGGTAAAGATGAGAGTGTTTTAGAATTATTTCGGTGCTTGAATTGGATGTAAAATGTTCGATTTAAAATGCGATCCTTTAATCACTGGCGTCGGAGATTGGATATTGGGTTTTGGATGATTTTAATCGATCGCCGGAAATTATTCCCAGTTATAAAGCTTTTGGAATTTAATGCGAATTGGAGTAGGAATAGTGCATTATAAAAATAGTTTTTGCATGTAAAGGTTTCGGTTTCGAATCGCTGATGTTAGAATTGTCTAATTCTGCTAACTAGTGTCTGAAAATGGGCCGGGATTAAATGTGGGGGACCTCAAATTCTAATTAATTTAATCCGGCGAGTTGAGTTGAAACCGTGAAATTGAGTTTAATTTCTTTTTTTTGTGAAAGATTGGGTGGATGTTCGTTAAGATGAAATTCGTTTAGGCGTTCTTCGTTTCGCCACTTTCTGGCATGAAAATTAGAATTTATTATTTGATACTTTCGACCAAAGTGGAGGTAAAAAAACAACAGGAGAATAAATAATCGTTTTATCGAGCTTTACGAATTAATTATAATTCCGTCGAATCTGCTTTAAAATTTATATAATAAGTAATTTGCATTCATTAGCAAATTTATTCGTTCTCATCAATACAGAAATCACGTATTCCACATTAAACCCTCCATAATCTCGTCGAACGAATCAAATGAATCCCCTTGCAGATGCAGACTCATCGTTATATATTATAACTAGACGAAATCTAACTTTGAAACAGTTCACAGAAATGTCTCTACTATACTAATACAACTCCCGAGTGCAGTTTCGCGTCATTTACAATTCTAATTTTACTCGATTTCATAACATGAATAAGATATCTACATGTACAAATTTACCATTCTTCAAACATCAAAAGTACACTTCCAATTTATCTCCGAACCCTCTTCACAAGCGAATTATCCTTATTACAACTTTTAATCCAACTTCTGTTATCTTACCAAGAAATTTTCATGAACTGAATTAACTACATTTTTTTTTATTATCAGGATAGAAGTAAAGATTAATCGCCTATCAATAACATCGTAGATTATTGATCGGTTAATGGGATAAATCTGAACCCATCGCTGGTTCAAGTTCGGAATATAATTAAGTCCTAAACATCGCTAATTGAGGGAAGTTTGGAGAAGGGAACGCCACTTATACTGACTGTAATCTCTGAAAAGGGGAGTTTAGTTTTGGAAAGGCGGTCTAACGAAGGATTTGCCTCGCTTAAATAAAATAATCCATCCCAAAGGTAGGGCGAAGTTAAACGTTTCGAGAGCTGCGACTTGTGCTCTATTCGAAATTATTTGCATATTATTAAATAGCGGACGTCCTAAATACATAATGATGTATTTGTGGAAAAAGATTCCGGAAAAAAATGGTGTTTATTCGTAATTGTTTGGGAGCAAATAAACCACAACAAAGGGTATTAAAATGAGTGATGTCTCGCGAATATAATTTGATACAAAACTCCGCTTTGACTTCGTAATATCGTTCATAGGAGGACGGGTGAAATAAATATTTGTTATCTGATGTTCGAAGGTTAAAAAAATCTGTTTTCTCTTCGCTGTGGAAAGGCAAATGGCGAAAAGTTGGGCGTTTGTCATTGACGAATATCGCCGAATTGCGATGTTATTTTATTCATGAATCGCGCTCTCAATAAAATAAGATTGCGACCGCAGGAGGGAAAAAAAGCCGAAATCGACGAAAAATTTCGAAAGTTTCAGCGGAATGAGATGAGGAATATCGATAAAGTTTTTCCTGCTACCGATGTGTCGATTTGCATTTCGAATTCTACATGAAAATCGTGCATTTCTAATGAGATTATTTAGTTTAGTTACACTATTTAATACATTCTTACCAATTCACGAGAATTAAAATGAATAGAGCTGATGAAAAAAAGCCAAATCGTCGAAAAATTCCAAAAGTTTCAGCGGAAATAGATGAGAAATATTAATAAACTTTTTCCTGCTATTTAAATATCGATTTGCATTTCGAATCCTACATGAAAATCGTGCATTTCTAATGATATTATTTAGTTTAGTTACACTATTTAATACACTCTTACAAATTCGCCGGCATTAAAGCGAATATACCTGATGAAAAAAAAAAGCTTTCTCTCCACTTGGCGCGATTCCATTTAAGCATTTAATTCTCGTTTCGCGAACGGGCCTCGTTTAGAAAACAAGATAGTCGAGAAAATTTGATGGGCCACTTTGCACATTCGAATTTCCCTGAGAGCATTCCCGAAGATAACCTAGCCGGTTATCTCGGTGCATGTAACTAATAGCGCGACAATTTATCGAAGAATCCTCCGAAGAATCCTCCACAATGGAGTCTTATCTGCGAAAATTTAAACGGGAGCAGCTCCGAGGCGAGTTACAATATTTTTATTTCACCTTAATGGCGATTTTTCCGCCGGCGTTTTCAGCTGATAATTTTCGCGTTATTAAACTTGTTAGTTTCTTCTAATGTAATGAAAATATCGTTGGATTTCGCGCGATTATTTTTGTTGATAAACTCTTTCGCTGCGTTCGAAGTTCGAAAGAATCCCGGCAATTTCCTGAGCTGGTTTTGCACCTCTGAGTTGCCTCATTAACAATTCAGAGGTAATTACCGTTTCGGGAGAACTTCCCTTCTTGTAAATCGAAGACCTGAAAATTGGGTTACCGACGACTGTAAAAGTTTCACAGCATTTTCACTGGCAATTTCTGGTCTCTTTCATTCAATTCCTGCGAAATTGGTTAAATGCAACAATAGGTACAATTATTCTACTGGGTACTATACAGTTTATAGATTTTTTTTGATGCAGAATGATCGTTGAATAAAGCTCTTGTGCCATTAGGTTACTGATGATAGTAAAAGTTTCCAGCATTTTCCCAGCCAATTTCTGGTCTCTTCCATTCAATTCCAGCGAAATTGGTTAAATGCAACAATAGGTACAATCATTCTACTGGGTACTAACAATTTATAGTTTTTGATGTAGAATGATCGTTGAATAAAGCTCTTGTTCCATTAGGTTACTGACGATAGTAAAAGTTTCCAGCATTTTCCCAGCCAATTTCTGGTCTCTTCCATTCAATTCCAGCGCAATTGGTTAATTGCAACAATAGGTACAATTATTCTACTGGGTACTATACAGTTTATAAATTTTCCTGATGCAGAATGATCGTTGAATAAAGCTCTTGTTCCATCAGGTTACCGACGATAGTAAAAGTTTCCAGCATTTTCCCAGACAATTTCTGGTCTCTTCCATTCAATTCCAGCGAAATTGGTTAAATGCAACAACAGATACAATTATTCTACTGGGTACTATACAGTTTATAAATTTTCCTGATGCAGAAAGATCGTTGAATAAAGCTCTTGTTCCATTAGTTTACCGACGATAGTAAAAGTTTCCAGCACATTCCCAGCCAATTTCTGGTCTCTTCCATTCAATTCCAGCGCAATTGGTTAATTGCAACAATAGGTACAATTATTCTACTGGGTACTATACAGTTTATAGATTTTCCTGATGCAGAATGATGGATAAATGAAACTCTTGTTGCAGCTATTTTCCTGTTGCAGAATGATCGTTGAACAAAGCCTCTTTGTTGCAGCTCCGCCGGGTCACCTCATAAAGCTCGACTTCAGAGATTGGTTCCACATCGAGTACAGTCCCAACTGCAAGAATGACTACCTGGAGGTGCGCGACGGCGCCCACGGTTTCAACGTGCAGCTGCACAAACCCTTTTGCGGGAAAACCTTTCCGCCGATGATGACGTCCAGCGATCGCTACCTTTGGATCCACTTCAAGTCCGACGAGAACATCGAATTCGCCGGATTCAAGGCCGTTTTCGAATTCATCCGGAGACCTGCAGGATGTGAGTAAACTGCTGCAATATTTTTACGTTGTTTTTTAATATTCGCTGACCGGCCGTGTGGGGAACGAAACGAAATAGATTGCAACGGAGCAGGAGCGTAGGGAAAGGGTTTACTTGGTTAAAAATAATTGTCGAAGAATGTGGTTTTGTTGATTAATACCAATCGATTCATCGAGGTGAATTAACTTAGATCTCTTCTGGGATACTCTTTGGAGGATTCATTAACACCAATTGACTCATCAAAGTGAATCAACTTAGATCCCTTCTGGGATCCTCTTTGGAGGATTGAGATCACTCTGCGATAGATTTAACGAGGAATTTTTTCTCTGTTGATTAACACCAATGGACTCATCAAGGTGAATCAACTTAGATCCCTTCTGGGATCCTCTTTGGATCACTCTGTGATAGATTTAACGAGGAATTTTCTCTGTTGATTAACACCAATCGACTCATCAAGGTGAATCAACTTAGATCCCTTCTGGGATCCTCTTTTGGAGGATTGAGATCACTCTGCGATAGATTTAACGAGGAATTTTTTCTCTGTTGATTAACACCAATGGACTCATCAAGGTGAATCAACTTAGATCCCTTCTGGGATCCTCTTTGGATCACTCTGTGATAGATTTAACGAGGAATTTTCTCTCTGTTGATTAACACCAATCGACTCATCAAGGTGAATCAACTTAGATCCCTTCTGGGATCCTCTTTTGGAGGATTGAGATCACTCTGCGATAGATTTAACGAGGAATTTTCTCTGTTGATTAACACCAATCGACTCATCAAGGTGAATCAATTTAGATCCCTTCTGGGATCCTCTTTTGGAGGAATTTTTGTGAAATTTTCCCTTCCCGAAGGCGCTGCAATGGGAATCGAGTCGATCCATTCGGAGCACCTGCTGAAAGGGGATCAATCAGTCGGATCGGTTGTTTCGGTGGAAAAAAAATCGTCCGGTCGTTGGATAGAAATTGTTGCCATAAACTTTAATAAAGGCGCCTAAGCTTTTGTCATGGCGTCGAAATGGAGCTTTATGGGTCCTGTTTGGGCTCTACTCGAACCATCGCTTTGCTATTTTTCCACCATCGGAATTCCGGATATTCGCGGCGGGGTTTTAATTAAAACTGGTCAAGTGAATCGGGTTTCGTTTTATGAAGAAAACAGCAATTTTTATGTGATAATATTACCATTAATAGCTCTATAATTAATGCGATTTTCGCTGTTTAATCGACTGGAGATTGTTAACGATTAAATAAGACTAATTCCACAGATAATAATTAAACTACTCGATATAAATCGACAGGTGTATCGCCCGAGATAAATCCATTGCGATTATTTCAGCCAAAACTCCTGAAGCTCGACCTTGCGTTATGGATTTCGAAAATTTGAACGAAGAAGAATTCGGAAAAGTCGACATCGACAACAATACATTGGACTTTTACATCGACAACGAGCTGCCTATAGATTGCTTGTGGTCGATAACGGTGAGAGAAGGATGGAGGGTAAGTTTGGAATTTGAAAATTTAGATATCACAAAATTCATTTAACCGAAAATTCACGTTAATAAAAGGACATTTCGTCGGCTAAAAATGGGTATTTGTTTGGTTGCAGATCTACCTGCAATTCTCGGAATTCTCGCTGGAAAAGCCCAACGATTGCACCTACAATTTCGTTCAAGTTTTCTCCGGGAAAACCGACATGGCTTCGAACGAAAAAGAGTTTTGCGGTTCGATAGCTGATACGGTTACTTCGAAAGGAAATCGAATGTTTGTTCGATTTTTTTCGGAATCGAAGGGAAAGAAAACGCTTTTCCTGGCGAATTTTACAGCCTTCAGAGATCTCGGACCGGGTGAGTTAAAATTAAAAATCTAGTATGGTTTAATCTGTAGTTTAATTTAGCTCGAGTGCAGTTGATACATTAGAGCGATCGCTCGTAAAATAACTTTATAGCATCCATCAGATATCGACTTTAGTGAGAAAGGTTAAAAAAAACTCGAGTGCTATGCAATAATCTTGGAAATTTCAAACCTACAAAGAAGATTTATGGCTTGGTTGGTTTGATGTAAAGCAGTATTTTTGTTAAATTTGACGAGTACTAAAATATCCACAGCATATTTTTTTGTTTTTAATATAAAGTAATCGGTAAAAGTGAAAGAGGATTCAATCACTTCAATCGATAGTCTCGAACTTCATCCGATTCGGGCTTCAAAAGATTCCCTCGTATTTTATTTCTGGAAGGGAAAAAAAATATATATGGTAGTAAAAAGTGTCTTATTTCACTCACAATCGAAGTGGACATTGACTGACGGAAATTTATTTTATTTTTATCCCCTTTCGAAATGAAGTTCTTTGGATCTGGGCTCGTTGAAAGTTGTACTATTGATAGAAGTTTTGCTTGAAGTAGATCAGAATGTGGATTTGTTTCGTTACAGCGAAGAATTTGAAGTGCAACGAAGAGACGGAGTTCGATTGTGAGGATGCAACTTGCATCGATAAAGATCTAAAATGCAATCAGAAATATAATTGCAGGTTTAGATGGGACGAAGAGGACGAAAGTTGTTTGGTAAGTTTCGCTACATTCGCCTAATTTTATACCGAAATAAATAAATTTCGAAGTTGTCTATTAAAGAGAACTTTGAATTGCTGTTTTTCGGGAAATATTCGAGGAGTTTTCGAATATCGCGGTTTAAATAGGAACCGCAAGAATGCATTTATTCCATCTCCGGATTCAAGTTTTCAATAAAAATTCAATTAAATTAGCAATCGCCTTGAAAATTCCTGGTAAACTTCCATAATTCTGTTAGGGTCTTGTTGCAACCTCGACTTCGAAAAGCAATTACTGGAGATTTTTAGAGTTCCAAAGTTTAATATCTCACTGAAATGCTTGATAAATCTCACAGTCTTAATTCTGAGTGATTGATTTCTTTAATGAAGCGACTAATGAAGTTACTAATTAGATTACTTCTTAAAAAAATTCGATATAGAATTATGAGAATTGAACTTATTTTGTGCCTATATTTTAGGATTTTTCTAGATAATTTTCTTCTATGAGTTTCTAACAGAAAATGTACAGTTCTTATTTTTGTTTAGGTAATAAAACTGCAAAAACTCACAGTCTTAATTGCGAGTAATTGATTTCTTTAATGTAGCGACTAATGAAGTTACTAATTAAATTACTTCTCAAAAAAAATTCGATATAGAATAATGAGAATTGAAAATATTTTGTGCCTATATTTTAGGATTTTTCTGGACAATTTTCTTCTATGAGTTTCTAACAGAAAATGTACATTTCTTATTTTTGTTTAGGTAATAAAATTGCAAAAACTCACAGTCTTAATTTCGAGTAATTGATTTCTTTAATGTAGTGACTGATGAAGTTACTAATTAAATTACTTCTCAAAAAAATTCGATATAGAATAATGAGAATTGAAATTATTTTGTGCCTATATTTTAAGATTTTTCTGGACAATTTTCTCCTATGAGTTTCTAACAGAAAATGTACAGTTCTTATTTTTGTTTAGGTAATAAAATTGCAAGTTTATTTTGCAGAAAATTGCGGTATAGGCATAAAAGTTTCTTCAATCCACCTATTTACTTGTAAAACAAACTTTTACAATATCAACTTCGAAACTTCCAGTTGTTCTAGGAATTTGTAACATTTTCAAATATTTTTGTGGTTTACCAACAATTTTAATATGTGATATACATCATCACCGGATGGAACGAAATAATAAAAATGTATCGATATTCGTATAACATCTAGATTTGGTGAAAAAAATCGATGAAAACGCCGCAGTTTGCATTTATAAATGTATATATACACTTTGTTTAACAACTTCAACTATAAATCACCTCCCGGTTTGCAGATTTAACGGATGTGTCAGTCATTTAAATTGCCAAGAATGATGAATGATGAAAATGTTAGTCTTGCTTTATACCTACTAATTACTTAAATAAACTGATAAAAAAATTGATTATATTTTTTTGGGCAGGTTACACAATCGAAGACTTGGTCCGGGGACCACATCATCATCATCATGGTGATTTTTTCGCTGATACTCACAGGGATGTGTCTCACGTTTATATACAATTGCATCACCAAATTAATCAGGGATCACAGGACAATACAGGTGAGTCACGAAAAATTGTTATAAAGGAGATATTTTTTCGCAAACTTCTACGCTATTTCTTTCGGGAAACTAAACGGGGAATATAAAAAAAAGGAAGAGGAAAAGTCGGAAAAACTCTTCCGCGCCAGTTAACGTCTAATAAAAATTAATGTAGCGAATATTATCATAATTACAGCGCTCTTTTATACGGGGAACGGCCATTTATCTCTACCCGTCAATTGTTTTACCATTTAAAAAAAACAAAGAAAATTTAGTCTTTATAACTTTAATAAGAATTAATGGGGGTTTCATATTCTCGGTCATAGGCGGGTGGGTTGTTTTTTGCATATTTCGCTAATATGCTAGGGGGGAGTTTATATGAAATTCCGGAAGATTAAACTAAGGTAGAGTGGGGCAAATTTGAATAGTTCAAATTAAATCCTAAAATGTGGATTTATTTTTTTTTTATTAGAAATGCTGATACTGCATTAAATTCACGACTTACTAAACTAAAGAATCGAGGTGTTAAAAAGTTTTTTTTGAAAAGGAAGAAAACGATTTTACATATTTTTTAAAATGTTGACAATATGTTACATTTACCCCATTTACATTTACCCCCGTTCTAAAGAGACAATACAATTATATAGAAAAATATATTAGGCAATTGTAAATACATATTTGGTTTCTCTAAAATTTGATATGCTATTTATTTATTTATTTCAAAAAATAACAGAGCTACAAAATAATAAAGAAAAAATAAGAAACAAACCCTGTCTAATGCACAAAAGAACTATAAAAATAATAAAAACATTAACATAATAGGTAAAAATATTACATTTACCTCATTTTTACATTTTCCCCAATCTACCTTATCGAAATTAATATAGAAATGTTCATTATTTGCATTAAAATTCTATCTTAAATAAAGCCACATAATCGTATAAATTTTCAAGTATTTTAAAGACCAGTTTATTTAAAAATTGTTTGAAAATTAAAGTGGCATCTAACAATATTGAATCATACAAATCCCAATTTTAGTATTTGGGTTTAAAACCAATAAGTTTGTTATTTCAATAATTGTGTTTAATGCACTGTTTATATTCACTTTTACTCCATGATTTATTTTACTGATAGGTATAAATATAATAAATAAATAGGTAAAAATATTACATTTACCCCATTTTTACATTTGCCCCAATCTACCTTACATCATTATTGCAACTCCGAATCATCGCGAAAACTTTGCAAACTGTTATATTTTATAACGAAAAAAAAAATAAATAAATAACCCCCTCCGATTAATTCCGCGGGCGTTCGTGGGAGGTAAAAATCTCAAAAAAATTAAACTCGCCGAGTGATAATTTTGATTAATCGCCCACCTGCGAAATTAATAACACCCCGGGAAAGTTTAAGTCTTGATTAGCCTTTTATTCTTTCGTTTATTACGCGCGATTTTTCGCGCTATTTAGCCCGACAACGAGATTGTTGCATTAAAAAAAAACCATCCACAAAACCGGTTTTAAACTATTGGGCAACTTTCGCTGACGATCCGGTCCTGATAACTCGACGAACAATGGCGTTAATCACAAACAATAGGCGTAAAATTACACCGAATTTAGCGATAAAGTTATTAGGCTGTTGAGGTCCTGGAGGATTAATACGAGGAGACTGGCGATGCATATAATGCATGAAATCCTTCATCAATGGTGCAAGGACAACAATTCTACCATGATTTTGAACGAAGATCTTTGAATGAGGTCCCTTTGAGTAGCTTTAGATGCATCGTTGGTTAATTATTGGAGTAAACAAGAGCTCGAGTACTGTAGCTGATTAAATCTTGTGATGTTATCTATCTTATAGATGAGCCAAATTAATTGAATATTTATAAAAGTATTCCATTCAAAAATGTTTTGTTTATTAGTTGAAATGTTACTGGTCAGTTATTATTTAAAATTTCTTTTGTTAAACTGATTTTTCATCGTGAGATCTTCATTAAAATTTCTCCTGTCTTCAAATTTTGTACTTCTGTAAATCCAAAATCTTTCAAACTGCTGCGAAAAATTGTTTTTTTAAATTTCAACTTTGGCACTTTTTTATTTTCAATATTTTATTGAAGCAAATTGGGTCAAATCGTTATATTTTGATGCCCAGAATCTTCCCTTTCACTTTTGGACCATCCTGTATATACACTCTCAAAAATGTTTTGCATAAAAGAATAAACAATTAGTACAACGAATTATTTGTAAAATTACTCATCAAAATTAGTATCCAAAACATCATTTAAAATTAACAATTCAACAAACAACATGCAAAACATTTTTGAGTATGTGTATTCAAATAGGAAAAAGGGTTGTTTGGTAAAAGAAGAAGATGAAAATTTCGCAATAACCCGAAATGGGCACCGTTAATTACTTAAATTTACATAATCCTGTGTGAAATCCTGTAGAGACCTCGGGGGAATCCAGTTTAAAAGGATTACAACATTTATGTGGCTGTTAACAATAAAACCAATTTATTCCTTGCAGTTTTATTAAAATTTATTCAACCCCCACTCGCCATATCTTTGAAATTCCTTCAAATAACGCCTAGTAAATTGAACATTTCACTTTTTCTCGGCTTTCCCAAACTCCATCGCTGTTTACCTTTCCAAATATTGTATTGTTTGGTTCATGGTTTGTTGCTTAGAACATTGAGAATCCTCCACGAGTACAGTTTTATCCATTGGACCGTGTAATTTGTTTACCCACTCGCTATTCCCTCGACATTAAATCGATCTGTTCGGTGGATGCATTTAGAAACTTTTTAGTATCTTCATTTCGATATTTCTTTTAAGTACATCGAAACCCATTAACGCTGAATAAAATAAATAAATCGAACGAGAACACGACCTTTTAGTGGGTACCTATTGTTGATAGAACGGCGTGAGATGTTAAAAATAATGAAATTTTATATTGGCAATATTCTCGAGGGTTTTTTCCATCTTCGAAGGTGCACCTTTTTCTAAAATACACAACAACAGGGCCGTAAAATGGCCGGAATCAAATTTTAACTCAATACCAACTGGGTAAAAAAAACACAAATCGATGACTATAGGCGGTTCTTTTGTGAATTTATTTAAATTGGAAAATAAATTCCGATACTTTCGGTTCTTTTTCTCCACTACAAATTGATTACTACTACTTATTACTTTCAACGAGGTCTTTTCCTATTTATATTATTCTAAAATCGGTCAATTTTAGTCATATAGAAGCATTATATTCAATTAATATTAATGGATAATTCACACAATACAATATAGTGTCTAACTAAGGATGCATCATTGCATTTAACTCTAAACATTTATAGATTTGAAATACATTTGATTGAATTAAATGGTGAGAATAATAAGGAGCTTGTTGTCAAAGTTCTCCTGCAGGTTCGATGAATTATTGATGCTCCCGATTGTGTAAATAGAATATTAATTAAGTCCTAAACTAGCTGATTAGAGTTGTGAGACCGGTCCATGTCTTATCTCGTAACGGTTCAACAAATATGGGTTTGGAATAATTAATAGCTTTAGGGCTATTTCGGCATTAAATTTTAATGCTAATATTTCGGCAATTAATAGAACTAAAAATGGTTTTTGTGATCGGAAAATTCGAATTGTGGAGTCTCTGTAATTTCATGTAGTTTTTCTTTTTTTTCAAGTTTTTATATTTCGTGGAAACGTATGTGATATGTTCTCTCTACCTTTTGTACTTATTCATGTGAATTAAAATCTACATTTCGGTGAAATATTCCGATGATTATTGCTGGTTGAGAAAATTCCTAGTTTTCATTTAAATTCAAAATAAACCGTCGAGAAAACCCTTTTGCAATTGGAAAACCTGCAGGATAAAATTTTATGTAGCCAATATGAATACATAGTTTGTTACAATAAAAAAAAATCCCCCGGTATTATTCTTGTTACTAAGGTAGAGTGGGGCAAATCGGTTGTAAAATTTGAATAGTTCAAATTAAATCCTAAAAAGTGGCTTTATTTTTTTTCTTATTAGAAATGCTGATACTACATTAAATTCGCGACTTACTAAACTAAAGAATCGAGGTATTAAAAAGTTTTTTTTAAAAAAGGAAGAAAAAGATTTTGCACATTTTTTAAAATGTTGACAATATGTTACATTTACTCCATTTACATTTACCCCCGTTCTAAAGAGACAATACAATTATATAGAAAAACATATAGGGACAATTGTAAATACATATTTGGTTCCTCTAAAATTTGATATGCTATTTATTTATTTATTTCAAAAAATAACAGATCTACAAAATAATAAAGAAAAAAATAAGAAACAAATCCTGTCTAACGCACAAAATAACTATAAAAATAATAAAAAAACATTAACATAATATGTAAAAATATTACATTTACCCCATTTTTACATTTGCCCCAATCTACCTTATACAATTCCACTTAAACTTACAAATTACACGGTCGAACGATAGAAGAAAAGACTAGCTAAAAGGGCGTAAATACCTCTCCGATCGCCTGTCCATTTCAACCGATTAATTTGCAGGAAAAGTTATTCGATTTCCCCACAAAAAAAAAGGGAAATGGGCGAGAACTACACGCTCGAACCTCCTGCAACGAGACAATTAGTTTTACCGAAGCGAATTTCAATCGAAACGAGGTCCGAATCGAACCCGAACGTGACCGATATTTGCACCGGTTCGAATGTAGTTTCAGGTGATCTACATCCCCGTTCGATTCGTCCATTAGCGACTCCTAAGTTCAGGAATTTTCGCGTGGAAAATTCGATTCCATACCGGCCAAACATGACGGATTTCCACCCAGTTTAATAACCCTAACTTAGACCAATATCGATACGATTTCTGAATGTAATTCCTCCACAAACTCGCGCTCAGAAGTGTTTACACTCGACCTCATCCAAACTCCTCCACCGCTTATTTTAGCGTTGACAAAAATTGACCAAAAAAAAAAACCCAAAACCATCTCTCGATGACGCTTCAAACAACAACCTCTTCGCAGGAATACATCAGGCAAAGCCGCGAGCAGCAGCTCAACGAGCTCGAGAAGCACCACCAGCTCGACCAACGATCCATCAAATCCAGATCGCGCAGCTCCCCTTCGGAACCATCCCCCAATCGCTACGACTCCTCCAACCACCAAGTAACATCTTCGACGCCTTGCTACGTCCCGGGCGGCGACGTCCTTCCCATACTCGTCCGCAACGAGCACAGCCTCAGCCCGTCGAGCGACGCCTGCGACGCCAACATTTACACGGTAAAAAATCTAAAAAATCCATCCCTAATCCACCAAAAACCATCACTTTTGAAGCGCCCCATTAACCCCCTTGCAGGTGGACGATGAGGGTTTACCGCAGACGTGCGACAGCGCCTGTCAGACGCGCGAGAGCCTCTTCACGGCGCACGCCTACAGCTCGGGCAATTCGACGCCCAGCCGCAGCGTCCACGCCAACTCGCCGCCGGCGCCCTTCAGCACGTTCGGCTACAAGAAGGACAGGGATAAGGAGACAGGGAAATTCAGGGTACGTCTTTGAAATCGGTGGGCTCTTCCATCGTTGGGCTGTTTTATAAGAGGCTCTTCCATCATTGGGCTGTTTTTATAAGGGGTTCATCCATCATTGGGCTGTTTTTATAAGGGATTCATCCATCATTGGGCTGTTTTATAAGAGGCTCTTCCATCATTGGGTTGTTTTATAGGAGGTTATTCCATCATTGGGCTATGTTATAAGGGTTTTTTTTCATCATTGGGCTATGTGATAAGGGTTTTTTTCATCGTTGGGCTGTTTTATAAGAGGCTCTTCCATCATTGGGCTGTTTTATAAGAGGCTCTTCCATCATTGGGTTGTTTTATAGGAGGTTATTCCATCATTGGGCTATGTTATAAGGGTTTTTTTCATCATTGGGCTATGTTATAAGGGTTTTTTTCATCATTGGGCTATGTTATAAGGGTTTTTTTCATCATTGGGCTGTTTTATAAGAGGCCCTTCCATCATTGGGCTGTTTTATAAGAGGCTCTTCCATCATTGGGCTGTTTTATAAGAGGCTCTTCCATCATTGGGCTGTTTTATAAGAGGCTCTTCCATCATTGGGCTGTTTTTATAAGGGGTTCATCCATCATTGGGCTGTTTTATAAGAGGCTCTTCCATCATTGGGCTGTTTTTATAAGGGGTTCATCCATCATTGGGCTGTTTTTATAAGGGGGGGCTCTTCCATCATCGGGCTGCTTCGACGGGGTACCGATTGTAAAGGCTTGTTGCATGAAAACGCGGCCAATTTCGTTGTTAGTTTGCTCGAAAGGGCTACTGTAGGTGGGTTTTTTTCTACTGTGTGTTACAGGCGGAGGCGAAAATCGAGATGAGCAGGTTGGAGGAGAAGAATAGAAGGCCTTACAGCGTGCAAACGACGAAATCGGCGCCCGACGTGATCGTGACCCACTGACATTGCGATCATGTCGATTGGGAGCCTTATCGAAGGAGGTATCCGCGTCGGATCGATGGAGAAGTCTCCACGGAGGAGATGGGACTCCGCGGAACGGATGGGACTCAATGTTTAGATAATGATTTTTTTTATACGAGGTAAATTAGGTAGGTTTTGAGGCGATCGTGAGGGAATCGTTCTGTAGGTAGAAATCTATCTGCGATTGATGCGTTTTGATTTGTAAATTATACGAATTCGAAAATGTCTGTAATTTCTAATAAATTGCTGATGAATTTTTTTTGTATTTTTGCTCGAGAATTGGAGCACCGGACAATCGAAAGTGGATGAATGGATATAATACGTTTACTCGAAAATTAAGTGGGGTTTTTGTTTGGTTTTTGAAACATCGGTTTTTACTATTAAATAGCGAATTGTGGGAAATATTCGATCTAGTTTCTAGCAATTATATCGGTAATTCGTTTTTGAATTTGAATCATCATCGTTTGTGATTTTTTTCGAAAATTGTATTGCAATTGCACCAATTTTAATTCGGGGACTTTAATCTCTTGATTTTATGTAAATACATAGTTATGTTATTGACAATTTTATTGGCTCGTTATCGGAAAGAAATTGATAATTATAATTGTATTAATACGCGCTCAGTTAAATTTATTAATTAGTTAAATAAATTAAACGGTGGACTGAAAATTAATTTGTATGGGATTTAAATATTGTTATATATATATAAATATAATTTATAGCATCGACCGGTGGAGTACTTATAGCATTTTGTTGGAAGTTTCCTAAATTTTACTCCGCATTTTCAAACACTAATTAAATGTAACTAACTTCACTGAATACTTATATAAATGTTATATGTTATACTTTGCTTGTACTTAACAACAAAACGTGAAATGAATGTAAACAGGCTTTTTACCATTTCAAATGGATCAAATGAATGTTGAAAACTATTGTAAAAAAAAAACTATTAGAGATGTTCACAATAAAATCAATCAATCTTGCATATTGTATGCGTGTAAATTGCATGCAAGTTTCATTGCAAAAATATTTATAACTTGTAAATTTTACTTTGTGTTAAGCGTTAAAAAAAACACTAAAATAAAAGCGATGATACCCCTAAACACCTTGTATATTATATTCCCGTACATAATACATTCAAGTCAATGGAAAATAAAATTTACCGAAGTTACCCGAACGTAGTTTCATTCTCCCATTATATTCGTTTTAAATTCTAACAAGCATTGCATTAGGCCCGTTTAATGCATCAAATGTATGGATCGATATTCGAATTAAAAGTTTTAATTATTCCTTTTTCACCGCGCGATCTAAAAAGTAAAAAATTGCGAATGCAATTCGAACTCTAACTCTAACTACTCTATCAAAGGGCTTTGATTTAACAGGCGCAGGTAACAAATTTCTAATATTAACAGCCAATAGGTTAGAGCATTTGCTAGTTTTTTTTAAATGCATTAATTTAAGCGAGTTGAGGCTTCGTTTATTTCGGTTTGAGAAAAGTATAATACAGGGAAATAACCTCCAGGTAATAGAAGAACATTTGTTCAGGACCCGGCGAAATTTTCGAGCTAAGCAAACACCCAATCTCCATTCCGATAAATATGAGTTTAGAGCGTTTTAGAGCCACTTGAGCGTGTCATTTTGTGCAAATAGTATATCAAGTTTCGGGAGGTTTGTCTAATAAATCCAGAGGTGAATAAATTACTCGAAATTAAACAAAAAAAGGACGAGTTCTCGTTAAGGATAAGTACACAGTTTTATTGTTTAACAAAATATAAATGGGGGGAATAAAATATTCAATTTAATTCGATATTAGGCGCTTTGTTGGGCCTGTTTGTACTCAAAAACACTGCCACGTTCCAGGAACATTGTCTTATCCTGGAAACTGGAAACCCCTTGGGATCGAATCCTGTCCTGGATCTCTGACATCTCATCTTCCCTGCCGTAACCGCCTCCTCCAGGTGTGTGCAGCTGGAAAATGTCCTGAAACAAATTGATTTTCATCCTGCAATTTCGGATTTTCACCTCTAGTTTCCAGCGTAAAAGTCTGGAGAATCGGGAATTCCCTTTTCGCATAAAACGATCATTTCTTAATCAACGCGATTTCTGATCCAACATGAATGGAGAATATCTTTTTAATTGTTCCGATTCGAACAGTCGACTGGAATTAAATCGAATAGATCGGGGAGGATTCTTAGTAGGTTTATTTCTGCGAAATTAAGCGAGAAGGACTAGATGAAAATGGAATGATAAAAAATGAATGGTAATCTCGTTGCGGATGCTTCGGAATTTCGCGCGGGATCCTGCTAAGAGCAATCTAAATTCTAATTTCTTTGCTAAAAAAAAGGATTATGAAGAATAATTTTGATGTTGTTAGTATTCTCGAGTGTTTCGTAATAACAGCGTAGCGATTTTGAGTGGATATTGCGCGAATATTTGAGAAAAATGTTCAAGAAAATCCGGTAAATTAGCTGTATAACAAATGCATATATACAAAATTGTATATTTTACAACGTACTAACACAGAGAAATTTCCAACTTTATGTTTACGATTGTACAAAGTAAAAATACCTACTAGAATACGAAATACGATTATAAAATTTACAATAAAATATTCCTCGTAAACCGATACGCGGATTAGAAAAAAATTCTAATAAAACGAAATTAAATGCGAAATTTCCGCGAGTAATAAATACACCGGAATTAAACGGAGCACCTGAACGAAATATCCGTAAATTAGGAAAATTTCCGAGACGCGGTATTTCACATATTAGGCCCCCTAAAAGGCTTCGAGCATGTGAACGGGGTGCAAATTGGCCGAAATTCGGCGAAAATTGTGGCCCTAAAACGTTCGTAAAATTTTATATCTGTTATTTTAGAACGGCCACCGTATTAGGACTTTTACGATCCATTTAATTCAGAGACGCGAGAAAAATTGAAAACTTAAACATCGGAATTCTCCATTCTAAATTATTATCTTTTTTAAGATGCGTTCGATGATACATTAACGTCAATTTTGACATTGACGGAAGTTTAATAGAGATGGGAATCGATTTTTCGGTATAGAGGTGCAGTAACGACTGTTACAAAATAACCGTTATTTTTTTCTGAAAAACCTCGCGGATATCGACCAGTGACATCGTTAATACGCCTTATCTTAACGAGGCTTTAACTAAACGCCTGATTTCTTCGGTTTATCGATGTGGCATTAAGAAATGTTCGGGAAAAAAAAGGAGCCGTAATAAATATTCACCCTTGAATTATTTCCGTCCGAAATGGGGCGGAAATCTTCTTTGTTTGTCGCTGTTGCTTTGGGGCTCTATTCATTCGTAATTTAGTACGGTAAAAAATGTTTAATTATACCTGTACCCCGAATATTTATAACGTTTTAGATCGTTATTTAATTACAGGTATTCGTAGCGTTTCCTAATACAATATACGAGGAATTTTAAATATTAGGTGTTAAGTACTAATAAAGCATCTTATTAGAGATTGATTAATAATTTTAAATGTGTCTTTTTTGTACTGTACTATAAGTGGAATATGCCTGTGGTGTTGTATTTTTCTGAATGCGATTCTTTTTAAACCAAATTCCATTAACCGAGTAATCCCCCATTTACGTTTGCAAAATAAGATTAATTGGATCGGACTCCCCGAAGGAATTCCTAATTAAAATTTCCAAATAAAATAAAATAAAGAGCGACAAGCGAAAACGGACAATTGTTTGTTTATATTTATTTTTGTAATTAAAAAAAAAAGCATCTAACATTTGTAAATATATAAGAAAAAAATACTCACCCCCGGTAAAACGGGCACAGCAGTTTTGGGACCTAAATTAATCAGCCTACCATCGGATCTCAGCAACAGATTCAACCCCCTACTGCCAGGTTGCCCCCCTAAAAATACAAATTTTCACCAAAAAAAAACAACCCCTCTAACATCTCTAACAACCCCTTCATTCAGCAACTCACCATCCATCCCGTAGGGCTCCAAAACCCTCCGTTCGGTGAGAACCGATAAAGTTAGAGCCGATCGGAACAGGAGCTCTCTAACAACCCCATCGCCGCCTCTAAACCTCCCCCTTCCGCCGGTGCCCGGCCTCAAAGTGAATTTTCTCACCACCACCGGATACCTTCGCTCTAAAATCTCCATGTCCGTTATTCTCGTGTTCGTCATGTGCGTGTGAACCCCCGAACAACCGTTCCAACTCGGCCCCTAAAAGAGACAAATATAAAAAAAATTATACATTATACCCCAAAAAAAGGGTAGCTAGAAACTTGACAAAGTTTTCGCTAGAAATTGCTCGAAGAAAATCTGTAAAAAGGTCATTAAAAAGGTGTTTAATCCTCGTCGAATGTTGCTTGGTAGTTGAGGTAATATTTCGAAGTACACCTCTGTAAATTTGATTTAAATCGGATCGACTACACCACTGGAAATCATCGATTATGTTGAGTATCAATTGATCTATCGTTATCTACCCTCGCCCTTCTTAAAATTCGATACAATTTCTTCCAAATCCCAATTACCAAGGTATATTCTCGCAGACATTTTGCTACTCTCTTTAACATCGTTTTTAACATCTTTTAAATCGTTTTAAACATCTTTTAAATCGTTTTTAACATCTTAAACATCGTTTTTAACATCTATAACATCTTTCACATTGTCTTTAACATCATTAACATCTTTGACATCTTCTTTCACACCTTTAACATCGTTTTAAACATCTTTTAAATCGTTTTAAACATCTTAAACATCGTTTTTTACATCTTTAACATCTTTGACATCTTCTTTATCATCTTTACCATCGTTTTTAACATCTTAAACATCGTTTTTAACATCTATAACATCTTTGACATCGTTTTAAACATCTTTTAAATCGTTTTTAACATCTTTAACATCGTTTTTAACATCTATAACATCTTTGACATCGTTTTTAACATCTTTTAAATCGTTTTTAACATCTTTAACATCGTTTTTAACATCTATAACATCGTTTTTAACATTTTTTACCATCGTTTTTAACATCTTTACCATCGTCTTTAACCGAGTACTCACCGCTCCGCTGCCTCCAGCTACCGTTTCGTAGCAACCCCAATGGTCATCGCCGAAGGTGATGTTGTTCATGCATCCCTGGGAGGCGGCGCACACTCGGAACGCCTTCAGAACCACATCTACCACCCTCTGGGAGGTGAGAACGTTGCCTCCAACGACAGCGGCTCCATCGCTCGGATCCAGAATGGAGCCCTTCGGTATGTTTATCTTCACCGGAGCCAGGCACCCCTGCAGGAGGAATACTGTACTTCCATCCATCCAACCAATGGAGCAACCAAAACAAGGTTAGAGGTTGGATCTATTGGGTGAATTGAAGAAGCATCTTTCAACTGGCCAATCATTGGTGATCAAGCGTTTAATCTTGTTTTGGTTACTGGATGGAGTATAGTAGGGAATTCGTTTAACCAACCGGTTTAATACCGAACAAGGTGAAGTAAACCGTTCGATGCAGCTCTCCTTATTAAAAGCATTCGTTTAAAGTTCGTGCGGAAAGTAGTTAAAAATTCAAAACTCCCGCATGACGCGCAACAAGATGAAGTTAACGAGACTTCCAGCTACACCCAACTTCGCAAAGTGATTTAAAATAAATTTATATCGCCATTAAGTCCATTAGTTTTACGACACTAACGGTGTATAAATCCCGGCCGGGGAAGTTGCCGTTGCCCATAATAATTCTTCCTTAGTCCTTACCTGGTTGAGGGGCACGTCATGGCCGACCATGCATCGCAGGCAGTAAATTAAGGCCGATAGAGTTATGGCTTTGGGGGCGTTGCAGTTGCCCCACACCTCGGGGCCCGAGCCTCTGCAACAGACGGAACATATTGGAACGGAAACGGTGGCGGAAAATCGAGGAAAATCTCCAGGTGGTGAGGCTTAGTCGAACGGCTCTCGTGCTGTTTTATTTCAACGGTGAAACGACCGCGGGGAAATGTGTTGCCTCTTTTGTATTTCCGCAGGATGGGGATGATGAAGGCGGTTAAATGGATATAAAATAGATGGTGGAAAAGGTAAAAGACAGTAGAATGGATTTCGCTGGAAAGGAGGAAGAGAGTCTTCTATTTCAGCAAAATGAAGGCGGCTAAATGGAAATAAAATAGATGATGGAAAAGGTAAAAGACAGTAGAATGGATACCACTGGAAAGGAGGAAGAGAATCTTCTATTTCAGCAAAATGAAAACAGCTAAATGGAAATAAATTAGATGGTGGAAAAGTTAAAAGACACTAGAATGGATACCACTGGAAAGGAGGAAGAGAATTTTCTATTTCAGCAAAATGAAGACAGCTAAATGGTTATAAAATAGATGGTTAAAAAAACTAAAATTGATACCACTGGAAACGAGCAAAAGAATCTTCTATTTCCTCAAAATGAAGACAGCTAAATGGAAATAAAATAGATGATGGAAAAGTTAAAAGACACTAAAATGGATACCACTGGAAAGGAGGAAGAGAATCTTCTATTTCAGCAAAATGAAGACAGCTAAATGGAAATAAAATAGATGATGGAAAAGTTAAAAGACACTAAAATTGATACCACTGGAAAGGAGGAAGAGAGTCTTCTATTTCAGCAAAATGAAAACAGCTAAATGGAAATAAATTAGATGGTGGAAAAGTTAAAAGACACTAAAATGGATTCCGTTGGAAAGAAGGAAGGGAATCTTCTATTTCCTTAAAATGAAGACAGCTAAATGGAAATAAATTAGATGGTGGAAAAGTTAAAAGACACTAAAATGGATTCCACTGGAAAGGAGGAAGAGAATCTTCTAATTTCTCAAAATGAAGACGATGAAAACAGCTAAATGGAAATAAAAAAGATGATGGAAAAGGTCAAAGACACTAAAATGGATACAACTGGAAACGAGGAAGAGAATCTTCTAATTCTAAGAGATTCTTAAAGTTAAAAGACACTAAAATGAATACCACTGGAAAGGAGGAAGAGAATCTTCTAAATCCTCAAAATGAAGACAATGAAAACAGCTAAATGGAAATAAAAAAGATGATGGAAAAGGTCAAAGACACTAAAATGGATACAACTGGAAACGAGGAAGAGAATCTTCTAATTCTAAGAGATTCTTAAAGTTAAAAGACACTAAAATGAATACCACTGGAAAGGAGGAAGAGAATCTTCTAAATCCTCAAAATGAAGACGATGAAAACAGCTAAATGAAAATAAAACAGATGCTGGAAAAGGTCAAAGACACTAGAACAGATACAACTGCAACCGAGCAAGAGAATCTTCTAATTCCAAGAGATTCTTAAAGAGCACCTGGAGAGCTAAAGTTAATTCAAAAAGGCTCAGATTCCTTACGTAAAATCGCAATAAGCGGACCCATTCTCCTCATCCAACGTCACAGCCAATCGAATCCTCGACCCATCATCCATGAAATCCTCCGCCATCAACACCGACTCCCCGATCCTTCGCCTGGCCTCCCCAGCGACGGCCTTCAGCATATCTCTAACAGCCACTTCTGCATTGCTCTGGATGTGCCCCATATACGCCTGCACCACCTCCAATCCGTACTGATCGATCAGCTCCCCCACCAACGCTATACCCTTTTTATTTGCAGCTACTTGAGCTCTTACATCCGATATGTTATCGGACAAATTCCTCCCTCCGGCTTTCTTTATGGCATCGATGAAGTCCTCCTCTTGGAATTCCCCTTTGTTCACCAAGAGAAAGGATTTAAAAGCGGCTCCTTCTTGGTCCAATCTGGTGGAATGTGGAGGCATCGAACCCGGTGTGATACCTCCAATATCGGCGTGGTGGCCTCGACTTGCTACGAAGAATATCGGCTTGTTGCTAGTCCTGGTTAATACACCAAGTTACTGGTTAACCAAATGGAGGATTTGGTGATGTACTCGCCTGTGAAACACCGGCGTTATGACGGTGAAATCGGGCAAATGCGACCCGCCCGCCGACGGGTGATTGGACAAAATCACATCGCCTTCGATGAACTCCGATCGGGCGCCCATTTGGTACTGCACCGCCTCCTGCATCGCCCCCAAATGCACCGGAATGTGGGGCGCGTTGGACACCAGCCCCCCGTCGGCTCCGAACAGAGCGCAGGAGAAATCCAAGCGTTCTTTGATGTTGGTCGAGATGGCGGTGCGTTGGAGTATCCTACAACAACGTTTTAACCGATGGTTGGTGATTGTAGAGCGGAACGCTACCTGCCCATTTGCTCGGCGATGCTCATGAACCGGTGGCTGAAGATGCTCAGCTGGATGGAGTCCAATTCGGGGCCGATTGTTTTGATTCTGCCGCTGCCGATGGTGATTTTGATGTCGCCGTGGTTCGTGATGGTGGCCGAGCAATCGGGTTCGATTAGGATCGTGCTAGATTGGTCCATGATGATGGCGGGACCTTCGATGGTTTGGTGAGATTTCAGATCGCTGAGTAGGAAGATGTTGGTGGTTTGGTAACCGTTTGTGAAGTATACTTCAGCTGTGGAGTTAGGAATGGGTGGTGATTGGGATTGTTGTATAAGAGGTTCTTCTTCCAAGTCGCTTCTACCGACGCCTCTTACCTAGAAATATTGGTTTAGTAGAAGATTGTAAGTAGCTTTTAACATACTCTAATATCGTCGACGATAACGGATCTTCCCTTTATAACGAAACCGAATTCGTGTTGGTATCGTTCCGTGAAGCTTTCCAAGAAATCCTCCAAGCGATTTCCTCTTTTTCCCGGTCTACACATCAGAGCGCAATCGGTTCCATCGTACCTCATGTGCAGATACCGCTCCAACTCGATATGCTCCTCGTCGAAACCTTGATCCAGCAATTCCCGCTTACACCGCCTCCCCAAAGCCTCCAACCTCGCCTCGAAATACCCGAAATTCTCCGGCGCAAAAACCTTGGCGCTCGCCTCCTGCGCCTCGTGCACCACATCGGCCAAGGCCATGCCGTAGGCGGACAGAATACCTGCAGGAAAACCACGTTATTGTTTGGTGAAAACCTCGCTGGGGCGCCGCCTACCGGCGTACTTGTGCACGAACACCATCGACATGCCCAACGATCTGGCTATGGCGCAGGCGTGTTGGGCCCCCGCCCCGCCGAAGCAGGCCAAAACGTGGCGGGCCGTGTCGTAGCCCTTGGCCTGCGTCAGGGCTCTGATGGGGCGACACATGGCCTCGTTCGCCACCTCTACGAACCCCATGGCGACTTCCTCGATCGACATCGGAGGCTAAACAACATCGCTGTTTCACAAACATCCAGTATAAAACATTGCAACTCACTTTGTTGTTGGCTGATTGTAGCAAAAACTCGTTGATATCCTCGGTGAGTTTAGCGAATTCTTCTAAAGTTCGTCGTTTATCCAAAGGCGAATCTTCGTTGGGGCCGAAGATGTTGGGGAAATGCTGGGGCAGGAGCCGCCCCAAGGCGAGATTCGCGTCGGTGACGGTCAGAGGGCCGCCTTTTTGGTAACAAACCGGTCCAGGATGGGCTCCAGCCGATTCCGGACCCACCACGAACAAACCAGACCTACCCACAACCCACAACAATCATCTTCCAATCCAATTTACCAGATTGTAGCTCACCTGAAGAAGAGCATCGATCCTCCACCAGCAGCGACAGTATTCACATCGAGCTGGGGCGCTTGTATGGTAACCCCAGCTGTAGTGCTCTCGTAAACATGTTCGTAAGCCCCCGCGTAGCGCGAGACATCCGTAGATGTTCCACCCATATCGAAACCGATGACAGGTAGATGGGTCTCCTTCTGCCAAGTGGTCACCGCGTAGCCCACCACCTGGGGGACATCTTCTGTTCAATCGGAGGCTAATAAACCTAATTGGGCGATACTTACACCACCAGCGGGTCCTGATAAGACCGCCCGGGCTCCGTTGAAGTCCTCCATGGGCGTGAGGCCGCCGTCGCTCTGCATGAACAACACCCTGGTGCCTTGCAGACGGTTTTTGAATCCGTTGGAGAATCCCTCCACGTAGGTTTTGACGCGGGGCGTGAGGTAGCCGTCGGCGCAACAGGTGAAGCCTCTGGGGACGATTCTCGCCATGGGGATGACTTGGTGGGAGAGCGAGACGTGCGAGAAGCCTGCGAATGAATGGAAATGCAGTTGTGGGTGGGTGTTTTGGTGCCCGATTTCGTACCCAGTTCGTTGGCGATTTTTCCTATTTGCAATTCGTGGTCGTAGAATGTGTAGCTGTGGATCAAGGCGACTGATATGCTGCGGATGCCTTTGTCTTTGATTTGGGATAATTTTCGCCTGATTTCGGCTTCGTTTGGGTCGTTTACGATGTAGAATTTTTCGCCGGTTTTTCCTTCTACGACTCGCCAGTTGTTTGTTTGGTGACCCAATTGGCATTTTCCTTCTAGAACGGGTATTACTCGACAGTCTATTTCGACGACTTCCTTGTAGAGGATTTCCGGTCGTCTGATATTCTAGAAATAATCCTAAATTGGACGATGAAATTAACACAAAAAAACGTTTAAATACCAAGTCGAAGATGTTTGGTCTGGCTTGGTTACCAATAAGCAGTATATCTTTATAACCACTATTGGTAACAAACGCGATATTCTCTCCTTTCCTCTCCAGAAGAGCATTGGTAGCTACCGTTGTGCCCATTCTAATCCATTCTATTAAAGAGCTATCGACGTTGTTGTCTTCGTCTGAGGCCTCGCCGGTTTCCTGTAAAGGAATACATCGATTTGCTTAAAAACTACAAATGTAGAAATGGTGAAAAACCTCTTGCAGGATCCGTCTGATGCCTTCCGTCGGGGCGTCTTTGTAATGTTGAGGGTCCTCGGAGAGCAATTTGAGTACTCTGATCCTCCCGTCGGGGCATTTGGCGAAAATGTCGGTGAATGTGCCGCCTCGATCGATGGCGAATCGGAATTTTTTCGACATCATCTGAATTGATAATTTTTTTTTTATCCTTTTGCTCTGTTCCTGTGGTTTTCGATTGAAATTAGAATTGCGCCGATTGGGAGAATAGAAGTGTAAAGTGTCTGCATTGCAGTGTGATTAAGTGAAATCGAATTCGAGCGGTATGTTTAGTATGGTTGTATAAAGAGAAAGTTTTCTCTATTATAGTTCGAGAAATGGTTTATAACAAGGTGTGTTTGATTAGTTTTGAGATGGTAATAAGATCGTTTGAAATTCGTAAAAGAAATCGTTTCGGAGATATACAGGGTGTTGAGGTAGTTAAACAACTACTTTTAATAGAGGCTAGTAGAAAGAATGTTTTCTGAATTTACACTTATTGATCTACGAATAATTCACGTTTCTCGACAATAAATAAGTTACTGAACCTCATTATTTTCAAAATACAATCTGTTATCACATATTTCTTCGAAAACTAAACTATTAAACTCGAGTTTGGAATAATTAAACGATTTATAAACGAGTTTATGAAGAAAACAAATCGTATCTAAAGAATTTTTCCAGCCTCATTTACCCGTAGAAATATTTTTCAAAAACATATACCCATTACTGTACGCCACTGTTGGAGTGCAAAAATGTTCTCGAAATTTTATCGGCAAAACTTAACCTATTTTACTTACCTTATTTTCCAAACCAAAATCTAATTGAATCCAAAAACAGAACACTTATTCACTGTTGAATCTATTTCACATTAAAATCAACATAAAAATAAACTGTATATCCTTTGAAATATCACTTTTATGTCTACGGATATCCACCAAAAAGGAATATTTTCCAATTAGTTTCTAATTACCCGTCTAGTAGTACAATTTAAATTGAACAAAACTAATTCAAACGCAGATCTAAAGCGCTTTAAAGTGGGCAATTAAGAAATTTATTATGTAAACGGTGTAAACAAAATGTATTGTATAGGTTCTATTTATAGATTTTGAATTGCAGAGATAATCCAATGGCGTCACTAAAGCAAATTTACTGATTAAATAAGAAAAATAATGAACAATTCAATAGATACGAATCAATTGGTATTTATAAAGAAAATAATTTTAACACCACAGAATAAATAGAAGAAGAGTTTAATTAAGAAGAATAGAAAAGGAAAAATGTATGAGATAGAACAGAAAAGCCCAAGTTATGAACAACCAATCATATATAAAATCTCTACAGGGTGTTAATTAATAATGCTATAAAATTTAGAGGGTGTTTCTGCATTAAAAAATAATATTTTGCTATGTAAATATATATCCGCAAATGCTCCGTTTTCGAAATATACAGGATGTTAAAGGTTCTTCTCAATAACCGAAGATTTATTTATTTCTCTGGAACTAGACGAGATATTCAAATGAAATTTGGTGGGGTATTAAGAGGTAACTATTATGCATTTTTTTGATATATAATTAAAATTTTTATGTACTTTATTAACGCGCATACGGGTAATAATGTATTATTTTAAAGATAAAAATACTATTGGTACGCCACTGATGCATTTTTATTGAAAATTCAATTACGAATAAATTCCTCGTTCAATTTGCGACTAAAAACTCTTCTTTTTTTCGTAGGTTCCCTTATTTTCTAGTAAAAAAATAAAACATCTCGAAGTGTATTAGCCAACAAAACTTCAACACCCCGTATCTAAATAAAACGCCCTAGATAAACCATTTACTTTAAACAACAACAACATATACATACAAACAAATTTCTATACAATATACAAGTTCTCGAGGCCATTCAGCCCAGCTCAACAACTACGACTGTTCGCTTTGATAAAATTAATCAGCCCGTTGGTAGACGAATCGTGCGACGTCACCGGACTATCGTCTTGCAATTCCGGCTCGATGGCCTTCGCCAAAGCCTTTCCCAACTCCACGCCCCATTGATCAAACGAATTTATGTCCCAAACGATCCCTTGCACAAAGATCTTCATCTCGTACATCGCTGAAACCAAACAACAAAAAAACACATCACTCGAATAGTTCAAACCGAACTACACCCTGTATATCTACCATCACCATACCAAAGAGGTTACTATTCTATCTTTTATCTATCAACGAGAGAGATGTAGCTAGTTCGGGTATATACCGATGAGAGATTCGACAATGCATTAACCAATAGTAAGAAACCAAATGAGTCACGTTTTGCATAGATAAACAACACCCTGTATGCATCTTATATCCGCATCTCACCCTAACCAGCTTCAACTCTCTCTCTCTCGGACCTCCATCTCAATCATCACGATCATCTCAAAACCTCGATAATTACCGATCAGAGCTCCGAGTATAAACGGCGTGATCTTCTTCACCACGATGCTATTGGTGGGTTTGTTCCCTCGAAACACCTTATGGGGCACCAGTTTCTCCAACTCATCGGGCCCCATGCTCTTCGACAGCTCGTTCCTCACTTGAGCGGAGGTCTTGCCGAGCATGAGGGCTTCGGTTTGAGCGAGGAAATTGGCGAGTAGCAGTTTGTGGTGGACCCCATCGCTGATGGGATTATGGGAAACGGCAGGTGCTATGAAATCGCACGGGATCAACCGGGTGCCCTGGTGGATGAGCTGGTAGAAGGCGTGTTGACCGTTGGTGCCCGGTTCGCCCCAAACGATGGGACCCGTGGTGTAGGGTACCTGCAAAGAATCCAATGGATTTACGTTGGGATTTTAAATGGAATCGTTTGGGTACCTCTTTGCCGCCGCGAGTGATGTATTTCCCGTTGCTTTCCATGTCGCCCTGTTGGAAATAGGCGGCGAATCTGTGTAGATATTGATCGTAGGGTAACAGAGCGTGGGTTTCGGCGCCGAAGAAGTTCGAATACCACACGCCGAGCATCGCCAATATAACGGGAACCTAAAATAAATCCGTTTCAGTTTCACATTAGCTTCATAATAGATGTGTATAAGCTCACGTTTTTCTCCAACGGAGCGCTTCGAAAGTGATTGTCCATGAAGAAGGCGCCGTCGAGGAGCTTCTCGAAGTTGTCGAAGCCGATCGATAGGCAAATGCTCAAACCGATCGCCGACCATAAGGAGTACCTGCCTCCTACCCAGTCCCAGAAACCGAACATATTATCTGGATTGATACCGAACTCAGTCACTTTCTCTTTGTTCGTACTGAGGGCTACGAAATGTTTAGCCACAGCTTCTTCCTGTAAATCGATTAACTCGTATAAACACATTCGATCGGTGCAATTTGGCGGGTAATTACCGATTTGGCGGTGTTCAAAAACCAATCCTTGGCCGATTTGGCGTTCGTGCAAGTCTCTTGAGTAGTGAACGTTTTCGATGCTATGATAAACAAGACAGTCTCCGGGTTGACTTTCTTTAGCACTTCAGCCAAGTGGGTTCCATCGATGTTCGATACAAAATGCATCTTCAAACCTTGACTGTATGGTTTCAAAGCTTCGGTGACCATCAACGGTCCCAAATCCGAGCCCCCGATACCGATATTCACCACATCGGTGATTTTCTTCTCCGTGTAACTACGAAAAACGATTTACGATGTGGAAAACGAAGCTTATCATCTCACCCTTTCCACTCTCCGCTGAGCACTTTGCAAGTGAAATCTTTCATGTGTTCCAGGACTCCGTTGACGTCGGGCATGACGTCTTTGCCGTCGACTTTGATGGGGGTTCCGCATCGGTTTCGGAGGGCCACGTGCAACACGGCTCGGTTCTCGGTGGAGTTGATTTTGCAGCCGTTGAACATCAGCTCGCGGGCCTTCTCGATTTTCCGGCAACGGGCGAGGTCCAGGAGGAGATCGAGGCCCTCTCGGTCGATGCGGTTCTTCGAGAAATCGACGAGGATGTCGCCGTCTTCGGGGGTTTTCAGTTTTATGCTGGAAAACGTTGCGGTTGGTTAATCGATGGTGTTTATTTTGATAGGAGATGTTCTCTATGTACAGGCATTTCGGGCGAAATTCTGCGAGATTGTTTAATCTAAAAAAATTGAAGTGAAGTGATTGAAAGTGAATGATCATGTTAGAAGGTCGATTTAAGGTCAAGGGAAAGAGGGTCGTAACCTTTTCGAAGCATACGATGGGATTACCTAAAAGCTTCGAATCTTCCGCAATCTTGGGCGAATAGCTCGGCGATGTTTAACGTTTTGCCGACTTTGCAGAAGTAACTTTGCAGTTTGAACCATTCTTGTTCCTTGTCTAACATGGGTTTCGGTTCCATTACCATCTCGTCGGTTTCGTTGGGTGCTGTATGGGCAGGAAATAGAAAGAAAAATTGAGTGAAACAACCTACTGACACTGACACTACACACGCTGTGACTAAATTATTAGGTAATTACTAAATTACTTTTATTGGTTTTGGTCAGTTTTCACTCGGCAATCTCCACTCAAAGTTTTGATCTTCGACTATTTGAGTGGCACGATTTCGTTTATTTAAACTACTACGAATAATGTCACTAGTGTCACTTGTCAATTTTTTAAATTCTTCTTTTAACTATTTATTAAATGAATTATGTTGATTTAAGAATGAATGGAAAAAGTCAAGAATTAGAAAATGCAAAGCAGAATAAATTAGATTCGATTTATCCTAGAACCTAGGAGACATTCTTCTTTTTCCTATTTCGCCTCGACAGTGACTGACCAACCGGCCACCATTCATAGTAGTTCAAATTCAACATACCTTACATAACCATCAATTTGGACACGAGAAAAATAACAAATATCAAACTGTCACCCGTATTCTGAAATAAACAAACTTAAATCTTAATTTCACTCGGCAATTTCAACCCAAAGTTTTGATTTTCGACTATTTGAGTGGCACGATTTCGTTTATTTAAACTGTCACTAGTGTCACTTGTCAATTTTTTAAATTCTTCTTTTAATTATTATTAACCGCATTATGTTGAGTTGAGAATGAATGGAAAAAATCAAGAATTAGAAAATGCAAAGCAGAATAAATTAGTTTCGTTTTATCCTAGAACCTAGGAGACATTCTTCTTTTTCCTACATCGCCTCGACAGTGACAGAGCAACCGGCCACCATACATAGTAGTTCAAATTCAACACACTTTACATAACCTTCAATTTTGACAGAACAAAAATATCAAACTGTCACCCGTATTATGAAATAAACAAACTTGCCTCGATTTTATGTACATAAAAAATGGTCGTAGGAGCTTTTCCAGCCGCCAAATTAGGAGCGTTATTACTAAAGCAAATCAGCAAACCCATAGCAAATGCGCTCAAGAGCCAGGCGAAAAGTTCTCCCGTATTTAGGAAGTACATCTGCATGCCCCCCGCTCAATGTAAGTCCCGCCGCTTACATTCGCTCGAATATTCTCTTAACATACCTTTTTTTTCAATTCGTTGTTAGTCTACAACTGGTGCGAAGTCAAAGCTAAAATGTGGATTTTGAATTTAGGAAAACCCGTCAATGTTCCGGTATTAAACGAAGCGATGGCTATCGAATTAGGCGCTAATTTACTAGGCGAAGGTATTATTTTCATCATAGCCGCCGGTGTGGTAATCGCGGAATATAACCGGTAACTTACATATTGGAATTTAACACGACGAGTCTCGCAAAATTGTCTGGTAATTGCAGATCTTCGAAGAAGGAGGCCGCGAAGGAAGAGGCCAAGACTCAAGAAATGGAAGACATCCGGAACACGATGAGGGAATTGTTCATACAAACGGAAGAGCAAGCCGCTCAACTCAGAGAACTCACTAGGAAATTAGGAGATATAGGTGATTGTTCAGTTTAGTCCTGTTTGGTTGTTAATTTTTTTGTATTTTCCAGATACTAAATTGGGCATTGCGAATACTACAATGTCTTCGACGAAATCTCAGCCGCCTCGAAAGGCGGATATTAAAAATTCCGAATCCGGCAAGGACAAGAGGAAGGATGTTTATATTGTTCAAACGCCAGATGTTAGTTATCAATCCAACGAAAACATTGCCGGCGAAAGAACAAATTTTGCTGAATACTCATCGCCGAAAAGGCCATACAATAACGTTATTTTAAAAGCCATCGATGATATTGAAGATATGTTTTGCGAATCTCCTTTGATCGAACGTCAAGAGAATAATATATTATTTTTAAGCTTATATCACATAAACGCGTTACTTAGATTGAATGATTAAGTTTTACACCTGTTGTTGTTATTTAAGATAAAAGTAATATAATAAAGTATTACTGCTTATCTTTTATTTATAAATCAATGTACAGGGTGTCCCAATAGTGGACTAAAGCTGTTGTTGTGATGGAGACGAAAAAATAATCAAATTCCACCATTTCAAGAATATCTAGATTAAATTATGGGATTATGAATTTATCGAAAAGTGAATTTTTTCGTTTAAAACTGGAAATTTTAAGAAAAATGATTCATTAAAGTAACTTCCTATCGGGTATTAATTGTATTTAAATTAAGCGAGTAAATATTAAGTTCGTGACTTGAAACACTCTGTATACAAATACAGGGTGTACAAAATACAAAAACCCTCTATTATAAAGGTAACCCTAACTTAATAGATCTGAAAATTAAAAAAAAAAGTACATTTCTAATTTCTACCGTAATTTAACATAAATAAATCGAGATTGGCGGTTCTCGTTGGCTCAATTTAGAATAATTAAATGCAAAAATCGCGATATTATCAACCGCTTAACGCGTCTATTATTAAAAAGGATGCGGTTGAATATAAAATGGATCGAAATTCGTATCTCTGTTTCTACCGGATATTTCATGAATCAGATTCTTTCTCCGGATATATCTGCAAGTGTAAAATACATTTCGTATTTACAGCAGTTATTTCTACTCGAACAAAACGCTTCCTCGGATTTTTCTGATCGGAGAAATGAAGAAATTTCTGCACTTGTAAGATGCGACGATTTCGTAAATTCTTCGCTTTTTTAATTTTTTATTTTTCTTTTTTTTCTTTTTAGATTTCTGCTGCAATTTTTATTCGCATCGGTTCGTTCGATTGAAGATAACGACGTTTTTATTTTCGCTGATAATAAATGGTGCATTACAAACAGTAGCTCGGCTATTACGTTCAGAAATTATCCAAAGGATGGACATTACAGTAATATATACATTTTTTTTTCTCCTTACTTTAATATATTATTTAATCGATTCCAGGTTCTTCTTTGTATCCAGCAATAAAAGACAAAAGTTTCAACTGTAATTTCGAAGATAATGAAGAATGTAACTATAAAGAACCATCCTGGCACACTGGTAACTGGATCAATCAAAATTCCATCTACAGTATACTACCAATTACTGAACCAATTACTGAACCAATTACTGAACCAATTACAGATGAAAGATGGGAAAGTAAGCTGAATTAATTATACAGAAGATATAAATATAAATTTTGTTCATTTGAGTTCACATTTTTGAGCTAAAAGCCCCTTTCTATACCACTGTTCTCAGCGATGAACGATTCGTTACTTTTATAGGGACAATCTGTATAGCGCAGATATATTTTTCTAATCGATAAACTAATAAAAATGTACTATTGCGAAGTCGATAAAATTATAAGCCCTTGCTCAAAAACGGGGGCATAAATGAACAAAATTTGTATGAAAAATCTTTCATATTAATTTCACACTAAATTTTAGGCTTTCCGATTGTAAAGACAAAAGGAGATTTATTTGTCGATAAACTCCAATACAAAGAAGTGTTAGTAATTAGAGACAGGAATAGAGACCACTTCGCTATCCCTTTATCTGTAAAAATAGAAAAAGAGGCCCACATTTATTTGTGCGATGGCGAGAATCCCGTTGTATCGAATTGTTATTGGATTATGTTGGGAATGAGTGATGGAAAAATGTCAAAAATTAGAAAATGCAATGCTGGACAAATTAGTTACGAATACGACGAATATCCAACCGATCCTTATTGTTCTAATGGTTTAGTTCAAAATAATGTAAGCGAAATACAAAAACTTGTTTTTACAACAATTCAATCGGGCTTATCTTTAGGTGAATCCCTTAAACGAGGACGAGTGGAAACACTTTTTAATTCGACGTCGTGGTGGTTTTTTGGGTATATATCAAAACAACAAAATTTTTCTACATATTACCGATACAGAGAAGCCCTATAATACTAAAAAAGTGTTTGTGCATTCGAAGAAAGCGGACGGGCTTTGGAAAATACACGTTTGTAAGTACATTTCGCGGCTCTAACAAAGCCATAACTACTTCAAGTTTATTATTTTTTTTGTAGATAACTTTTTAGAGAGCATAACTAAAAGCGAGAATAATGATCCTCTGGGTCCTAGGTTTGAGGTAGATACAGAAATTTGCCTGTCGATGTTCATCAAAACATCACCGGGATCCACCCTAAGGATACAAATCAAACCTAAAGGATATAATTTTTTTTCCGAAGTTTTTCAAACGGAGGTATGCAAACGGTTTATACAGGGTGTGATGCTCAAATTAACACGCTCTTGAAAATAACAAATATAAATGGTATAGTTTACTGAGCAATTATATATTTCTTTGGTGCAAATTTTGTTAAAATATTGAACGTTTATTTGACTGAGCGTTTATTTTTTGCATTTTTGGATAATACAAATGTCAATACCCTCGTACTTTACGCCGTAGTAAAATTTGGTGTATGTCTATTAATATTTAACTTCAAGGGAATTTGGAAAAAAATAAAAATTTATCGCAAAATCGAGAACAACCAGTTGATAAAAACCGACTATAATTTTTATATCACGAGAAAAGGGAAAGGATATTGGGCTGTCGATGACATTAGGCGTTGTACAAACGAAGGTAAGTTCATTGATATTTTTATTATACTTAATCATTTATCATAGTATAATCCATTCGCTGAACTTATTCTAAGTTCAATTGTACCTACCTATTTTCTCACTTGATTATATTTTAGAATATCGCTATATAAAATCAAATGATGATGATGATGAATGTCATTTATTGTCATCAGACAAACCAACAATTATAAGTATGAAGTCTAAAAAACGGGAAATATCTACAACTGGTAAAGTAATTTACGTAGCTCTCTAACTATTTTACTCTAATTTTATTTTCTAAACTTTATAATGCATTAATTTTTAGGTATTGATTGTCGAGAAAATAGCTTCAGCACGGCTTGCATTCCTTGTAAAATATTTGGACAAGAATACTGTCCAAAATTGAAATATTGCGATGTAGCTGAAAAATGCTACTGTTCAGCCGGATACACCGATGTTAAATGTAACAAAGGTATATGGTTCATTTTTTTAAATACCCATTAAATTATTATAAGTTTGGAATTATTAAATATTTTCAAAATTGTTTAGATTGCCCAAGAGGAACCTACGGTCATGGATGTCAGAAAAAAAGTTACTGCTCGAAAAATAATGATCCTGTAACAGGATATTGTCCTGCGTCCTGTGAAACTCCTTTTACAGGATCTACATGCAACATTAGTAAGTTTCTTATAACTTTATAAACTTATAAAGTGTAAATAAATATCTATAAATTCGATAGCTCCTTACAGATTATTGTATTCTCTTTCAGGTTCAACGCCATTTTTCTTAAACGATCCCCTTGTTGTCGATATTACAGATACAAGCTTTAATATTCAACAAGTAGATTTGCAGTATGTGGGTAATGGTGCCCAATATTATACATTTCAGTATTCGAACGATGATGATGGATCAAATGTAAGCCCAATTGATTATAAATATACTTAAAAATACAAAAAAAATTGATTATACGAATAACTAGTATATGTTGCAAACAATTTAGCATTTACCTGTATAAGCAGGTAAATATTTAAAAGTGTATTAAAACGAGTCGATTGCTTTTAGAAATGGGTCCAAGTTGATGAGAAAATACATTTAAATGTATCAAAAATAGTTAAAGTTACAGGCCTGGAACCCGATACAAATTACAGTGTTCGAGCCATCATTATTGGAAGACAAAGCAGACTTGAAAAGTTTAGCAAAACTCGACAAAATTTCACTACAAGTTGCCAAAGTAAGTAGAATCATTATTCAATAAATTAAAGAGCATTCTGAACATTTATAACATTTTATTTTTAATTGCAGAGCTTTCAAAAGACGATGTAGTAATCGATACTTTCAATACTAGTGCTATAGTAAAGATAATGGTAAGTTTGAGATTTGTAATGTCTTCTCTAATATGTATTGTGCTTTATGTATTTAATTCCAGTTGCATTTCAACAGTTGTAAAATGTCGAAATATTTGTATTGTTTGAATACTTGTGTTAATCTGCTCGGAAATAAATTTAATATCTCATCTTTAACACCGCATAAAGAATATAATCTTAAATTCGTTCACTCAAATAAAACAGTATTAAATATAACATTTAATACAACAGACGGAGGTAAGAATCTAACGATATAGAAAAATGCAATTATTCAACAACAAATTATTATTTTAGTACCTTCTTTTGTAACTGACATAACAGAAAAATCATCCGCTAATTCGTTAGAATTAAATTGGGAAAAGCCCGAAACGGAAAATGGAGAAATTGTTGGTTACGAAATAGCCTATACAGTAAGAATAACGAAATAAATTATACATAAGCATATTATATTGGATATTTTTTCAGTTATACAAACATCTAGCTTGTAATTTTAGAGAAAACAACCCTTTGATATACCATCTAAACACAACCGAGAAGCACATTAGACTGGAAAATTTGCAGCCTTACAGTCGATACGAAATTAGTATTAGAGCTTTATCCAGAGCATTTAAGGGAAAATTTAAACCAAAACAAGTAATAACGACATCATCCGATGGTAATTCATTCGTTTCTCCCTTGATTTGCCCAGATTTAACACCCAATATTGATGTGATAATAAACTTTCTCGAATTTTTAGAATTATCACCGGACGAAAAAGTTTCTATATCACAGGTAATTGTCGCAGGATATCCTCGAATCCTGTGGAATTCGATTGACTGCTCAACTCGGAGAGGTCCAATTTTTGTTCAATCCAAAACAGTATGCTTATCCGAGTGGTGTGATCGTTTAAACGAAACCATTGTTGATGATTTTCCATACCAACCCGAAGGAAAAACATTATTAACAAAATTACAATCCTATTGCAACTACACAATCACCCTATCGATTTCGAGGAATAAAACCAACTGGCTATTCAGCGATTCATTTAATTTCACGTCCAATCCAACCAGTAAGTGGAGTGTCCCACCATAACTTTTTGCGACACACTGTATATAGTGTATGGTTAAGTGAATGTGATTTGATTGGGACTTTTTTAGGTCCCGGTTCTGTAACGCAATTGAGTGTATACTCAAAAAATGATAGTTCAATTTCGCTTCGATGGAAGAAACCCTATCCTCCTACAGGTGTCTTAAAAGAATATAAAATTGATTATTATTATTACTATTTTTCAATTAAATATACTAATCGCATAATACTGAGAGCTTCAGAAGCTACATGTAATCTATGGAAGGAATTTCATTGTGCTACAATTACCAAAGAAGTATACAATAATTATGTTTACCATATAAAGGTATAAACCTTTGTCTGAATATCTACAATTTTATTTTATAAATACATAATGTAATTTTTTTAAGGTGTTTGCAAACAATGAGAAACCAGACGAATTTGGTACATCCAGCGCAATAGAAATAAAAAACACACAAGCGGGTAAGGTTATTATTAATACTACCTATTTCTTATTTGTTAAATTAATACTCTTAATTTAAATTCAACGCCATAGAAAAATGTATTAGTACTTTATACAGGTTGCTCCATTTTTGTTCGAAACATAGGGTAATAAAGACAACTTCCATTAGACACTTACAAAGAAAAAGGAAAGAGTGACAGAAAGAGTGACATTTGTGTCATTGCAATTTTTCACTCTGACAACTGTCATTTTAATAAATCTCTCTTTGTATTAATACTACCTATTTCTTATTTGTTAAATTAATACTCTTAATTTAAATGCAACGCCATAGAAAAATGTTCTAGCACTTTATACAGGTTGCTCCATTTTTGATCGAAACATAGGGTAATAAAGACAACTTCCATTAGACACTTACAAAGAAAAAGGAAAGAGTGACAGAAAGAGTGACATTTGTGTCATTGCAATTTTTCACTCTGACAACTGTCATTTTTATAAATCTCTCTTTGTATTAATACTACCTATTTCTTATTTGTTAAATTAATACTCTTAATTTAAATGCAACGCCATAGAAAAATGTTCTAGTACTTTATACAGGTTGCTCCATTTTTGATCGAAACATAGGGTAATAAAGACAACTTCCATTAGACACTTACAAAGAAAAAGGAAAGAGTGACAGAAAGAGTGACATTTGTGTCATTGCAACTTTTCACTCTGACAACTGTCATTTTAATAAATCTCTCTTTGTATTAATACTACCTATTTCTTATTTGTTAAATTAATACTCTTAATTTAAATTCAACGCCATGGAAAAATGTTCTAGCACTTTATACAGGTTGCTCCATTTCTGATAGAAACATAGGGTAATAAAGACAACTTCCATTAGACACTTACAAAGAAAAAGGAAAGAGTGACAGAAAGAGTGACATTTGTGTCATTGCAACTTTTCACTCTGACAACTGTCATTTTAATAAATCTCTCTTTGTATTAATACTACCTATTTCTTATTTGTTAAATTAATACTCTTAATTTAAATTCAACGCCATGGAAAAATGTTCTAGCACTTTATACAGGTTGCTCCATTTCTGATAGAAACATAGGGTAATAAAGACAACTTCCATTAGACACTTACAAAGAAAAAGGAAAGAGTGACAGAAAGAGTGACATTTGTGTCATTGCAATTTTTCACTCTGACAACTGTCATTTTTATAAATCTCTCTTTGTATTAATACTACCTATTTCTTATTTGTTAAATTAATACTCTTAATTTAAATGCAACGCCATAGAAAAATGTTCTAGTACTTTATACAGGTTGCTCCATTTTTGATCGAAACATAGGGTAATAAAGACAACTTCCATTAGACACTTACAAAGAAAAAGGAAAGAGTGACAGAAAGAGTGACATTTGTGTCATTGCAATTTTTCACTCTGACAACTGTCATTTTTATAAATCTCTCTTTGTATTAATACTACCTATTTCTTATTTGTTAAATTAATACTCTTAATTTAAATGCAACGCCATAGAAAAATGTTCTAGTACTTTATACAGGTTGCTCCATTTTTGATCGAAACATAGGGTAATAAAGACAACTTCCATTAGACACTTACAAAGAAAAAGGAAAGAGTGACAGAAAGAGTGACATTTGTGTCATTGCAACTTTTCACTCTGACAACTGTCATTTTAATAAATCTCTCTTTGTATTAATACTACCTATTTCTTATTTGTTAAATTAATACTCTTAATTTAAATTCAACGCCATGGAAAAATGTTCTAGCACTTTATACAGGTTGCTCCATTTCTGATAGAAACATAGGGTAATAAAGACAACTTCCATTAGACACTTACAAAGAAAAAGGAAAGAGTGACAGAAAGAGTGACATTTGTGTCATTGCAACTTTTCACTCTGACAACTGTCATTTTAATAAATCTCTCTTTGTATTAATACTACCTATTTCTTATTTGTTAAATTAATACTCTTAATTTAAATTCAACGCCATAGAAAAATGTTCTAGCACTTTATACAGGTTGCTCCATTTCTGATAGAAACATAGGGTAATAAAGACAACTTCCATTAGACACTTACAAAGAAAAAGGAAAGAGTGACATTTGTGTCATTGCAACTTTTCACTCTGACAACTGTCATTTTAATAAATCTCTCTTTGTTCCACTCATAGAAATGACCATGTCGCAATCGGAAACGTCATTGTTTTTTTTTTATACAGGACCGGAACCGCCCTACAATTTAAATTACGAATGGACGGACGACAACGAATTATTCGTAACATTTTACCATCCGAATAACACGAACGGTATACTGACGAGTTTCGAGTTAATGGTATTCGATAAAAGCGAATTAAAATACATTAACTACGAAAATTACCAACTTCGATACAAATTTCAATACGAAGATCTGACAGTAAGCGATTTTAATTAACATTTCAGAGTAAATACCTAACGCATATGAAAGTTTTTAGCGACACGAAAAACCTGCAGTCGTTTCGAGATGCACATAAGAGCCCACAACACATACACCTCAAGTATATTTACAAAGTTACAAATAATCGTTCCTCCTTCGATACCCGCCGGTATAAAAACGTTCAACTACAAAAGCGAAATGACCTCGATCGCTATTCATTTGATATTCACCCAGCCCTATCCCGATCGGGCGATCATTCTCCTCTCGAAAGGGATCGATGCCGATGAACTTCGATCGTTCGAAACGGGCGATTTCATCGATCGAAAACCCCGAGGGAATTTCACTTCTTTCTGGGTTGTGTACGACAACGAGAATTTGGATTCGCCCGTTGAGTTCGAGATAGGCGATGGGAATTCCACCTGGCAGGAATTGACGAATCCCGCTTTGGAATCCGGCAGGAAATACACGATTGTGGTGTATCTGGTGAATTACTGCCAGAACTTCCTGGCGAAGTGGATGAAACAGGAATGGGTGGTACAAACTGAAGGAGAATCTGTGGGGCCCTCTAGCGAGGAGATTTTTATTGATAACGATAACGATGGAGAGTCGGATGATGGGAGGAATTTGTGGGCTTTGTTGTTGTTGGTTTTGATTCCGATTGTGCTCTTCGGTGTTTGGTAAGTTCTGATTATTGTCTTGCTGATAAATATTCTTCAATATCTTTGCGTATTTGAAGGTTTGTCAAGAAGAAAAATATGGATTTACATCGGTTTATGAACAGGTCGGGAGGTTAGTAAGATGTATTACTCGTTGTATTATCGGAAATTGTTTGTTTTAAAATTTCAGTATCGGCTCCGAATGCAGATAATGTGCCTTTGACTGATCAACCACCAATATCGTCAAGAATTCATGTTTTAAAACCGAAATTATCTATTGTATTACCGGTAATTACAAGAATGTTCATCAATTTAAAGCTCGGATTGTATGCAAAGTGCTTTCTAATACCAAATTCCATAAAAAAAACAGCGAACAATCAGAATAAAAACGATGAAATAAAAGTCGCAATAAACATTGTCGTATATTTCGAGCTTTAATTATGGTTTAAATAGTTTAATAATTTTATTAATTTCAATTTAAAGCTCGGATTGTATGCAAAGTGCTTTCTAATACCAAATTCCATAAAAAAAAACAGCGAACAATCAGAATAAAAACGATGAAATAAAAGTCGCAATAAACACTGTCATATATTTCGAGCTTTAATTATGGTTTAAATGGTTTAATAATTTTATTAATTTCAATTTAAAGCTCGGATTGTATGCAAAGTGCTTTCTAATACCAAATTCCATAAAAACACAGCGAACAATCAGAATAAAAACGATGAAATAAAAGTCGCAATAAACACTGTCATATATTTCGAGCTTTAATTATGGTTTAAATGGTTTAATAATTTTATTAATTTCAATTTAAAGCTCGGATTGTATGCAAAGTGCTTTCTAATACCAAATTCCATAAAAAAAAACAGCGAACAATCAGAATAAAAACGATGAAATAAAAGTCGCAATAAACACTGTCATATATTTCGAGCTTTAATTATGGTTTAAATGGTTTAATAATTTTATTAATTTCAATTTAAAGCTCGGATTGTATGCAAAGTGCTTTCTAATACCAAATTCCATAAAAACACAGCGAACAATCAGAATAAAAACGATGAAATAAAAGTCGCAATAAACACTGTCATATATTTCGAGCTTTAATTATGGTTTAAATGGTTTAATAATTTTATTAATTTCAATTTAAAGCTCGGATTGTATGCAAAGTGCTTTCTAATACCAAATTCCATAAAAAAAAACAGCGAACAATCAGAATAAAAACGATGAAATAAAAGTCGCAATAAACACTGTCATATATTTCGAGCTTTAATTATGGTTTAAATGGTTTAATAATTTTATTAATTTCAATTTAAAGCTCGGATTGTATGCAAAGTGCTTTCTAATACCAAATTCCATAAAAACACAGCGAACAATCAGAATAAAAACGATGAAATAAAAGTCGCAATAAACACTGTCATATATTTCGAGCTTTAATTATGGTTTAAATGGTTTAATAATTTTATTAATTTCAATTTAAAGCTCGGATTGTATGCAAAGTGCTTTCTAATACCAAATTCCATAAAAAAAAACAGCGAACAATCAGAATAAAAACGATGAAATAAAAGTCGCAATAAACACTGTCATATATTTCGAGCTTTAATTATGGTTTAAATGGTTTAATAATTTTATTAATTTCAATTTAAAGCTCGGATTGTATGCAAAGTGCTTTCTAATACCAAATTCCATAAAAAAAAACAGCGAACAATCAGAATAAAAACGATGAAATAAAAGTCGCAATAAACATTGTCATATATTTCGAGCTTTAATTATGGTTTAAATAGTTTAATAATTTTATTAATTTCAACAGGCTCTTCAAACGAACAACTCTAAAAGAATCCCGATCGTTGAATTCGAAAGTTACGTTAAAGATGCAATCGAAAGCGGCGAATTGGAACGGCAACACAACGTGAGATTTTATTTATTTATTTATTCATTTTGTTCGCAATTTTATTAATTTCGATAATCCGAATGCATTACAGTTGTTTCCGAAAGGATTGCTCAAGCCGCACAGCGTCGGATCATCCGCGGAAAACAAGAATAAAAACCGATACAAAAACCTAACGGCATGTAATTATGGAATTTCACTTTTTTCGAAAATTTCACACAACTAATTTAAACGTTTGCAGACGATCGAACGAGAGTGAAATTGAGAAAAAATAGTAACGATGCCGATGCTGAAACCGGTTACATCAATGCCAATTACATCGATGTAGGTTCGATGTAATTTATTTACAGTAATTAAAATAAATTAACTCTTTTAGGGCTACCGAAAGCCTAGAGCTTACATAGCTACCCAAGGACCCAAAAGCAACACTCTAAACGATTTTTGGTGGATGGTTTGGCAGGAAAACGTCAAAGATATTCTAATGTTGGCCAATATCTACGAAAACGGAAAGGTGACTTCGATATATTCATTCAACAATCAATCTATTTCGTGTCATTGTTTCAGAAAAAAGTCGAAAAATATTGGCCAGATATAAACGAGGAGAAATCCTACGGTTTGATCAAAGTACACTTCGTCAGCGAAAGCGTTTTCTCCAATTTCATCTTGAGGACCTTCAATTGCTGTTTCGGCAACCAGGAGAGAAAGGTCTAGTTAATTTACTATTTCTCAAAATCCAATACTTTCATTACCCTATTCACTCAGATTAATCAAATGCACTACACCACTTGGCCCGATCACGGCGTACCGCTCTATTCTCAAAGCCTAGTACCCTACTTACAAAGGCTATTGAAAATCCCCCACAGCTCACAAGCGCCCATAATAGTCCACTGTAGGTAAGTCGAAACTCAACTAGTTAATAGAACTAACAATAATCTCTCTACTATTTCAAATTTGTCTATTACAGCGCAGGCGTCGGTCGTACCGGTACCATCATCCTCAGCGACATCTGCCTGCGAATGGCAGCAGGCGAAGGCCATTTGGACTTTCTCGCCCATTTGGAGAACCTGCGCAACCAACGGGCCAATCTGGTCGATAATTTAGAGCAGTACAAACTGGCCCATTTGGTGGTACTCGAATGTTTGTTCGGCATGCGCACGTCGATCGTTTGCAACGATGAGATGAGAACCGCCGTGGAGGCGATCCTTCGAAATGATGGTGTCGAAATGCAGATGAAGTATATTTTGGAGACCCAATGGCAGGATAAGGCGATGGAAACGATGCTGGAACTCGATCGGGTGGCTCCCGTTTATCACGAGAAAAATAGGTTTAATGATATCGTACCAGGTGAGTTGCCTTTCAGTCCTCTATCTTGCCAGATGAGCTACTTTCAGTCCTCTATTCTCTACCAAAGGCTTCTTAAAACAACACCAAACAATAGTCCAAATTTGCTCTGGTTTTTTATAGAGGAACTTCAACGGTTTATCTTTCAGAAAAAACAAGGTTTAATGATATCTTGCCAGTTGAGCTACCTTTAGTCCTCTATCCTATGCCAAACGCTTCTTAAAACACCACCAAACAATAGTCTAAACTTGCTCTGGTTCTTTTTGGAGAAACTTCGCCAGTTTATCTTTCAGAAAAACAAGGTTTAATGATATCCTGCCAGATGAGCTACCTTTAATCCTCTATCCTCTACCAAAGGCTTCTTAAAACACCACCAAACAATAGTCCAAACTTGCTCTGGTTCTTTTTGGAGGAACTTCACCAGTTTATCTTTCAGAAAAACAAGGTGTAATGATATCCTGAAAGGTGAACTACTTTCAGTCCTCTATTCTCTACCAAATGCTTCTTAAAACACCACCAAACAATAGTCCAAACTTGCTCTGGTTTTTTTGGAGGAATTTCAACGGTTTATCTTTCAGAAAAACAAGCTCTAATGATATCCTGCCAGATGAGCTACCTTTAATCCTCTATCCTATACCAAACGGTTCTTAAAACACCACCAAACTATAGTCCAAACTTGCTCTGGTTATTTTGGAGTTTATCTTTCAGAAAAATACCGGGTGTTCATCAGCAGGTATCCTCAATTAGACGAGAAATCGTCGTACATCAACGCAGTGTTGGTGGATGATTTCAGCAGCCCCGGTAGATACATCGTCACTCAACAGCCTCTCCCGAACACTCTGGGGGATTTCTGGAGGCTGGTGTTGGAGCGATCGTGCTCCGTTATCATTTCCCTAAACACGGTGGATCTAACGGATGAGGTGAGTAACTTTTTAGAGTAAAATCTGATGAATCTCTCGGCGGTTTTTCCCCGCAGACCGTCTGCAAAATTTGGCCCGAAGCCGATGAGGTACTCACCCCGGTGGATTTCATCAGAATAACGCACAAGTACACCAAAAATTTGCTCTTCTACAAAATCGTCACGGTGCAATTGGAGGTGAAAAAGACGAAAGTGAGTAGAGGAACAATTCGAAATGTATCAAATTTTTGCTGGTTTGTTTTTTTGTTAAGCATTTTTCGGGATTCGAGGAATCCTCGAGCGAAGTTACTATCCTCGCTCTAAATACTTGGAGCTCCAAAGATTCGTTACCGAACAGCATCGAAGAATTTTTGACCTTCAGAGATGCTTCGGATATCCTGGCGAGACCTGCCGAACATGTTATTGTAACCTGCTAGTAAGCATTCATCTAAAAAAACACAATATACAGAGTGTTTATTAAGTACTTCATCGTTCGTTTCGTTTCCAGCGATGGTGCTAGAGCTTGCGGTTTGTTCGTTGCGCTGTCGTTTATAATAGAGCAGATGAAATTAGAGCAGGAATGCGACGTTTGTTTGGCTGTGAGAAGCGTGAGACACAGTAGAAAACAATTTGTCGAAACTGAAGTGAGTATTGCACGATTTCGATACTTCGAATGCTACTTTTGGAATGTTTTGTTTTTTCTGTTTAGGAGCAGTATGAATTTTTGTACAGAGCTGCGGTGACTTTCATTACGGGTTTTCAGCAGTATTCGAATTTTACTTGATTATTTATTGTTGTGGTATGTTGAGAAGTTAAAATTGTTAAAATTAAAAATAAACTGGAAATTTAATAAAGATAAATTGGAAAATTGGTTAGAGCATGACTTCAATTTTTGGTTGCATTAATATTTTAAGGTTGTTGCCAAATGAACATTTTTTTATCGCAAATTAGCATTATTAGTTATTGGTTTAATAAGATTTTCATCTTCCTCGTGATTTACAAGGATTATTATCTAGAGAGATACGAACAAGTATTATGTTTTTGTCAACCAAGTGCTTGAATAAAAACCTGGAATGAATTTATTCGATTTATTCAAATGGATCCAAAGAATTAGAAAGATGTAAGATTCTCTAGAGCTGTGCAAATATTTTTTCGCAAATTCAATCAACGTGAGTTTTCTACAAATAATTTTGGAATAAAGAATAAGTAAATAAAATAGGATTTTTTCGTAAACAAATTTGAGCTTCCAGCAATATTCTAATTCCACTTAATTATTGTTATAAGGTATATAAGAAGTTGAATAAACAATACGCCTTGTTTAGCTGTTTCGTTATTAACACTTTAATAAACTAAACAAACATAATCAAAGAATTATTCATTTAATAAATGACTTGTTCGCAAATCGGAACATGTTCCTCCTGGCAGTCGGCATTAATCCAGGTACCTTCGTAATCCTCTTGGGTGAATAAAATGCAATCTTTATTGGGAATACCGTCAGTGGGTTGTCCCTTTCCCCAATTGGTGTAGGTGATGGGTTGATTGGTGCTCCCCCACACCCAATTCATTTCCAATGTATAATAACCGGATGTCCAAAAGGTTTCGTTGAAGTCTGGAAAAGGTTTATGCTTGGAACAAAATTTGTCTAATAGATACATAATTAAGTAATGAAGCTTAGGAATGGTGCAATTAATGTTCTTTATAGCTTCAATGTATTAGGAGTTTTAAAAAAATTCTTACTTCTTGCTGAAACAACCTCCAATGTAATTTCTTCGGTTTCTTCGTCGTTGTTTATTGTTAATAATTCTAATCCATTATTTCCGCATAGTATCGATGCATCATTGGCGTTTCTCTAAAATGAACAATGTTCTGAATGTCTCAATACCATAAATATGTAATTTTAAAATAATGTAAAATTGTTTCAATGGTTTACCTTCTCTGGGTAAATGAAGTAGGTTTTATTGACTCCTTGTACCTTATGGAATTCTTGGGAAACTTCTAAAAAACAAATATGTTCAAACAACTATAAATGTAATAACTTGTGTTAAATTTAAATTTAACTACAAGAAAAGACCTTTTTTATTGGATATATATTTACTTACCTTTTGCCTCTGTCCAAGACAAGCAAACGAACAAACAGAAAATTGCCAAGAACGAATGCATTTTGATTTCTTCAAAATTGAAAACCAAATTGAATTCGATCCACGCTTACTCTCCAATTTATAATAAATTTTATCAATGGCATTCACAATATTTAATCAAGTACCTCTCTAATTATTACATTTATTTTAGTACTTAAGTACTCTATTAATGGTGTTTCAGGTAAAACAATGGCCTTAAAACAATTTAAAAGTTTCAAGTACTCATAATCGATCTATGGAGTAAATTTTTATCAATTCATGATTTTGTTTGTCGCCTTCTTCACTACGTGATTTACAAAAATTATATTATCTACAGAGATAATACCATCGAGTAGCTATTATATTGTTGTTATCAAAGTACTCGAAAAAAAAAACCTGTAATTTAATGAAATAAATTTATTCAATTTTCAATTCAATATTCTGTAGAAGTCACAAGTTATACATCACAAACGGTGCTAAGAATTAGAGCCGTGCGAATATTTTAATGAATTTCATAAACTATTTTAAAGGGATCTTAATGCATATAAGTTTTCTTCGATCAAGTGTTGAGCTGGCAAAAGAAATATTTCACAAAAGAGGGTCCTTAAAGTTTGGCATATTTTTGTTTTCTCAAAAATTCTTTTCTGCTAACTTTTGCTAATTGATTAAAATGTTTGGGGTACAGTTCTTTTTTCTTAAAAGCAGAATTGTTGGGAATGCAATTAACATTAAATAACATTACATCCTAATCTTCATAAATCTTTCGAAATAAAATTCATTAGAAAAATATACATACATACATTGCATTGTACATAGACGAGATTATAATAAATTTGCACAAAAATTATAAGTAAATAAATACGGCTGTTATTTATTTACTGTTTTTTTTTGTAAATATATATTTATTTTATAAATATTAATAGCGTTAAAGCTTTCGAATATAGATAGCTTCATAATTTGTACTTAACATTAGAAGAAACTTGGCAGACTTGGAATGAAATAGTTGAAACAAATACCTAGAGTACATAAAATCACAAACATTTGGCAATTACATTTTTGTAAAGGTGTTAAAATACAAATTTACTCTTACTAATCAGTAACATCTATTATAATTTGAAAACACCTTCTGAAAAATATATTCTTAGCATTTATGGAATTTAACATTTATATATATATTTAATAAATTTGAAACCTATCTACACCAATATACATATTATTTCGTAAATTCTACGTTGAAAATTATTGTATTATTAGATTGCGTTTCAACAATAGTCTCACTTTTTCATTACAATAAATTACTTAAACAAATCGAAATGTATCTAATGATCAACAAATCATTCGTTAATCACAGTACATAAAACCAAAACGTTGTTTATTCCCCAAACAACAATCCCGAAGTGGACAGAAAAAAAAGCCTAAAAGAGCCAAGTAAATGTCTATAAAAAATAATTTTTCCTATCAATTTCCAAAAATTCGACCACCATTAGACAATCACAGTGTAATTCGTCTCGACGTACGTCCTGTTGCAATAATCCATCACCTTCCCTTCGATGCAACCATCGATCTGATCGAAATCGATGATCAAAAACACCACCCCCATCGAGGCCACGAAGATCCCGAAGAATCCCACCCCCAAGGCGGGCAGCTTTTTCCTGCACAATATGAAACCCTCCTCCAAGCGGAGATAACACAGCGCCGGTAAAACGTAAGCCAACGGAACCGCCGCCAGGACACCCTGAAATCATTCAATTTCCACTAAACTACCCGATTTCGAAGTCCCTTTAGTCATTTAGAAACTCCCCAAAGGTCATTCGAACTTCCTTTAAAATCCACAGGGGAAACTACAAAGTGTTCTCGGGAAGATGTACAAGCATTATATACTTACATTTAGCTCCAAAACCACACCAAGACAATAGGTTGTAATAGAAATAGCGTAGGTGACAGCAACAATGCCCAATGTTAACAAATAATGTACATTGTTAGATGTAGGAACATTGGGATCTTTTCCTATCAAAGTGGTTTCGATAACATCTCTGGTTACAAAGCACTCGATCGGGTAGGTGAGGAGGATTTGGACGCTGAACAGCAATCTACTGACGTTCATCAGATCATCGTCCCAGCAGTAATTCTCCAAGAGGTCGCCTGGAACATTAGGAAATTCACCTGCAGGTCTACATCTGGATTAACCTGGTGTATATATACCTTGAGAAAGAGCTTTGAAGGTCGAATAACCGGCTATGCCAAACATCAAGGCCACCACCAAGCTGACGAAAATCGATGCATGGGTGATCGTCTCCCATTTCTTCTGATTCGCGTCCGCTATCGAACTGTATATCAAGAAGGTGTTGTGGTGACACATAAAAGCTACCAAAAAAATCAATAAACTAATCCAAAAAAAATTCGATGCAACTCAAATTCCCTTACCGAAAGCCATGATGCCGATCGCCGGTATAATATCTTTGTTAATGAACTTCCAAGAATCCGCGTGAGGAGGCCTGAAACAACAGTTATGTACAAAAAAAAATGGAGATGTTTGAGGCTTACACGACATCGCTAATCGATCCAATCCTAATGAAAATCGACACCAAAATAAAGGCGATGCAAACGAGACTGAAGAAAGAGACTTTAGCCAATTTGGCAACGTCTCTATAAAGACACAACGGCACCGTCACCAGCAACGTCGCAATCAACACCACCATCTCCCTTTTGGCGAAAATCGAATCCGATCCGATTCCGGTCAATCTCACCATCACCTTCGTCACCGTATCGCCCACGACGATGTTGTAAGACACCATAGCTGCAATCCAAATCAAATCTACAATCACCATAATCATCGAATGAATCGATTTACCTATAAACGGATAGAAGAATTGGAGGAATCCGAGCAGATAGTAGCCGGTTCGTCCGAAGGCCGCCTCCATGATGCCCTGATAGGAGAATTTCCCGCTGATGTGGCCGCTGCGCACCATCAAAATCAACGAATAATCGGTCACGAAGGCCACGAATATGATCAAGGCTATGCCGAAACCGAAGCCGGCCTCGTGCAGGGCGTAAGGCATGCCTGGAATGATCTCTGGATTATACTTTATTCGATAAAAAAATCTCATATATATGTCCAATTTATTTATACTTCATTCGATGAACTAACGCTACAGGATAGTAAGTTCAGCGAATGGGCTATAGAAGAGGATTCGTGCGAATGATAAAAGGAATTATTTCATACCGATGACGCCGCTGCCGATGATGGAATTGATGAAATTGAAACTGGCCAAAGGTAAGGTGTTGCTCTTGTCGTTTTCATCTTCCTGCGAACGGGAATTTGTTTGATAATTGCGGCGAAAATTGGGATTAACGATGACTTACGTTGATCAATTGCTTCATGTCATCGAAGGCGTTTTCATTGGAATCGAAACTGCTTCCCTGCGTGTTAATAATATTCGTGTAGTTAATGAAGGAATTTAATATGTTTACATGCGGATTAATCGATATATGAGAAGCATACAAAACGATTATCTTTCGTGTTATAATGTGGAATATTAAAGAAGATATCCTGGAAGGTTTAGGTAAATTAACTGTTAAGATTTTCAATTTGTTTAGTAGTATTTAATCAATCGAAAACGCGACTCTACAAAGTCTATATGCACCCGAAATGTGATCTGGGTAACTAAATATTGGAAGACTTCCAAGTGCATTTATAAAATTTCGTTGCTTCTGTCGCTTCGATAAGCTAAAAAAACAAACAGATTTTGTTAAGTAAATATCGAATTTCCAAAAACTCCTTTGGCTCTACGCGAATTCGTGTAAATATGTCAGGATTTTTAATAAATTTTTAAACTCACCCTATCCTCCGAAACGCTCCTTCCTCCCCCTTCCAATATATAACTCTTCTCGTTAACGGCCCCGCCGGCCAACATATCGAAAAATATCGAAAAATATTCGCACTGGCTCGAAGAATCTTAAACGAAAAATCTCAAAAACTATTTCCCGACGCGACGAAAAGCATCTCGAAACGCTTTATCCGGTGTTTTCTCTTCAATTCTCATGTAAATTCTGGAATCGTCCCGGAATCGCCCCGGAACGGGAATGGGATTGGATTCGCGAGAATTGGACATCGGATATGTCGAGTGTTAAATATCGATTAGGACGGAGCGGAGCAGAATATCAGAATCATGCGCTAAGTCCTGAGGAAAATTACTCTGCGGTGTACGAGGGACGATAACGATACGTTAACGGAAGTTAACACGATAGATTAGGTGTTATGAATATTTCATTGTAATAAATGTGTACCGAATTGTAGTTATCTTATATCGGTGCAAAGTGTATAATTATTTTTTTTATCTAATCGATAGGCTATGTGAGAAAACGAACTGTAAAGAGATGTATTACATATTCTCCAATTTAATAATTTGTAATTCTACTCTATTCTACACCACTCTACGATAAATTATTATTGTTTTTTTTTCGCGTTGTACACGAATATGTGGGACTTTAAGATGCGTTCGATAATACTATAATGTCAATATAAACAAAAAGACTAAATTGACATTAATGACATTTCGTATGACAGAAGAATTTTTCGAATGCCGTTTGAAAACGTTGATAAACGTAGCTTTTTATACAAATTTTAGGTACTTTCCGCTATTTTCAACCTCTCTATTTCATTTGCTTGTTAAAAATATCGCATACAGGCCTTTTACCACACCTTCATTCACCAACCACTAGACTGACATATGACATATCGATTTCGACGCTAACTTCCGTATGCAGGCCTTTTACCACACCTTCATTCACCCACCAGCTCGATTGACATATGACATATCGATTTCGACGCTAACTTCCGTATGCAGGCCTTTTACCACACCTTCATTCATCCACCAGCTCGATTGACATATGACATATCGATTTCGACGCTAACTTCCGTATGCAGGCCTTTTACCACACCTTCATTCACCCACCAGCTCGATTGACATATGACATATCGATTTCGACGCTAACTTCCGTATGTAGGCCTTTTACCACATCTTCATTCACCCACCAGCTCGATTGACATATGACATATCGATTTCGACGCTAACTTCCGTATGCAGGCCTTTTACCACACCTTCATTCACCTACCACTAGACTGACAAATGACATATCGATTTCGTCGCTAACTTCCGTATGCAGGCCTTTTACCACACCTTCATTCACCTACCACTAGACTGACATATGACATGTCGATTTCGACGCTAACTTCCGTATGCAGGCCTTTTATCACACCTTCATTCACCCACCAGCTCGATTGACATATGACATATCGATTTCGACGCTAACTTCCGTATGCAGGCCTTTTACCACACCTTCATTCACCAACCACTAGATTGACATATGACATATCGATTTCGACGCTAACTTCCGTATGCAGGCCTTTTACCACACCTTCATTCACCAACCACTAGATTGACATATGACATATCGATTTCGACGCTAACTTCCGTATGCAGGCCTCTTACCACACCTTCATTCACCAACCACCAGACTGACATATGACATATCGATTTCGACGCTCACTTCACTCCGCATAGGTTATGTTTTTATTTTAGGTTAAAGGTTAAATTACCCGTTTAGTTTTAGACATAAAATTCGCCAAAGATCATGTTCCATTTATCACGAATCGCCCATTTACTGAAATCCTTGCCCGTAATCGTTCGCTCGAATCGACGCCTGTCCAAATGTCACTCGGAATTTTCGTCGAAAGTCGTGCGAAAAAAATTCCTGGATTACTTCGTGCAAGAACACAACCACAAACATGTCAAATCGAGTCCGGTTGTTCCCTACTGCGATCCTACCATCAATTTCGTCAACGCCGGCATGAATCAGGTAAATTTCGCTCAATTTTAATTCCGAAGTTCCATCGATAGTTGGAGGAAAATCGAATCAGTTTAAGGGCATTCTCATTGGAACACAACAACCCAAGTACAGGACTGTAGCGAATAGCCAAAAGTGCATCAGAGTGGGCGGAAAACACAACGATTTGAGCGTGGTGGGTTCGGACGGGTACCATCATACGTTCTTCGAGATGCTCGGAAACTGGTCGTTCGGGGAGTACTTTAAGGTTACAATTTATTCTAATAGAATCGCAACGTTTGTTATTATTAGAGCGCTGTTTCAGGCGGAGGCTTGTAAACTCGCTTGGGATCTTCTAACAAATGTGTTCAAATTACCGAAGAATCGATTATACGTCACTTATTTCAAAGGGGACCACGAATTGGACTTGAAAGAAGATGTAGAAACTAAAGAAATTTGGAGAAACTTAGGGTATGTTATAAACAATTAACTTTTGATATAAAAAAAGCGATGTTGTTGCAGCTTATCGAACGATAGAATCCTACCGTTTGGCGTAAAAGACAATTTTTGGGAAATGGGCCTAGCGGGGCCCTGTGGACCTTGCACGGAGATCCATTACGATCACATCGGTGGCGCAGATAGAGCTAAATATTTAAACAAAGGCCTGCACGATCTCATCGAAATTTGGAATGTGGTATTCATCGAATACAACAGGTAACTACAAACAATTACAAATCGAATGGAATAAATCGAAATTACCATTATAGATTACCCGATGGTACGATACACAAACTACCGAGGAAGCACGTCGACACCGGAATGGGCCTCGAACGATTAACAGCCGTTTTACAAAACAAAATCAGCAACTACGATACGGATATATTTCGATATTTGTTCGAAGCTATATACAAGGTACCGTTCGGTTGCGTTCGCTTCGTTCTAATAACGTAAAAAAATATTTCAATCGTAGAATTGCAGGGGCGTTAGGAGATACGGCGGATCGTTCGGCGAAAAGGACTGGAACGATTTGGATAAATCTTATCGAACGATGGCGGATCACGTGCGAATGATAACCGTTTCTTTGGCCGATGGAATGATACCGGAAGAAAAGTAAACGACGAAAAACGTTTAGTGGAAATTATTCAAACGATTTATTTTTCCAGTCAGAAACTACGCAAGATAATGAGAAAAACGTTTCTGCTCGGCGACAACGTGTTCAAGCAACCCAAGAATTTCGTGAAAGAACTGACGAATTACGTCGTGGATAACTTGGGTCCGGTTTATCCGGAACTCGAACGAAACATATCCCAAGTAAGCTGTATCCGATTCGACAGAAATTAATAGTAAAAAATTTGATTGTACAGGTGCATCGAATCGTTTCGTACGAAGAAGAAGTTTTCGAATCGCTCAGGCGATCGGCTTCGAAAGACTGGGAAATACTCGCGAAATCCAATCCCAAATTGTCGCGACTCGATATCGTAGAAACGCCGAATTTCGTTAAAGCTTACAAGGAAGTCGGTGAGAACATGCCGAAGGAAATCCACCCGAAACTGGCCTTTAAATTGTACGATACCCACGGTTTGGACGAAGAAACCATCGCGAAGCTCGCCGAAGCTTTGAACCTTCGATTCAATCCCGATGATCTGATCGATGAATTGCAATCGGTGAAAATCAAATCGAAACGAGCGAGCGTTAGAGTCGAAAACGGCCTCTATTCGACTCTATTTAACGATGGAATTCCGAAAACGGACGATCGATCGAAATACTCGTACTCGAGAAGCATTGATGGGAAATACAAGTTCGATGGCATTCGAACGAAGGTTTTGAAAATCCTGCGAAACGATGAACGTTTGAGTGAAATCGAAAGCGATCATTACTGCAGCTTGATTTTGGATAGGACTAATTTGTATTCCGAAGCAGGTAGGCTCTATTCGAAAACTAGGTGGAACTTTTTTTGTGGATTTTTAAAATGCTCCTCCTAGTTTTTAAATAGGGTATTTTAATTGTGTATACAGGGCGTTCTGTTTAATTTCCAGGCGGTCAGACGAGCGACAGAGGGTTGATTGAATTCCCCGAAGGCGTGTTCGAAGTAACATCTCTCGAGAATTTGAACGGTTATATTTTACACAACGGTTTCTACAAATCGAAAACGGAAAAATTACAATGCAACATCGAAGGGATCTTGAAAGTTGATGACGGTTTTCGATTGAATTGCATGCGAAATCACACGGGGATACATCTGTTGAATGCCGTGCTGAAAAAACAGAAGTCGGTTACTTGCCAGAAATCCAGTCGGGCGACCGATAAATATCTAAATTTCGACGTTGCGATATTCGGCGATAAACTTTCCAAACGAGATCTCGTCGACGTGGAAAAGGGCGTTTTGGAAATCGTTAAAAAAAGCGAACCGGTCTCGATACGTTCGATCGACAGCCAGGAATTGTTAGCGTACAACGAGCTGACTTTGATACCGGGTGAAATCTATCCGGATACCGGAATCAGGATAGTCGAAATACGAAGTGGCGATTTCTTATCGAGGTGATTCGAGTGGTGTTGGTTTTGTTGAATTGAATGATAAAAGGGATTCGTTTTCAGGGAGCCCTGTTGCGGTACACACGTTGCGAATACAGCGGATGTCGAGGATTTTTGTTTGGTTAACGTGAAATCGTTGGGAAGAAGTACCGCATCGGTAACGGCTGTAACCGGAGAAGTTGCCAGGCAAGCCAGAAAAAACGGAGCGTTATTGTTGGAACAAATCGAAGCTTTATCGAAGAAAATAGACGATAACATAGACAAAGTATGCTCCTAATAGCGTTTGTTCTATAGCCTTTGGTATTTATCGAAACGTTTATTTATAGAGAGAAGTTCTTAATATGGCGGTTGGGGCGTTAAAAAAGAAATTAACCAACAATTTCGACGAATCGTACGTTCTTCCTTTGAACGTGAAAATCGAGTGCTCTGAGAAATTGGATTCGATAATGAAGAAAATCCAAAATGTGGAAACCGAATGTTTAAAGTAAGCCTTTTGTTTGAACGAAATCTGACGTGGATTGTGAATTTTTTTTTGTTTCGATTCTTTCAAAGGGATTTCGTGGTAATGGAAATGCAAAGCGCCTTGGAATCCAATATTAGGACGACGAAATCGAACAGAAAATATCTGATTCACTATTTGCGAAGTTCGACGATGCTCGATAATGTCCCTTTGCAAAAAGCTACCAAACTGTGTCCGGATTTGCCTATTTTAGTTATAGCTTATGTCGATAATACTGTGAAAGCGAGATGTTGCGTTCCTAAGGTAAGGCGTTGTCTGATAAGTGGGACTTTAAGATGCCTTCCATTATACTATTGACATTAATGACAGATGTTTAATAGAGGTGGGAATCGATTTTCGGGTATAGAGATGGCTGTTACGAAATAACTAATACTTCGCTACTCTGTAGGATGTAAAGACTGATTCATTCACCGCGGAAAAATGGATGAACGAAATAGCATCGGTGTTCAATAGCAGGGCGGCGCCTCCGAAGGGACAAGATGGAGGTTTAGTGTGTAATATGAAAGCGAAAAGGGTTCACGTTCAAGATTTGGATCCGCTGTTGAAGGATGGCATGCAGAAAGCGCAGAAATACATCGAAGAAAACCTGTGAAAAGCGTAAGTGAGACCTTTTTAGTACCTGAAAAACGAATACTTGTCCAAATTAAAGCGTTTCTTTATTTTTGTAAAGTTTTATTATTTCATTAAATACGATTTAACAAGCTTCAACACTTAAATGCGCAACATGAATTTTGGGTCAACGATTAGCGGCTTATTCGAAACGACAAATTGTTAATTTCAAACGAGTAAATTCAACGGAAAAGTTTTTGATTATTTTTTTAAAAACCATTGCTTTTTATTATTCTTTTTTAACAACGTACGCAGTCTTTGTTTACCGTGTTTGCAAAGCTGCAGCATTAATAAATTTAAAAAAATATACTTTTTGCAACGACATTTTGTAAATGGTGAGTGGATGGCGAAATTAAATACAGGATGTTTCGAGGACTATAAGCTTCGTTTTTTTACTTACAAATATTAAAATTCTCGGTTAATTTTACTGTCTAATTAGTGTAAGTTTTGAAACAACCTGCTCACAATGTCTATAAAAAATAAGTATGTGAAATATATCTGTAATACAGTCTTAAATCTACTATGACACCGACATTGTACATAACATACAACTTCTACAAATATAAAAAATAATTTAAAACAACCTTAAGAGCTATTCGAAATGATTATTTCTCTTAATTCTAAAACATTGTAACAACAGTTCAATGTGAACAAAACAAACAGTACTATTTTAAATAAATTATTATATTTTATAATAGTACACAAGCTAAGCATTAAAACAGTGAAAATTCCAGTACCTATATTAGTTTCCCTTCCGTAAAGTCGATGCTTTTATTTATCTCTTAATTGAACTAATGGAATGCATTTTTATTTTATTCGTAACGTACGGAAGGAAACTGCAGATTACGTGTCACTAAAATAAGGCAATGCACTTAACATTAATTTAATTCTAAGCTCTTGACTAAGTATTAGAAAAATTTAAATTGGCAATTTACTTTGGATCATGCCGAATTTTATCTATCGATTCGTTTTTCATTCTGTAGCTTTTCATATTATACAAATTCATTATTTAATTGTTTTGCTTACAAAATCTTGCGAAATAGAAAGTTTTTTTAAGTTTAAGTTTTTCGTTTTATAGTAAATTTTATTGGCTCAATTTTACAGATTCATTCAAAAAATTCTCCACAAGTTAATGCGTAGGTACATTATCGAAATGATATGTGCATGCTCCAAACGTAAAAGGTACAATTTTCAGATTTCATACAGTAAATATAAAAAAAACTGGAGTTTATTATCGACAACTTAAACTAGAATAATATTAACTAACTAAAAATTCTACAATTTTTTTCGTTAAATTAATTCGTTCTTGCAAGTTTCTCAGTAACAATTTTCAATCTTCGTACAAGTTGTTACCTCAAAAAATACAAAAAAAAAGTATATCCGGAAATCGTATAACAACATGTTTAAACATCAAACAATCAGTTCGAGTAAAAGTAAAATATACTTTCGAACCATTCGTTGTACTTACTCTAGTCAAAATGTTGCTACGAAGTACCCGATGAATTATTAGGCTTCTGAATGCACTTCAAATCGTCCAGTTGAATTAACTGAAACAACAACAACAATCGATCACAACAAATCGATCAATTAACAACAACGAAAATAAACCACCTTTTCTATAGGTATACAAGACAACTCGCCGCCCTGTTGCGGGGGCGGCAGAGGCGTCGGCGCCGTCGGCGTCACCGGCGGCTTCAGACCTTTCTCCAGCGCTTCTCGAGCTCGACGTTCCTTCAATTTCAACGAGAATATAGCCACGGATCTCGCCCTCTTCATCAAACTCTGTTTCACTCTCGTCTTTTTCGCCGCCAGTTCTTCCGCAGCTGAAAAAAAATACATTTGTAATGTACCAGTAGCGCGCATAGTAAAAGGCATACGGACGAGCCGAACAACCGCGGTAGCCGAGGCCTTTCAAGCGTAAGCTTAAAAACTAACAAAGTAGAAGATTTTGCAATTTTAACGGCCCGTGACGACGGTCTTTTACTCGTCACGCTACCAGCTACAATCGAGGAAATATCCGCGTACCCAATTTGGCCGCCTCGTCTGCCGCCTCCTGGCTCGATACACTCTTAGAACTGTCGCCGAGGGCGGGATCCTGGGGCACCAACGGTCTCGCCCTGGCCGGTACGGGGGGCGGCGATCGCGGCCTCGGAGGCCACAACGGGCTGGTTTTCAACAGGTCCGAATCCGAACTAGAAGCGTCCTAAAAACAAACAAAAAGTATTTATTATAGAGAAAATGTATTATAGAAAAACCACTCGCCTTGGGAGCGATGCAATCGGTGCTCTTGTGAACCTCCGAATCGTCTTTCAATCGTCGAGTCCATTCGGCCCCGCCCGGACCAATGGTCAGATGATGTGTATCGCCCTGTATAACGAAAAACAAATTACCAACGATATCATGCATATGATTAAATTGTCGCGTAATGTATAATTATACCTCCGAAGGGATCCATTCCTTGGATTTTCTCGGTCTGAACGGCGGTATCTCCTGTATGCTGTCTATCGTAACGCCCCCCGTATTTTTCGAATGAATGGACGGCGGCGTGCCGGAGACGGAGGCGACGCCGCCGGGCGTCGTGGGCGTCGGGACGGGCGTGGCGTCTTTGGAACGATCGAAATCGTACTGTTTCAATTTCTCCATCGATCGTTTGAAGCTCTCCGAATTTTGCGACGACGCCGCGTGAATGGGCGATACCGAGAAACTGGGCGACGAAAAAATGAAAAAAAATTATAATAATCGGTTTGGTCGAGTGTATGGATGTGATTCTGGAGCGTTCTAAATGATTCTCGAGCAGTGTATATGATTCAAGTCAATTCAAAAATGATTCTGGAACGTTCTAAATGATTCTAGTCAATTCAAAATTATTCTGGGACGTTCTAAACGATTCTAGACAATTCAAAATGACTCCGGAACGTTCTAAATGATTCTGGGGCAGTCTAAATGATTCTAGTCAATTCAAAAATGATTCTGGAGCGTTCTAAATGATTCTAGTCAATTCAAAATTATTCTGGGACGTTCTAAACGATTCTAGACAATTCAAAATGACTCCGGAACGTTCTAAATGATTTTGGAGCGTTCTAAATGATTCTCGAGCAGTGTAAATGATTCTAGTCAATTCAAAAATGATTCTGGAGCGTTCTAAATGATTCTAGTCAATTCAAAATTATTCTGGGACGTTCTAAACGATTCTAGACAATTCAAAATGACTCCGGAACGTTCTAAATGATTTTGGAGCGTTCTAAATGATTCTCGAGCAGTCTAAATGATTCTAGTCAATTCAAAAATGATTCTGGAACGTTCTAAATGATTCTGGAGCGTATTAAATGATTCTAGACGATTCTAGGTAGTTCTCGTATCGTGGGTAATACTCATTTAGAAATAGCGCATACACGAATACACGTTTTTTACTGCTCGCGAGAAGAGGATAAGTTGATGACTAAATAATTTATTATTATGATTACCGTCCGATGAGTTTAGATGTAATTTCTTCGGGCGATGGCGTGTTGGTCGTTATCCTGCTCGCCTCTCTTCGAGCCCATTCGATTTTGGCCATTTCGGTGGCCAACCAACCGGGTATATCGGGTATGGCGCACGTTATTATGAATCTAATCACCAGCATGATGTGCTGAAAACGGCAAATAAATTAATCCCGAATTAATAATTATAATGAGATGTTTATCAGCTTTACCTCGAGAGCGACGATGAGCAGAATAGTTTGAGTAGCCGTCATGTCGGAGAACATTCGATGTACTTGACCGGAGAGGCCGATCAGAGCGCAATTCACCAACACCGCCATTATGCTCATGTGTTCCATGCAATTCTATTTGAAAATTAGAAGAAGAAAAAAAATAGTGTATAATCCGCGCGTTAGAGGCGCCTCTAGACCGGTCGCAAGAAAATAAACCAAATCTCCGATCTGTTGGGACGAGATCTAGAGCCCTTCGTGTGTTCGATATTTATCATATTTACCTGCCACGTACCGATGTTGGGCACCCTTTGACCGAATGGTCTTTGACAAACGTAGCCCAATTTGAAGGCGTCGCTTCGAATTTCGATGAGATTGTTGAACATGGCGCACAAAGCGGCCGGTGGAAATGCCGACGAGAATAATATTACGTAGCCCAATTGGATGGTCATTTCCAAATGATCGGCGAACGTACCGTCGTACTAAAAAAAAAAAATATTAATTACTACGACGGGTACTGCTAATCTGCGTACGGGAAAATTTAAGGCGATATTGTTTTAGACAATTCTAAATGATCCTGGAACGTTCTAAACGGTTCTATACGATTCCACATGATTCTGGAGCATTCTAAATCGTTTTAGACAGTTCTAAATGATTCTGGAGCGTTCTAACTAACTATGGCACCTTCTAAATGATTCTGTACAGTTCTAAATGATTTTGGAGTATTCTAAATCGTTTTAGACAGTTCTAAATGATTCTGGAGCGTTCTAACTAACTAAGTAACCTTCTAAATGATTCTATACAGTTCTAAATGATTCTCGATAAGCGTTCAAAAAGACTATGAAACTTTCTCAATAGTTTTTTACAATTCTACATGATTCTAGAGCGTTCTACCTAACTATGGAACCTTCTAAATGATTCTATACAGTTCTAAATGATTTTCGATAAGCGTTCAAAATGACTATAGAATGTTCTTAATGATTCTATACAATTCTACATGATTCTGGAGCATTCTAAATCGTTTTAGACAGTTCTAAATGATTCTAGAGCGTTCTAACTAACTATGGAACCTTCTAAATGATTCTATACAATTCTACATGATTCTGGAGCATTCTAAATCGTTCTAAACAGTTCTAAATGATTCTGGAGCGTTCTAACTAACTATGGAACCTTCTAAATGATTCTATACAATTCTACATGATTCTGGAGCATTCTAAATCGTTCTAGACAGTTCTAAATGATTCTGGAGCGTTCTAACTAACTATGGAACTTTCTAAATGATTCTATACAATTCTACATGATTCTGGAGCATTCTAAATCGTTCTAGACAGTTCTAAACATGCCCAAATCTAGCAACGTATAATAGACTAACTTTGTACAAAGTACTTTCGAGCTCGGCTTGGCTCATCGTTCGTTTGGCATTCGATCGTTCGGAATTGCCGTCGTCTTTTCCATCGTTATTCTCCTCACCGTCGATGGAAGTCTCCGCAGAGCCCGGTGGCGATTTGGATGACGAAGGGCTGAGGGCGCCCCAAAGGTCGAAGCTCATTTTGGCCAAACGCATGTGTTCCAACATGTAGGGCAACGCGGATTCCTTCAGATTGCCGATTACTTGACGGGCTATCAACAGGGCGGCCAATTGCTGTAGGGAAAATTCAGAAAAAAAAAATTAAAGTGTAATTAATATTGTACGCGAATAAGCGGGGCTTTTAAGATGCCATCGATGGTACATAATAGAGGTGGGAATCGGTATAGCGACAGTTACAAAATAACCGTTATTTTTTCACTACATGAAAAGTCCTCTATTAATCCTCGGGGTAAAAAACAAACACATTTTTTTTTTGTTATTCTCTTACCTCTTTCAAACGGGCCTGATCTTGAAGATAGAAGGCGATGTAGAATAACGACAAAAACGAATTTACGAATTGAAACTGGAATAAATAACAATTATTTCGATAAAATTCATCAAAACGGAATTATCATAAGAGCTGGTTAGGTGAAATAAACATTCCAAGCTATAGAAACATGCCGGTTTTTGATGATCGAAATATACCATTAAAATGAAGGAAGAACGATTTAATCTAATTGTACGAATATTTACACAACAAACATTATTAACTTCAATGAAACCTTTAGAAAGAATTTATTCTATTAAAAATGAGCAGTTAGAAATTATTCCTTCTACCAATCATTAATGATACCCCCCTGTAACAATCCATCGACTACTATATCCTGTACAAGGGGAATAAGATATGTATATATAATGATTTTATAGGCGGATAATACAGAACATGTGCATAAATATGCTATAGATAAATTATATCTAAAACTACGAATACGAACCAGAGCCACTTTTCCGATGAGATGATTTTCATATTTGGTCTCGAGACGATAATTTTCTAAAGAGGCAGCATGGTAAGTTAAAAACGTAAAATAGAAAACTTAATCAACTCCTTTTTAAAAAAAAAATATATAAACTACAATTCCAACTAAATTCTATCATCTCTAAAACGCTAATGGCAAATTTATTACGATTAGATCGTCTAAATTGATTAGTAAAACTACCTATACAATATGTACAAGAAAGACTCACCTTTGTCGTTTAACCAAACGGCTATTTTAAAATAAGCTTCGTCCATTAGGGATATTATCACGGCCAATCCGATTTTCGGAATGTACCCCAACCAATGGGGCAAACTGTGATTCCTCAGGAAATTATCCCAATAATCCTACAAACATAGTCTACATTAATTTTAATCCGGAAATTCCACACCTCTACAATTTCGCATGCATCATACGCCGATAAATCGAACTTTAAGATGCGTTCGATGGTACCTTTTAACGCCTCAAAAAGTGACATTAATGACAGTTCGTACGACACGAAGTTTAATAGAGGTGGGAACCGATTGTTTAGTATAGAGATGCAGTAACGAGCGCGTTACAAAATAACCGTTACTTTTTTTTCGGGTTATCGTCGAGATCCTCCTCACCTGTATTTGAAGCGAAACGATCATGATGCAAAAGACGGCGATCAAACAAACGGTAATGATCGGCACGGAGACGAAATACCTGAAAACGTGTCGCTTCCAAGCCGGATGGCGGGGCTCCAATCTCTTCGTGACGGGACTCCTTTCTAAAGGGCCCTGCGAACAAACGACGACATGTCGAGGCAGCTGCCGATACATCGACATGTTTCAACTAGATTAAGCAAACTAACGAAGCAAACTTAAAAATTATATTCGAAACGAAAAGAAAGGCTTTTATGAAAGCAAAGCGATAAAGCTCCTCTTTTTCACACATAAAATATTGCCATTTACCCCACCAATAAAACACTCTGTATCTTATTATTTGCTTGCATATACGCTAAATTATATGTATAGAAAACTACAATAAGATCTATACAACGTTTCCAACGTATAATACAGATTCATCATCAGACACCTGTGTGTAGAAGCAAGCTTGTGCGATCGAATTCGGTAATAATAATAAATAATAATAAACCGATATTCGATGAAAATCCGAAGTTCCTTACCCTAAATAAAGGTCTCGGCTCCGCCAGGAGATTGTCCCTTTGATCTAACGTGCCCCAACGAAAGGCCAATTCGGCCGAATAACGTTTCCAAGCTTGCAGATATGTCGTCACCCAAACCACGTTGAATATGGAGAACATCACGTAACCGATGTCTTCTAACGTTTGGTGTTTCCCGTTGCAGCACAACTGAAACAAATTTCCACAACAATTTCCGTTAAAATTCTAATGTTCTAACGGTGTTAGATCGGGCGATCTTGGTGGTCGATGCAATCGATGCATCCACCACACTGTATGTTTACTCAATGTTAGTGTTATGTAGATTATAAGGTGCGATAAAGACACTTGTAAAGGATAAAAGAAATAGTGAATTTGTATCGTTACTTTTCATTCAGAAAAAACTGTTATTTTATTAATCTTTCTTACCCAAAATACGAATCCGAAAATGGCGGGAATGCTCAAAGCGGTGGTGTAATGGCCGAGCCAGGCGAAGTACATTCCGATTTTAACGCCGAAATACTCGGTGATTTCGTCTGAAACGTTTTAAAAAATTATATATTCAACTGTATATATATTTTTTTTCGACGAGATAATTTCCGTGTTTTCCTTACCTAAGGGTTGTTTGGAGAAAACGTCGCGTACCCAAGAATTCTGGAGCCTTTCCAGAGCTCCCGGTTCGTGTAACGGAAACACTTGGCTAATAATACCTTCGGTAAGGCATTTCGGAACTAAAAAATCGACTCATTAAATCCGGCAACATTCATCGATATATATCATTTACCTATAGGTTGTCCTTCTATTAGAGTAACGCCCGGTATAACATCCGAATCGGCGGGTTTGGCTCTGATGCTTTCGAGGACGTGCAAAATGAGCCATTGTCGTTCTTCCGTCGTGAAAAATCGTTTTTCGTCGTGGGAATTTTCGTAAGAGGCCATCTCTTGCAGACAGAATTCCTTCAAGCCGCCGCCTTTGTCTTCTTTAAGGACTTTCGGAAGATGGTATTCTTCGGCGGCTCTAAGAAGACTGAAAAAAAATCCATTATAATCGATTTTTTTAACAATTTTTCTCGCTAGAAAAATATTAAGTTTAAGAGAAACGAGAACTTTTCGTGGCGTTGTTTATTATCAGATTACCCGAATCGCAAATGCCGGCCCCGTTCGCGTGTTTATATCAGAAATCTGGTACGAAAATAAAAATTAGCTTTACTAATTCATAGGCCCGTCTATTTTTCTCTTTATACAAACGAATAATCTACGAAATTAGCTCTTTTGAAGCGGCTGCTTTTCAATGGAAAATCGATATTACAATCGTTCCAATACCGGAACCTAATCGGTGCTTTAATTAAAATTTAGACGCCACAAAAAACTCCAATTCATCGTATAAGAGTAATAAAACGGCTTTAAATAATTACATGTAATAGAAAAAAGTTAATTAACCAAAATGGCAAAGAAGAAAATACGAAAATATTATTAAAGTAAAAACAATAAACGAAATTAAGAAACGTAAATAATTAGATTCAATCAAGTACTACTGACAGAATTTTTGCACTTGTACAGTTCAAAATAATCTCAAAGAAGTGCGAAATAGTTCGTGTAATGTTTGACAAACATTTTAAAAACAGTTTGCAAATTATCAAAATAAAATATGCTAGTTACAGATATCAAAGAAGAATTATTTAGGAAACTCTTTTAACATGATCTATTTTAATCTCACCTCGAAGCGGTTTCAAGAGCTCGAAAAAGTCTCTAAAATTCTCTCAGTAGCATAAACGAATAATCCTCTCGAATAAATAATTAACGACGTCGATAAAAACTGCAAAAGTCTCAATTGTAAATAGAATTTTAATGAAATAATCGTTATTAACTTTAATAAGACCACAAATCTAGCTTTACACGACAGCTCCCGGCCATATACATAATTATGCAGGAGGAACTTAAATTTTAATCGAGCCTACAATTACTTGGCACAAATTGGAGGGAGTAGCGTGAAATTATTGTCTATGAAATATTAATATGTAGTGAAAAAAAGTTAATAGAAACATACAATTTAATAACGATTTAATAAATCCCTTTGAGTGAACGAATAATATAATCTACTACTGAATCTATTCTGCGATAAATTACCACGTGGGACTTTAAGATGCGTTTGATGAGACATAAATAAAAACTGTCAAAATTGACAGTAATGGCGGAAGTTTAATTGAGGTGGGAATTGATTTTTGGTATAGAGATGCAGTAACGACCGTTACAAAATAACCGTTATTTTTCAAATATCGTTCTTTTCATTATTCTACTCCACCCAACACTGAATTTACACTGATCATCATGTTTAATAAATAATATTTAAATGAACTTACATCATAAAAGGAGCTGTGACGTAGAAAGCACTCGACTGGGTCGAATTGTGATGACGAACGTGTACAGTTAAACCGGGGGACTGTCTCAATTTGGACAACAGCCACATCAACAACGAATCCTTCGCTCCTGGTGGAAATGTGATAACTACATCGCAATTCGGTGTGAATACTCGTTTCAGCCAAAGTCGTTTCGGGGCGAGGAAATGGCCCGAGTACGGTATCTTTCTTCTGAGTAGTTGCGATGCTAAAATTCCAAATACATTTTTTTTTATTATTATTCATATTATTTTAAGCAAAAAAATTAGGGTGGTAATGTTTATAGTACCTTGTTCGAATTTTTGTTGTGCAGACTCGACGATATTTCGCCTTCGCAAGCCGCTCGAATTCGCATCGGTGTCCCCATTTTCGGCTTCTTGAGTTGCCAAGTTCTCCTTACTTGACATTCTACTAACTTTATGGATTTTATAATAAAAATAGCTAAGACGAACGATTAATCAATTAAAGTCATAATGCGATGAATGCGTTTAAAAGTTAAAAGTGATTTAAACGGTTAGCGGGCACTCTTTCACTCAAAATTTTTTAGATTAATCCGTTTTATTAACTCGTACAATCGCGTACCTACTTTCAACTTTCAACCACAAATAATCGAAAATATTTTTTTGTAAAACGCAGTTGTCAATGTCAAAGTTGTCAAAAATGGTTGCTTTAATTACCGAATAGAAGCAAGTTAATGTGTAAAAGAAGAATATTTTTTTGATAAAAAAGGAAAATAAATATTTTGTCTTACTGTTTTACAACGTATTTATTAAATTTTCTACATAAATTTGGCAAACAAAAAAGTTGCAAAGTTACGCTAAAAAAAGAAGATATTCTTCTTCTTTTTTTCTGTTGGTTGCTGAGTGATACTTTCGGTCGAGGCCTTCTGTCTTCTGTCACAGTTTGTTTTTGTGTACATTTTCAACGCGTAAAGTAGGGTTATGTTTGACTTCCAAAACATTTAAATGAATCGGTAAACATGTCCACAGAAAAAAAAGTAATTCAAGAGTTCGTCCTCGAACAAGACAACGAACTACGTTTCGAAGTGGAATCGAAAAACGAAAAGGTATATCTAACATTAAAAAGCGGAACGGCGGAAGTTTTCGGCACCGAATTAGTCAAAGCGAAAACGTACGAGTTCACATCGGGCGCCAAAGTGGCCGTATTTACGTGGAACGGTTGTGTAATCGAAGTTAAAGGTAAAACAGATGTAATTTACACGGCCAAAGAGACCCCTATGGTGATTTATTCCAACTGTCACGCCGCTTTGGAATTCATGCGAGTTGAAGCCGAAAAGGACAACAAAAGGGGCCCGATCGCGTTACTAGCGGGGCCCTGTGACGTCGGTAAATCTACGGTATCTAGGATTTTATTAAATTACGCTGTGAGAATGAACCGACGACCGATTTTCGTCGAATTAGACGTGGGACAGGGACAAATATCGATACCTGGAACAATCGGTAAAAATCCATAAATTCCTCTTCAATTCACATTAACAATTTATTTACCCTATTTAGGCGCGCTTATGATAGAACGACCGGCTTCTATAGACGAAGGTTTTTCCCAGGAGGCTCCGCTAGTTTACAATTTCGGCCATAAAACCATATCGGCCAATCCCAACCTGTTTACGATACTAACGAATCATTTGGCAAACACGGTTAAAGAACGATTAGAAGTAAACAAAAAAAGTAAAATATTTTAACACGAGACGTTTTCGATCGACGATTCGATTAACCCGTTTTGATTTTCCAGCTCGTTCGTCCGGGGCCATTATAAACACCTGCGGCTGGATAAAAGGGGCCGGTTACAAACAACTCCTCAATTCTATCAAGGCTTTCGAGGTCGACATTATAATGGTGTTAGATCAGGAAAGGCTCTACAACGAATTGGTCAGGGACTTGCCTCAATTCGTCAAAATCATATTCTTACCAAAGAGCGGAGGGGTAAGTACAAACATCTCTGTTCTATAGATATAAATAATTATTCTTATTCAATATCAGGTGGTGGAACGATCGAAGAGCAACAGGAGCGAGAGCAGAGACCAAAGGATTCGCGAATATTTCTACGGCACCCCCAGGAACTCCCTCTATCCGCATTCGTTCGAATTGAAATTCACCGAAGTGAAAATCTACAAAATCGGCGCGCCCGCCCTGCCCGATTCCTGCCTTCCATTGGGCATGAAAGCCGACGATCACATGACCAAATTGGTACTGTTGACGCCCAACGCGGGGCTCCTGCATCACATTTTAGGCGTCAGTTTCAGCGAAAACGAAGACGATGATATTCTTTCGTCGCACGTAGCCGGATTCGTATGCGTGTAAGTGCCCTATTTCTATTTAAAATGAACATCTGTTTACTTATTTAATTTGTTTTAGGAGCATGGTGGATACCGAAAGACAGACGATTACATTGTTATCGCCACAACCGAAACCGCTGCCCAGTAACATATTGATTCTATCTGAATTGCAATTTATGGATACGCATTAGTTTGTTAAGATTATTCACGTCTACGATTAATAAATATATATATTATTTTATAAAAGGTGCGATTTCTGGATATCAATCTAACGTAAAAATCCTGGCGGCGATATCGGAAACGACCCAATCCATACCGGCGAGCAAGTTTTCTCCTGTAACAGCACTGCAAGATATGATCCTCCAATGGTGCGTTTTAATATCGTCCAATTCGAGAACCTGCATCGAAAAATAATTCGATTAAAATATTCCAAAAGCGCAAATGAAACGGCAACTTACGCTTCTTAATTCGTCTAACCCCAAAGCTCCGGGCAAGTCCTGTTTATTTGCGAATACAAGTAGAGTGGCACCGGCTAGTCTCTGTAAACATTATCAATAGGACAAGTTATTTCTATTTCTAATCTAAATAATAATAATAATTCGCAATTCGCTTACTTCTTCTTTTAAAAGCGTATTTAACTCTGCCTTGCAGTCTTCTAATCGTCTTTTATCGGCACTATCGACCACCCAGATCAGGCCATCTGTGCATTCAAAATAATTTCTCCAGTAAGACCTTAGCGATTTTTGGCCTCCGACGTCCCACATGTTTAGTTTAAACCTGAATAAATCGATTAATTAATAATTCGTACAGTTTCTAAGGGGGTAAAATGCCCTTTGATTGTAATTCACCCGTTGTGTTCGAGCGTTTTGATGTTGAATCCTAGAGTGGGCGATATGGTATTTATCGGTTCTCCGTTGAATCTTTTTAATATAGTCGTTTTTCCTGCATTATCCAAGCCTCTGCAACGATAATAAAACGTGTGGAATAAATTTGGAAAAATTACTAATAACCATTAAGGTTACTTGAGGTACTCACAATAAAAGGATCCTCATTTCTTTTTCTTTTTGTTTCATTTTCTTTAAGACAGTCAGAAAACCCATCTCGAAATACGCTTAATTAACGTTTGATGTTTGTTTCGTAAATTCTTTTTGTTGTGTACAATTTTTTTTTCAAAGTGACATATTTACTTGTCAAATTTAGAGACATATATATTATCATCTTTTTTTTTTTTTTTTTAAACAAGGCCATTCACTATGTTGACAATCAGCTACTTAAAATTACATAGTAGTTCGTGTTATATAGAAAGAAAGTTATAAATCCATTATATCTTTATGTTTACAATTTAGCTTCTTAATATAAATTTGAATAAATGTGTTTCTCATAATTTTAATCCGACTCTCAAATTAGCATTGTGGCAACATCGAAATGTCTTTTATGTCAATGTCATTCCTGTCTCCTGTCAAAGTTATTTTTTTTGTAAACGAAACATCAAAATAAACGCAAAATATCGTTATTGTTTTACTTAACACCAAGTTTAAAAGGTAAATTTCCAATTCATCGGATTTACATCGATTACAGCAGCATTACACGATCATATTTCATTTAATATATTATAAAATTTTCAGTTTAATAACAAACGCACATAGACAATAGTAGAGGATCGGCATTTTCAAACAAAACCATCCCCAAAATGACCGAAAACAAACCGAAATTCGACCAAAAACAGGCCTTCCAGCGGCTAGCCAACGATTTCCACGATTTAGTCCAAAACAAGCAAATGCTACGATCGTCCGTCGAGAATTTCTTCGATAATCTCCTCGACGAACTCACCTTAGGCATAATATTCGATTTGCACAGAAGATACAAAACCGACGCCTCGTTTTTAGACGCCGACGAACTAGTAGAAGACATGGAAATCGACACATTGTTTCAACACCGCGCCAAGAAGGCCCCCGAATGTCCCTGTCCCGTTTGCCATCGAGCCGTGGAGACCACCGAATTCGCCAAACACCTGGCGAAATGCATGGGATTGAGCACGAGAAGGGCCCCACCTAGAAGGGCCGTCGTGTACGGTGTAACTATGAGCGATGACGACGAAGATTTCGCAGAGCCCCGAAGCAAAAAGGGGAACAAGAAAGGTAAAAAGAAAGGTGAGTTTGAGCATTAACCCCGAAACCGATGGGTAAGAGGCTTGTATTGGTTCATTTTGAATGTTTTTTTTTTTTTTTTGTAGCTCAACAAGGCGACGACGACGAGGAATTGACGAGTTTTCGGGATATTTTGAGGCTCCAGGAGCATTCGAATAGCACTTCACCTGCGGATTCTGCTTCGAGTTCGGGCTCGACGAAGAAGCGAGAGAAATCGAAGAATAAGAAGGGGAGCAAAAGAGAGAGGAGATCGCCGAGTCCTTATTCTATGTTGGATTAATTTAATTGATTATGGTTAAGTATTAGATTTCAAATATCCCAGACATCCCTATAAGTTATTAGGCTTTATTTAGATCTCGTTTTTATTAGGCTTAGTCCTGTAATTATTTACATTTATTTATGAAATTCATTTGCCTAACTCGCCAGATATCTGAATTACTTCTGCATTTTTCTCCATTATTAAAAATTATTTTCCTCAAAAGATAATTTTTAATTTGTAGGGTAATATTATTCTTATTTAATTGCTGAATTAAATAGGTTTCTAAGAAAATCTTTTGCGAGGAATATGATGCACATTTTTCTATTAAATAATGCATTAAAGAAGAAATATAAAGTTATTTTATTATCTTCTAGTCGCATTAAAAAAATTGTCCTGACCATCAACATTAAACTGAATTATTTAAAAGGGTTTTCTGATCGTTTGGGTGACTCTTAATGCCCTGTTAATTAACCACATTTACGCATATAAAAGTATCGGAAAATATTTCTTTAATATAGTTGTATTTTGAAATTTCTTTCGAAGAAACGATGGAAAAAATAGGCAATTTTATTATCGGTCCTCTGGATACTTTTGAAGGTAGGAAATATTGACAAATACAATATTAATTGTATTGAGATAATGTAATTATTTTACACATATTTAACTCATAAATTATAGTAAAAAAAATACAGTGATGCCTCAATAGATGTTTTCATGAACCTTACAGGGGATAATCTGAAGAACTTATACGAATCGGGCTATTCGATTCAGCGTAGAAAATCATTTAGAATGATAATACCAATAATCGGATCATTTTATGGAGCTTTAAGTATATTCCTGATTGTATACATCATGCATGACAAGTCAGAATATCGTTTGATATACATCCATTATTTGAGCGCCTCTATAGGGGTAAATAGCGTTGTAAATATAGAAAATTTATTATATTTAAAGGATAAATTTTAGTGTTTTACAGCATACGCATGTTCCTTGGGATTATCCGCGAGTCTCAAATCATTCGTTCGAGTGCAGAAGAATATTTATTCGAAATATTGGAGTTCGATTCCCGAGAGCCTGTCGCGAAAAATGCGAATATTTAGTAGAAAAACGGAGAAGATTTTCAAATGTTTATCGGGATTGTTGTTAATAAGCAGTTGGTACTTTTTTTTTAATAACCGAGTCGCGTTGATTTCCGTAACTTATTTGAATTTTGAATGTATTTTAATGATAATAGTACTTTCGTTTGTGAGCTCCTTTCACGCTAGTTTATTTATACCGAGAGTGATAATGCTGGTTAGTTACTGGTCGTTGCATTTGTCGTACGATTTGGATTTGCTCAATTGGGAATTGAGAAAATTTATAAAAAACGAGAGAAAATGGGCGAAACAACTAGGGGAATCCCACGAATATCAATGTAAAGTTAACGAGAAACTACTGTATTTTATTCAATATTACATTGATATACTAAAGTGAGTATTAATTGCCATTGAAAAATCATTTAATAAATTTGTGATTTCAAGATTTTACCACATTCACTTTGATGTGATGAAGTTTAGGATAATTTTTTCCACAATATTAGGATGCATCGTGTGTGGATGCTTAATAATTGCAACTATGGTATTAATTAATAATAATGCTTATATATAAATATTTTAATTTTTTTTTAATATTTTTAGCCTTTACCTTTAAGTAAATCGTTGCCTTACCAAGGACTTATATTATGTTATATAGCATTTCAATTGGTTTTAATCGAATTGGGACAAACCATTCAAACGCAGGTATAATTCGATTATAATATATAATTGTATTAATAAATAATAATTATTATTATTAGTCTGAAGTTGTGTATGACAATATTCTACAATTAAATTGGTACCGTTGGAATAGAGTCAATCGCAAAACTCTATTAATGTTTATGAAAATTCTTCAAAAACCCATGAAGATGAGATTTTATGGTTTATTGAATATGAACAGAGAGCTTATTTTAAAGGTAATTTTTAAGTTGTTGCATTTAAATTTTACACATTTAAATTTTTTATATTGCAGATTTTTAAAGGGGTATATTCAGTTGTTAATCTTTATAAAGCGACAACTGTTTAATCTTGAATGAAAGAAATTTTTTTTAAAAAATACATTTATTTAGATGTTCGAGTTGTTACAAAAAGAAAGAATTTCCATTTTAAAATATCTAAATGAATACACATTGAAGCATTTAGGGAATGTGAGAAATAGAAATACACAAACGATTAAATATTAAATATAGTAACACAGCAACCATTTTTTTTTTCATATTTTTTTTCTTCTAATAAACTAAAATAAAACCCTGCCATCTTTGGACATGAATAAATATACACAATTTATACGTTGAATATTTTTTTTATATGTTCAATTCACATCTCTCCGGTGTTATGTACATGCGATACAATAAGCGTCTAATTGGAAATTGTATTATTGTAAAGTTAAAAAAGAATTGATTTTCTTCTACAGCTAATGGACGAAAAAAAAAATGTTTTTTTTTTAAATACGTATAGACAAAAATTAAGTTTATTTTTAGTATAAAATCCTCTGTATTTGTCTAAAATCAATCTATTTAATAATTAAGAGTTTCTAAATGATGTTAGAAAAATCACTAATATGGAAATTTGTAATAATTCAACATTTAGTAGAGTTGCACATTAATTTACTACAAAATACTCAACACAAAATTTTTCTCTAAATTTTTAAATTTAATTTTTCATATGTACAGATATATTTTTCATTGATTTTTTTTTTGTAAATAGCAGACTCAATTATTTACCAGAATTTCAAATTGAATCTCCCATTTTAAAATAAAAAACGATAAATTGAAACTACTTTAGTCTTGTAATCTCATATTAGCCCGCCAAAAAAATCACGCGAAATCGCAAATTTTTGGCAATGAAATTATCTAAACCGGTTATAATACTAAAATCAATCTGTAATTAAGTATACACAAGGTTAATTTTTTTTACACGAGTCACAAATCGGAGATTTCTCAAACTATATCGGCCTCTTAATCAACTCTCCATTTTTATCGCTAGATTGATTGATTTGACGTAAATAATAAACAATCTCCTTAGTTACTCCATAACAACCAATATAAAACTGTCAAGTTAAAGAGACTCTTACGGGGTTGGACTAGCGTTATAAAAAAAAGACGCGTCAAAAGAGGCCAATAAAAGCATTTAACGAGGAAAAAAGAAGAAAAAATTAAGTATAATCCGGAGCTAAAGCATCATAATAGCTCCTGGACGTCGATGGCAACAAAGGTGATGCCACAGTCGGTTCTGTTGATGGTCTCTCCGAGTGTGCTCTGTGATTATTTCTTCGTGTTTGCATCACGCCTGGAATTTTTAAAAAATAAAATTAAAACAGTAAGCTAGTTGTGGTACAAGTTGTGTACAAAAATGAAGCGCAAATTTGAAAATATCTTGTATAAATTTAATATTAATAGCTCACATAAAAAAAAAACAATGTTAATTCGTACTTATGCGCAAACAACAAGATTAAATTAACTTTATTCTACAAGTGAAACTAGAGAGAATAAACTTAACGAGATTCCCATTAATAAAAGACGAGGAATAAAGGCGATTAAATTTGAAATAAATAGAAAAAATAAAAATTTAAACGAGACAATTAATCTTACTCTGCCGAAATGCGTTTCCTGGAAATGTTCCCCGTTTAAACTCCGATGTTTGGCCAATTTCTCTTTATTCATGGGCGATCCTGTGTGACAGCAAAATTCATTCATAAATAAACACGCCGGAAAAGCGTAACAAATCAAAATGGAAAAAAAAAATGTAAAAGAAAAGAGAAAAACAGGAAAAATAAATAAATTATATCGATCGAATTTTACGCACTGTGGTATTCAACAATTTTCGTTTCATTTTTATTTTTTTCGTTGCAATTGCTTCGTTGAAAATTTAAAATATTAAAATTTGTTGAATAACACGAGTGCAGAGTAATATTCTTTGTCTTATGTCATTCCGTTGCGAATGTTAGATAAAGCGAATGAAATAAATAGGCATTTTAATATGAAATTATCCCGAGAAAAATTTTAAATAACGCACCAAAAACCAATAGAGAGCAGAATAAATCGTTTCGATAAACTTGATATGAATAAAATAGTGTGATAAAGCAAGAATTATAATTATATTAAATACTTCTTTATCTTTATCACTTTTTTCTTTAAATCGTGATTGCTATCAACATTTTTTTGAAAGCTCATGCTATGTACAGGGTGTAACAAAAAAAAGGCGGGTCATAAATTGCACAGGAAATTTTTTTATAGGGTAAAAAATTGCTCTTAATATTTAAATGAAAAAAATATTAAAAAAAGATTTGACGAAAAATGTACAAAATGAATTTATTTTAGAACTGTCTAGTATGATTTAGGTGATACTCCGGGACGATTTAAAACTGTTCAAAATCGTTTAAATTGCCTCAGGATTAATCAGAATAGTCCATAACCATTTAGAACTGTTCAAAACGATTTAGAACGCCTCCGAACGAAATATTTCATCTTTTAGTTTACACCCCGTATATAACAACCCAAAAAAAAAAAATAAAAAATAATAAATCCCATCACCTTTATACGTACCTATAAAACTAAGCAGGACCGGTAAAAATATCAATCCGTGAGCCGCCCCAAACAGTACGATACCCAAATACATCCTAAAGTAAAACACTTGGAATATCTGCGATTTGGCAAAATACAAAACGATGATTCCACCGAATTTCGTCAGCGTAATACCCGAAAATATCGAACTGCCCATTTTCGCTAAAGCATCGGCAGCTCTTTCGACTCTCGTCGGTTCTACAGACATTGAAAAACTGTGCACCAAATGCGAACAAAACTCCACCGATATTCCGACGGCCATCACCAAATTAACGAGCGATACGGCATTTAAGGTGATGTGCCACCAATACATCAAACCGCCTAAATTGACGATGATCATGGTGATGGTGATGATCACCACTAGACTGGAGAATATGTCGAGGCTCATCAGAAGGAAGGTCACGATGAAGATGGCCAATAGACTGACGCCTGAAAAAATTCCGAATAAATAAATTAATAAATAATCAACGGTTAATTAATGAGTAATAATAGCGAGTCCGGTTGGGACATGGAAATGGAAGGAAATAAATTATAATGTGAGAGACAATTTTTTAGTAATTAGTATTTTCTTTCATTAAGAATTATTTAAGTAGGGATTTGAATTGTAAAGAGTTATTTAAAACTGTCCAAAATGATATTGAACTCTTCAAGAGTCATTTAGAACTCTTCAAAATGATCTAAAACTGTCCAAAATGATATTGAACTCTTCAAGAGTCATTTAGAACTCTTCAAAATGATCTAAAACTGTCCAAAATGATATTGAACTCTTCAAGAGTCATTTAGAACTCTCCAAAATTATCTAAAACTGTCCAGAATGATATTGAACTCTTCAAGAGTCATTTAGAACTCTCCAAAATTATCTAAAACTGTCCAGAATGATATTGAACTCTTCAAGAGTCATTTAGAATCCTACAAAATGATCTAAAACTGTCCAGAATGATCTAAAACGCAATCACATACGATACATACCTAAACTGAATAAAGTATCAGGCCACATCGTCAGATATTGCTCGTAGAATACGTAAAACACCGAATAGGGAAATACTTCAACACCAATCGTCGCTGTTATATTATCAGCTATTTTCCTTGCCGCTCTCATGCTCTCATAATAATCCTCGGAGGTCTTCAAAATGGTGTGGTAGGTCATGAAATAGGAATTTTCCACCGACGATAATCTAGTCGATCGATTGGTTTGTAATGTGACTCCTTGACCGTAACTGGCGTGACCTCCTTTTGCGCAATTCGGACCCGGATTGTCTCGAAGGAAAAATGATATGTAACGGGAGAATTCGTCGGGTCTCGGTCGATGTTCTTTACCGGCGAATTGGATTGCGCACCGTTCACAACCTATCAAAAGAAATAAATTCAATAAATAACTGTTTAATTAGTCTACTATTACATTTCTATTAAATTTATGTCAAACGAACTGCCGTTAAATAATGTAACTTTTGACGTTAATAGTTAACTCATCTTATAAAGTCTCACTAACTCGCTAACAGCGAATATTCATTAATTTAACATACCCTACAGCAGCATTACAACTTTTTATTTTATTTTTTTAACATTGCAAGATTTATAATGGAAGAGCCAAGGTAAAATTAACTCCAACATTCTACACGTATCGTATCTTTTAGGATAGGATTTGGAAAGAAATTTAACTCACTGGAATCATCGTTGGGACAAAAAGTGTGATCTTTCTTTCTGAATTTACAGCAATTATCGGATTCCGACCAATCCAGATAATCGTCGAGCCAACTGGACGAAGGTCGAGCTATGTAAGTCGTTTCGGGCATTTTACTAGCCGAATACAATTGAGATACCAAAGAATTGCTATTGCAATATCTTCCGGCGCATATCAAATTCTGAGCGTCCACGTCTTTGTAATGAAGGCCTTTTTTCACCACGAAATAAACCGGAGCGCCTGGAAATATATCAATATCGAAAAAAAACGTATACAATTAAGAGTACGAAAATCATCGATCTTACCGATGCTCAAATAAGCCTTTAAAGCTTGGAAATATTTGAGTACGAAACTGTCTTCTGGCATGGATAATTCCTGATCGAGGCCGATCTCGATGTGCGGGACAACAGCCAATGAAAGACACAACCAACCGAAGAATACCAACATGACGGTGCATCTCATCGCTTTATTCATCAAAGTGGGCACGTAAACGTATTTGAAAAATGTAAATAGTAGGCCTTCTTGACCGCCCGTCACCGGTTCGTTCTTTTTCGAGCCGCGTATGAAGCAGAATATGTCGAATCTATCGTAACAAAAAACAAAATAAAAATAAATAAAAAACTAAGTACAATTCAAAGGATCGTGATATTGTGAAAAAAGTAACGGTTATTTTGTAACGCACTCGTTACTGCACCTCTATAAAACTTGTGTCAAAACGAACTGTCATTAAATGTCACTTTTGAGACGTTAATAGTACCATCGAACGCATCTTAAAGTCCCGCCTGTTCGTTTACAATTCGATAGAGCAAATTAAAAAGATATATAACGCGTAAAAGGATCGATTTTTAACTTACCTATTAGCATTCTGTCGGGCGATATCCAAAGCCATCAAACTGACGAAGCAAGTGATTTGTAAGAGAAAATCAAACATCAACGCCATACCGGCGTACAAAGCGAACGCTTTCACAGCAGGCATATCTGATAAACTTCCCAAAAAGAAACAACAGCTCTCCGATAGGCTTGTCAATAACATCGAAGGTCCCACCTGACCTAAAGTCCTGCCGATGTGTTGGGCGTGCGTTTCGTTCGGTTTCTTCGCGTCCCGTTGGTGCGTTTGAACTAATATAAAGATATTATCTACGCCTACTGCGAGTACGAGGAACGGTATCACTTCGATGATAATCAAAGTGGCCGGGACGCCGATGAACGCGAACAATCCTACCGATGATACGACGGAGGCTAATACTATTAAAACGCCTCCGAGACCTGTAAATTTATAAAAACAATTTCTATAAATAATCTACATAAAAATAATAGAGAAATGTTAGATACAACAGGTGGTATTAAAGCAATATTAACGTAAACAGTGTCCTTAGTTACTCCATAACAACCAATGTAAAACTGTCAAATTAAAGTGGTAAACATGGTTTTCGTTAACGATTGAAAATTCGAATACGAGGGAGAGCGGTAAAGTTATAGCAACAATAGAATTAAAAGAAGAAAAAAAAAGTGATAGTAAACGAAAGCACAAAACGCTTACCCAAAGTGATTTTACTATCGATCAACAATCTCGAGCATTTGTTGACTTGCCCCAATGATATGGCAATGTAAGCGAACATAATCATATAAGATATCAATATGGTGACCACGTCAGATTGACTTTCCCTATCCAATTCGTCTTCGATGGATCTCTCCGACGTGAAAGCGACATCCATAAAATCCGGTTTTTTCGTGGCCGTCCAATTTTTCATAAACTCCACGAATTCCTTTTCCCATTCCATGGCCGGTACGATTAAACTCTTGTTGTAATGATTGTTTACAATGAACGATAAAATCACCGTCGTGGCATTTTTGTAATTGGGATGTTGGGCGAGACTTTCACCGGGTTGCAGGAAACCGCCCAAAGCGATGGCTGGATCGACGGGACCCCCGTAAGGGGCTAGACAATCTATCGGATCGTAGGGATTGCTGTAAGAGAAAACGGAGATAAATTTTAGAGAGACATAACTTCGAAGAAAAAAAAAACCGACTTACTTGACGCATTTAACGAATCGATCCAGATAATTCGTTTTGTATCCGGGCGGTGTGGGATCCTCACCGGTAGAATTAAAAGTCTCCACGTCGTTTTGATAGTAACCCCAAATGCTCTGTACGACGCATTCGGACACATCGGTATCCGTTTGTCCTTCCTTTCGCAAGGGGGCGAAGCAAATTTTATCGAAACCGTGCAAAGTACCTTCGCCCAATTTCAAAATTTGCTCCTGCAAAGCGAATACTTCGAGCAAGAAAGTGGCGTTGAGAGCGGGACCGAACGAGATCATTCCCTCGGAGGTGTTGTGATAGACGTTGGAAAGATTCCGGGCGGTGATGATGACCTGTTCGGTTCGATAGAACGGTTCGAAATTATTATCGAAAAAGTCCCGTTCGATGCGACTGCGCGAAGCCGGCGAGGCCCACAATTCAACGGGATCGGTGATGATCTACGATAAAAATTACATGTAAAAAAAAAGAGCAGTTCTAAAACATGTAGTAAAAAGGTATATTGAATGGCCGAAGAACTAATTAGAAACGAGGCCATCTACTGAAAACGACGCTTAAATGAACTACTGGAAAGAGAGTGAGTGGCTCGTTATATGGCGAGAAACAAAAAAAAAACACTGATTAACAGAGACACGCGTGATTCTAGTCGATTCGAAAACGGTTAATGAATAATAAATAATTCAATTCTGGTTAAGACAACGCATTTACCTGAAGATATTTAATACCGTGACCGAGACCCATGACGAGACAAGCGCCCAAAAAGAGTATAAGCCAAGGTCTTTCGGCGCAAAAAGTGCCCCATTTTTCGAATGCCCCCTGTAAAATGGAATCCGTATTGGCGCCCAATCGTTCGATGAATGAAGTGGGCCTGTCGTAATCTTCGCTGGTTTTGTTGATCGAATGTGTTTCCATTTCGTGACCGGGTTCCGATGTCATGCCTATAAAAATATTTTTTTGAATTTTTCAATTAATTTTTTCGCTTGATTTTCGCTTTTTGGGTGAAATCAGGATGAATTTTTGGATTAAATTAGGAGTAATTTGTGAATTTTACTTCTTTTTTAGAATGATTTTCTGCGTTGTAATTTATATACATCAGCTGAAAAAATAAATAAATAAATAAAAACCGTGGTAAATGAGCCAAAAATATTAGCCATATACATCAACAATTAAAAAGTTAATAAGTTATGATAATACAAATGATATGCCCTTGTAAAAATCATTAAACTGAACTTAATGAGAAATTAATGGTTCATATAAAAAAATACCAGTGACATTTATTAAAGGAAATGGCCATATCAAAAATATTATAATTAGTAATTTACCCAGATGATGTATTAAATAAGCAAAACAAAACAAAAATCATGCTTGCCAATCTTTGAAACCCAAAAACCTTGGACTTTTTCTAATCGATAGAATCAAAATTACTAGCAATTGCGAAATTATATGGCAATTCAGCGGAAAAAGCAATTTTTTAACTTCGCAATAATCGCAAAATTTGATCAAAATTCGATGATTTTAAACAGAAAATCTTCGAAATTATTATTTAAATTTTAAACTTATAAAAGTAAAAAGTCCATAGGGTTCTTAAACGGAGGAAGTAACGTTAATTTTTCGAAAAAAAAATTTTTGAGAATGTTTTAAAGAAAATATTTTAAATTTTCGTATTCAAGCAAATCCAATATCTATAAAAAAAAAAGTTCTTTATCTTAATCAAATTTGCTTCAAAATGTATCAAGACATTCTCAACATATGTATCACGCAATAAAAAAAATCGAAGAAAAACGTTACCCCCTAGATAAATCCCCCAATTTTTTAACCCGTTTAATAATAACTCTATGTATAAGGATCTTATAATCTAAATATCAAAAGACCTACTGGATCTCTTCGAAGATTGTAATGGACTATCTTCGGCCTCACCGAGAGCCACTTGTGATGAATGTCGTTCCGAATTGGCCAATCTTCTTGCCACTTCTGCTCTCATTTCTTCGGAGGCTCCGCTCACCAATAAACCCACTGCAACCAACCACAACCCAAACAATATTCCAAAATATTCCACCAGGTATATTTACAAATGGATCGCATGCAATGTTATACGACAAACATATTATTTTTTTTTTTTTAAATATTAATCATTGTCTCGATGAAATAACTTTTAGCTTTTTGGGGATGCAAACCGAAGGGATGCGAGATAATTGAGCGTAAAAATGGGAAAGGGATGGTAGATTTTTTTCTGCTCTACTCTGTTCTGCTCTTTTATTCCCCTACTTTCTACTAATCTCTTCTATTTTCTGCTCTCGCCTACTCTCTTATATTCTCTCGAATTCTACTCTATTATCTTAATTCTACTCTTTTCTACTCTTTTAATTCCTTTTCTTCTACCCGAAATATTCTCCAGTCGAATTTACCTAAATACAAATTTAAAATGTTCTTTTAAGGACTCAAAAGTAGGTAATAAATACATTTCTACGCCCAATTTTAGGTCAGAGAAGCAGCTTTGAAAGCTACCTAAAGCTTTTGAAAGCACTTTTGCCAAAAGAAAGTTATTTTACCGAAATAAATCGAATTGATTAATCAAACTTATATAGTATACACAACATATTATCTACATTGGTATTAGTTTTGAATTTATACAATGCAGCCCATTCATTTACTTTTGTCATTTCGCTTGGATTTCGAAAGATGTCGCTTAAATGGTTAAATAATTTGCAAATTCCTTAATTAAATTAGATAAAGTGTATATGAAGAGGACAAAACAAACAAACAAAAAAAAACCCGAAAGCCTGTAAAAATATTAACCAAACGAAACTGAACATCTTAATTAATAGGAACATTTATTATCAACAATGTAACCTATTATTTTTGCGTTTGTTCAAATTAATTGCTGGAAAAAATACAAAAATGAGCCTATAAAAAGAACGAGAAAATGTAAGTGTAAAAACGTAAATAATTTGATAAAAAGTGACTCGTAAAATTGTTTCTAACATTAAATTTTTTTTTTGACTAGAGACTAACGAAAATTGCAAATTTGGTGGCCAGAAATCGAATTGAAACCTAACCCAAAAAACGCATTTTTTAATCAACAATTAAACATTTTCATCATTTAAAAATCGAAATAAAAGCTTCATACTCTTCCGGAAATCTATAAAATTACACAAAAGCTCTTCCCACATTATTTAAAAAAAAAATATACAAATACTGCTACTAACAAAAAAAGAAGATAACGGCCCTTATTCAACCCTGTTTCTCAACAGTAAATCAATCGTTTAAAAGGCCTATTTAACATAAACAATCTCCTTAGTTACTCCATAACAACAATGTAAATCTGTCAAGTGAAAGAGACCCTTTCGAGGATTGAATACAGTTAAAAGAAAAACCGAATCGAATAGAAGCCAAAAAATGCCACCAATTAAAACACGCCACATAATAATTTATACCTTGTCTTTCCTCCCGATCAGACTCTAGTCTCGTTTCAAACAATTCTCTCTCATAGATGAAAGTTTTTCTGCCTGCTTAAAAAAACATCTAGCTCATTAAACTTGAAGATATTTAACACGTTTACAAATTTAACGAAGAAGAACATCTTCGATAAGCAAGCACACTGGTTTGATTTGTAGCGGATTTAGAAGAGAAAAAAAAAAACATGTTTATTGTGTCATTTTTTTTCGGGTGATTAAGTGTGCAATTAGACGTAAAAATGATTTTTTTTTGAGCGAATAAAGCGATTTAATTTAATTGTTTCTGTTGTAATATTAACTAATTAGGTTAAATGTATCATCATATTCTAAAGCAGGTGATTTGCGATAGAATTTAAAAACACGATTTAAACACGTGCGGACAATCGCAAATAAAAAAAATATATATTAAAATCGGACGATAGTCTTTAAAAATTTAATAACAAAATTAAATGTTAGTCAATTGATGATTAATAAAAGTTTTATCATTTAAAGTGATGACACCAGTGTATGTGTGATGTGTGTGAAGGAGGCTATGAAAATTCCACAAAGATAGGATAAGATAAGATAAATTATATTCAACATTGGTTTTTTTTTATCGTTTCTTTGTTTCGTTTTATTTATTTTCGTATTTAATTAATTCGGATTTTAGAAGAAATGTGCAAGACAATATTCTCGTGGAAATTGGAAGAAATTTTTGTTAATTTTTTTTTATGTACATATTTTAAAACGGTTGTTTGTTCGAGTTAGTAATTTAATTATCCCGGAATCAAGCGGAATAATTTTTCGAGTTAAAATGCTAAAATTTACAATAAAAATAGGGAAGAATTTTAAAAAGGAAGACGAGTTAATGGGAGATTCCTAGAAAAAAATTACCAAGCCATATTTTCTAATATAATAAATTTACAAAATTTACACAATGACACAATAACGATAAAAAAATAGCACAATAACCAAACAATTCTGTACAAAAAAAAAAAATAATACAAACTCAAACCAGTTTAGTTTTTTTTCTTTCAAACTTATTCGCATACAAAAACGGGGGGTGGGGAAATGGATGTGACATGAAGCCCTATTATATCGTGGGGCCCAGTCCCCCGAAAATAACAAACAAAAAAAACCAAAAAAAAAAAAAAAAAAAACTCACCCAAATTGTTCCTGGAACAGGCGAACACAGAAAGCAGAAACATCAAGGAACCCACGCAAAAGACAATCAACATCAAGACGGCGTATCCATCGAAACCGGCTATCCTAAAAGGTTGAGGCCGGGGCGGTTGAGGTGGAGGTACAGGACAACTTTCTTCGCAATCGACACAACTACAAGCAGGCGATACGCCCTACAAAATACAGGATGTTCATTAATTACAATGTATTTATTTTAACGGGTGATTTTCGAACTAATTTTCCAGTCGATATGTTCATATAAAGGTATGTCTTCTACGAAGCTCGGTTTTCGATATGCAGGGGTTGTCAAGTTTTATTTTTATTTAAGCTTTTAAAAAAAAATCAAAAAAAATAATTGTACATACATAGATTGCTGCAATTTGACTAAATTCTTTAGTTCTTCTTTATTTTCTTTAAAAAAAATCTCTTTTCTTATGTCGTTCTTTCTAAAATTTAGGTACATAGTTTTTGGTGTGATGTTTTAGATGTAACTAGAATTTTTAAATAATTTTCTTTAAACCTAAATAAAAACCCCTGTATATCGAAAACCGAGCTACCTCTACATGGCGTTTTCCCATTTTTAAAAGTCAAATTCGAGACGAGTTTTTAAATTTAAATTCGATCTGATGTAGCCATTGAAATTATTGCAGAGAAATGAAAAATACTAATGACTAATGCATGAAAACGCTCGGTATAATGAACTTTAACCCGTCGAGTTTAAGGTCATCTAATCATCGTTATATTAATACGAGATAACTCGTAGTCGACTGATTCTGGTGAGTTCTAAATAGTTCTAAATAATTCTGATGCGTTCTAAACAGTTCTGATTGATTTTGGAGCTATAGAACGCTTCAGATCCATGCAGGGCGAGAATTTTTCACCACGCTCTCGTATATTGTAAATTTAATTTAATCGAATTTATTTTGAGAGCTTACGAGTGGTAAAGTTATTAATAGTTCGTTTTGGGTGGTAAAAAAAATCGCGAATATCGAATTATGTAGAGTTAAAATTAGAAAATTCGCGTAGAAGATTTGAGCTAAACATTTCATTTTTGAAATTTAAAAATTTACACGCTTTTCCTACGTTTGTTATCACCAGAATTCCCATTGTGTTTTTGTTTTAAATTGTACAGGGTGTCCACTTTTCGATACTTTTGCCCTGTATCTCAGTTAATACTGAAGATAGAAGGATGCGGTTTTCACATTCCTGTCATACTTTTTTATGAAACAAACGATGCCACATTCAAAAGTATCATAGCTAACTTAGATTTTCTTATACAGGGCAAAATTGAAAATACGCCCTATTCAGGCACTTTCTGTATCTCGCTTATTATTCATCCTATCGTTATAAAAAAAACCGCTCTATATAGAGTTTTTTACGCTGATTTTAAATATCTATTCGGATTTTTTGTAAAACTTTTAGTGTTTATGTTATAATATAAACATACCTTTTTTTTAATGGGACACCCTATATATTAGTTGACCAATCGATTCCTTTTTTTATGGGCATTTCAAAAATGTATATATGTTAACATTTAAAATTTAACCCTAGCGAAATATTCGAAATTTTCGCCTTTTATACATTTATTATAAGTAGGCGGGTTATATTTGGCGTAAAATTTTGTATTAAATGGTATAAACAGGTAGGCCGTGAGATAGGCTTTGATAATTTCTATCATTAAATATATATTTCAAATAGAAAAAACAATAAAAAATCTTACTTAATACCTATATAAATTACAAATACTGTTGAAAATGATGACCATTGGCTTGAATACAATATTGACACAATTTTGAAATTCTTCGTAAAGCATTTAAAATTATGATAGGATGATCTTGCAAATGTTGAAAAGCTTCTTTTGGTCCCGTAAGGTGGCCCCCGAGGTCTCCAGATTTATCAATTCTTGATTTCTTTTTGTCGGCTTTTTTAAAAAATAGAGTTTACAAACATCGACATAGGACAGTAGAAGAGCTTCGTAATTCGACAGAAGAAGCTTTTCAATATTTGCAAGATCATCCTATCATAATTTTAAATGCTTTACGAAAAATTTCAAAATTGTGTCAATATTGTATTCAAGCCAATGGTCATCATTTTCAACAGTATTTGTAATTTATATAGGTATTAAGTAAGATTTTTTATTGTTTTTTCTATTTGAAATATATATTTAATGATAGAAATTATCAAAGCCTATCTCACGGCCTACCTGTTTATACCATTTAATACAAAATTTTACGCCAAATATAACCCGCCTACTTATAATAAATGTATAAAAGGCGAAAATTTCGAATATTTCGCTAGGGTTAAATTTTAAATGTTAACATATATACATTTTTGAAATGCCCATAAAAAAAGGAATCGATTGGTCAACTAATATATAGGGTGTCCCATTAAAAAAAAGGTATGTTTATATTATAACATAAACACTAAAAGTTTTACAAAAAATCCGAATAGATATTTAAAATCAGCGTAAAAAACTCTATATAGAGCGGTTTTTTTTATAACGATAGGATGAATAATAAGCGAGATACAGAAAGTGCCTGAATAGGGCGTATTTTCAATTTTGCCCTGTATAAGAAAATCTAAGTTAGCTATGATACTTTTGAATGTGGCATCGTTTGTTTCATAAAAAAGTATGACAGGAATGTGAAAACCGCATCCTTCTATCTTCAGTATTAACTGAGATACAGGGCAAAAGTATCGAAAAGTGGACACCCTGTACAAATAAAGGATAAATGTAAAATTAAATATTAACGATCGTTGAATTTAGACGACAGCAAATTCGAATTTATACGGAAATATTCATTTTGTAAATTTATTACTAATCAATAAAAATAGATATTTTTATTCGATCATCTAGTACGCAGTATTTTAGAATTATAATTAGGCAATTAAAACAAAATGGAATTCGTTGGATATTTAGTTAATTTAGTTAAAAAAATATCAACTTATGAGATGCCCTGTATATGTATTCTATAATAAAATAGATACATTAAAAAAGTAGCTATAAATTAAAAATTTAACGATATTAATTAACAAAACTTGTTATTTCATAAAACTCTATAGACGATCGGATATTTACAAAAAAACACGGTAAAATTCCTCGCTTTAATTTTACGATAATTGACTGATGTAAGTGAAGTGACTCAAAATATTATATTGATAATTATTTACTCGTTACGTACTCGAAATGTAATTAATTTTAATTACTGTTTATTTGCTCTTTAGAGCAGAGAAAATAGTTCAAAATCGATTCAACATCAGAAAACTCCCCCGTATCTAACCGTGTGTGTGTATATATACAAGGGAAACGCGAAAAGTAATAATAATAATAATAATAATAATAATAAAAAAAAAACCAACTTACATCGGTAGATTGACTACAAGCGAACGTCGGTTCATTGAACGGTACGAAACCGTTCAAAGGTTTGCTCGAATTGAAATAATTTATTTGAAATGGTACTTGAGGTGTATCCTTATTGCCCAAATATTGGTACCATCTCAACGGCGAACATTTCGTCGATGACCATTGACCACACATTATGTCCATTACTTTTCCGCCGGTCGATGGGACGCTTATACCTGGTGGAAAAACCAGGTGAAAAACGGAAGAAAATGCGATAGAATATGGACGGGTTGGGGGGTAAATGGAAGGACGAGGGAGTGTGGAGATTGATTGAAGGGGGCTTAAAATGAGTAGAAAATGGAAGAAAAGGAAGGAAACGAGTAGAAAACGGAAGACGACGGGTGGAAATCGATCGAAAAGGAGTGTGAAATGATTAGAAACGGGTGAAAAATTAAGGAAAAAGGGTGTAATGTGAGATAATTCAGCTGGACGATGAATGAAAACAGGTTTTACTCTACCATACTCCTTTCCAATCTATTCTATTCTATTCTACTCCACTCCTACTCTACCCTACTCTTTTCCATTCTGCTCCACTCCTACTCTACTCTTCCCTACTCCCTACTAATCTAATCTAAACTCTTATATTCTGCTCCAATCTTACTCTACCCCATACCCTTTTGCATTCATTCCATTCTTTCGATGTTTTTTCTTACATACCTTTGCAGGAATCGTAAGTGTTCTCCATGTAATCGTTGTGAATGAAAAAACCCATTTCGGTGATGTAAGTTTTGTTCGTTTGCGGATCGACGGCCGTTTCGGAAACATTTAAAAACTTCGATTGAACGGGTGAACAGGTCAAGTGACATATGCTTTGCAGGAAATTCGTCAGACAAGAGGGACACCTGCTGAGCAATTGTTGTGGCAAAGTCATGCTGTTTTTCATCGTTTCAAGCTAAAAGATTTATACAAAATTGATTATATTAATTGTGTAAGTAAGCTACAGTAGATACTTAATGGGGTTAAAATGGATGGAAATTCAAGTGGAAGTAATACCTGAATAAATAACCGTTATTTTCAAACAGTCGATATATACTGCACCTCTATACTCTATAAAAAAAATTACTTTCCATTCATCTATTAAACTTCTTTACAAGCGAATCTTATTAAAATTCGGCAATTTTCAAATAGAGAATGGCGGAAAATTCGAATGACAAACTCTCGTACAGAAATCATTCGTCTTGAAACTTACTTGTTTATCGGAGCAACAGGTCAACTCGGGCGATATTTTCGGACACCATTTTTTCAATATCCCAATCGATTTGGACGTTTGCAGAGGCTTGGGGGGGCCGGTGTAATAGCAATTTTTCCACAATTCAGTATCGGGATCCAAATAACATTCATCGTACCAAACGCAATGACCTTCCGATGATTGTCTCGTTGAATCCTCATTGTTTGTAGCCGCAGGAACCTCAATAACAAAAATATATATATATAATATATACTAGCGTTTTCCTTATAAACTAACGAATAAACTGTTTGATTTATAAATCAATTTTCTATGGGAGAAAATGACATGCACACGGCATAATAATTGCATTGAAGTTGGACATTACACGCACTTGATTTACAAATTACGATTGCATTATAAAACTTGACCTTATTAAATGTATGTACGTCAGAAAAATAACGAGATTTCGTTGTGTAAAATAAAATTCTCAGGGTTAGAATTACTGGTTGAATTTTAACGATTTTAACGAAAACACCATTATTCTATTCTACCCTACTCCCTTCTACTCTGCTTTATTCTGCTCCACTCCTACTTTACCCTACACTCTTTCGCTCAAGCCTACTGCCTTCTATTCTACTCTCTTCTACTTTGCTCTACTCCACTCGCACTCTACTCTTTTCTACTCGATTCTAAAAAGGTTTTATTGCGAGAGTTACGTTTTTAAAAAATGTGTGTTTTTTTTACTACGAACCATTCTACTAGTAGGTATACTTGGCATCGAAAACCAAAACAACTTTTATTTACTCGCGCTATTTTGAAAAAAAGAAAAGTTCGTAATTTCGATTTCCTCCTCTTTCTACGTGTAAATTTCGTCTCGATGTATTTTTAGATGCACGCGAACGAAATAATAATACCAATTGCCTTTAAATAAATAATTATTAGGTGTATTAAACGAGATAATAACAATTATTTGACCTGTCGAATTAAATAATATTAAATGATGAGTACAAAGGGAATTGAAGCCTCTAGAAGTTAATAGAATTTTCTCAAGGAAGTTTCATGATCATTAGACACGCCTAATAAGTGTTTAAAATAATATTCACACAAAAATTCAGTACCTAATTACAGTATAGGGGTAAGTAAAATCGAATTTCGAATTTAACAAGTCCTATAGGCTATAAATTTCCATCTGTTTGTCAATAAAATTAACTTAATGCAAACGTGATAGTATATAAAAAAGAAAAAAAAAAATCTAGTTTGCGATTTGCCCAGCCCGTGAACTTTTCCCCTTACCCTCGTATAACTTTTAAAGTTTCTCTTATTATTATCAAGTCGAGCTCATCAAAAATTCCTTTTGTGAAACGTCGTACTGGTAAAATATAAAAAAAAAACTTTTGCTGATACGGTGGGACAAATGTCTTCTCTCCCACGATACTCTTTATACATTTAATTGATCTTGATTATTTAATAAATCGTCTAATCAAAGGTAAAATGAGTCTGTGACCCTCGAAATATCACGGTCACAGACGAATAAATCGAATAATAATAAAATAATCTTAAATAGGAGACTTAATAGAATCCATGTAAGAACTAGGAAAGTTTATTAAAATGCTTATAAATTAAAAAATATATATATATGTATAAATAAGCAAATAGTAGACTAGAAATTGTATATGGATATGTACTATTATCATTGGACTTTGTTTTCATTCTAAATAATTAATATCAAATAGATTAATAATGTGATATATATATACACTGTGTTATTTTTAAGATGCGACATAGGGATTCCTGTACAAATGTGTCAAAAGCAAGCTAACTTTTTTACCAAATAACGTTCATAAAAAATAATAACAGATTTGAAAAGATCGTAAAAAAATATGTCGAAATGGACATTAAATTTTCTTAAATTCGTTCTGGTTTATTAAAAAAATGTATAATTAAGTTGAAAAAGTCATACGGCATAAATAATTCCTTTTTATAAGACTATCTAATTTGTTGCAAAAGGGGCGGAGCTAACAGAGATGGTTAACGCTCTGCAATTTGAAAAAATAATCTTGAAATAATGTGGTTCAAACCCCGTTTGGGCCAAAGTTTATTTTTGTTTTTTTTTTGATTTTTTTAATGTTTTTGTCTAAAAAAATGTTAAATAAAAGTATTTAAAATAAGACAAGCTTAATTGGGATAAAAGTTTATTTTTATTTAATTAAATGTTCAGAAAATTTTTTATTAGGTTTCCTAAAAAATAAGTTTGCTGAATATCAACCAAAGACAGAAGAGGAATTGAAAAATATTATTACTAACGAATGTCAAAAAATTAGTAGAACTAATCGTAATTAATAATGTACGGCGGAACTTTTATCATCGTTTGGGACTGTTTAGCATAAAATGGAAAACAATTTGAACATTTAATTAAATAAAAATAAATTTATATCCTAAATAAGCTTGTCTTATTTTAAATTTTTTAAATTCTATTTAACATTTTTTTAGACAAAAACATAAAAAAAAAACAAAAAAAAACTTTGGCCCAAGCGCGGTTTGAACCACATTACTTCAAGATTATTTTTTCAAATTGCAGAGCGTTAACCATCTCTGTTAGCTCCGCCCCTTTTACAACAAATTAGATTATGTTATAAAAAGGAATTATTTATGGCGTATGACTTTTTCAACTTAATTATACATTTTTTTAATAAACCAGAACGAATTTAAGAAAATTTAATGTCCATTTCGACATATTTTTTTACGATCTTTTCAAATCTGTTATTATTTTTTATGAACGTTATTTGGTAAAAAAGTTAGCTTGCTTTTGACACATTTGTACAGGAATCCCTATGTCGCATCTTAAAAATAACACAGTGTATATATATTTTCATTGTGTGTAAACAATGAAAGTGTCATTACACATGAATTTATTTAGATATTCCAATAATAAATAATAGAGGATACATAATTCAAAGAATAGATAAAGCATATTCGATATAATATCATATTCACTGTGGAATCATTTTAAAAATTAGTAAATACATTTCAAGGGAATATCCCCTATTCAAAATTTCTTTTCTAAACTTATGTTACATATAGAACACGAAGCATTTTTTAAATAATTTTCCCATTTATTAAATACCTTTATTATTAGATAATTTCCATGTTTCATTAGAAAAATTTTTAGTCAACACTAAATTATTACATCAGTTAAATAATTCCAAAAATCAAATCAAATATATTAATTAAATTCCTTTAAGTATCATATTCTTTTAAGCATAATTTAAGCAATAATAGCACAACTAATAAATATTATAATGAATAAAATTTAGTAAATAAACAGAAATTCCTAGATTTTTAATTAAATTAATATCTAATATTATTCTCGTTTGTTAAAAGGATTATTCGAAGCATTTTCCTATACCTATATTTTACACGGTTTTTAACATACGCATAAAGTCTAGCAGAAATAAGGTAATTTAAAAACAAATGCCATTTAGAAATCAATCTCATTTGTAATAATAGTAATAATAATAATAATAATAATAATAATAATAATACATTTGTACATTAGTCCAACAGTTCAGGGTTAATTAATATTTGTATTGTACATTATGTACTGTGTTATTTTTTATTCTAAATTACCAGGTAATTAAAGAGAGATATAAATGCAAAAAGTACAATAAAAAATTGCTAATCAATGACTTACGCAATTTTTTCTTTGCCTTTATGAGTAATTGCGATATCGGTTGCTTTAGATCGAGAGATCTTATTTTTCGAAAAATTGATGAATTTTACTCATTATAATTTTCATTGTACATTAATAGGATTATTTAGCGAGTTTCTCTTCGATTTGAACGAATAACTATAAAGAAAGTAAATAAAAAACGTACCAACTAAAATCGCGAATATGACTCATAAAATGTACGATAAATTACGAAGGAGAAATAATGTCATCTCGTTATTATTTCGAAACGCAATTACGACAGACATTATTTAAATTAAATTCTCGAGCGAATACAGATAAAAAAAAACTCACCTTATTTATCACACTTAGAAAAACTACCAAACCAAAACAAAATTCCAATGTCTTGATTACACCGAATCTTTCCTTCGTCGAAAACATTTTCTCGTCGATTTCCTCGCACTCGGTACAACACTCTTATCGATATTTTGCTCGTTTTATATTCTTTATACTTTTTTAAATCGTTCCGAAGCGATTGAAGTTAAGCATTATACCGCGTATGAATTATTTTCCAGACTAAAACATAACGAAATGTCACCTCAATTCGCTGGCGCTGGAAAAAGTGAAATGGTCGAGTTCGAGTTTGCGCAAACTCGACCGTCACCTCACCTACTGTCAAATACGTCAGTCTATAAGCGCGTCTGTGATTGGTCGAATGAATATCGAATGGATTTTTCGAGGCATTCTATTGGTCGCATTCGGAGCCAATCGGACTGCTTGATTTCGACCCGGTAAATTTGAATTTACATTTTATTTACGGTAATCTGGCGTTAAATAACGAGTATTTCAAATCGAATTTAGAATATTTACAATGAGTAAGACGTAAGTATTGTATAAATAACGTATATTAAAATGAGCTGACCGGATGCGGTATTTTGCAAAAGGCCAACTGACCAACAAAAAAGAAGAATTTCATCTTGTTTACATTTTCGGTTTTTCAAAACTAACAATAACAGTAGAGTAAGCAATAAATTTGTTTCGCTTTTATTCGGTTAAAATGTAAGTAAATAATCCTCTCGATTATCTTTATAGTGACAATTAATTTATCACAGGTCGAGCACGAGCACGCTGGTGAAATGCCCATTTAATAACAAACATATAATGCCAAAAGGGTCCCTGCAGAGGCACATAATCAAATGTATGACGAACTATCCACACTTCGTGACCTGTCCTCACAACGCCCTTCATCGTTTTCCCGATAAGGAGGCTCTGGCCAAACACGTGGCAATCTGCGATTCTCAATCAAAATCTTTTCTGTTTCACGAGATCGAAGGTTCAATTACGACCGATGTGCATATCGAGAATATCGAAGAGTTTAATTTGGAGTTTGAAAATTGGGATAAATAACGTGTTGTTTTTCTTACCTAATTATTAATGACCTTTAAATGTTAAGTATATCGCGTGTTGTATTCGGTATTTTACAATAAACTTTCTGTTAAGTAGTTACTAATTTTCTCACATTTTCTTTCACAATTCCTAAGCTACTTGAAAGCTAGAAAACAGTACTATTTATAATTCCTTTCGGGTACTGTAGCGATGTAAGTTTATGTTAATTTTAAATTTAATTCGGTTTATTATCAAAAAAAATACAAAAAAATTATTCAAACTCTGTACAGTGAATCCAATGAATAAATAAAACGATTGTGATTTTCTCTCATTAGGTACTTTATTCGCGCTATTTATTCGAGTTTTTTTGGGCCGGAATTTGATATTCGGAGGTGGATAAGTTTTGTAATACCACAAACAAACGTCGTGTTTGAATTTTTTTCCTACCCTGCAAGATTAAATATAATAAATTATAAAACAAAAAAAACTGTTTTGAAGCCCATACAATAGCATATCTTTCTTTCTCCAACAAGGATTGTCTCTGACGGATTGTCTCTGGGCGGTTCCTCAACGAGGGATTCCATCGGAAATTTCTTCTTTTTTTTATGATCTCGTCGGTCTTCTCCAGCAACCAATAGGGCGCCCGTTCGATGCAGGGCCATATGTAAATCTCTGGCGGTTTCTTCGCTCTCTCCCATTCCGCTAATTTCCCGTAATAGTATTCGAAATCCAGTTCATCTTTCTTCACTTTCTTCTCGAATTTCTCATGTCTCAAGGCTTTACCGCAGGACATTTCGTACTGGCACGAACGAACGGTTGAAGATTTTTTTCTGTGTATAAAAGCGAATGGGGATGAATCGAAGCGATGGATTTCAATCGAATGTACCTTTATACATGAATCTGGGATCGTAACTGGGCGATTTAACATTCTACCGTTTGTACATGTCGTGTATTGGAAAAGTCGTGTATTTGCCCTGCGTGGTGACCCAGGAATATTTCTCGTTAAACATGAATTTCTTAAGGATCTTGAATAGAAAAGTGTTGAAGGTGAGCAGCGGTGGTCAACATATTGTTAATTTAGCAGTTGAAGAATGATAACAACAATCACGGTGACTCGTAGGATATTTTTTTTCTTCTCTTTTAAAGGAGGAACCGACATTATTATTTTTAGATTGCTAATTTGATTAATGGCATGCGTTTAATTTAATTGGCGACGTTCAGATGGAAAAATTCGAATGTTGTAGTAGTAGCCCGATTTGTTGTTTTTCTCTTTCTAAAACAATCTAAAAATAATAATGTCAGTTCCTCCTTTAAAAGAGAAGAAAAAAAATATCCTAGGAGTCACCGTGATTGTTGTTATCATTATCAACGGCTAAAATAACAGTATATTGACCACCGCTACTCACCTTTAACAATGCCTTGCTCTTTATTGAATTGGGCAATTCGCAATCGTCCTCCTAACCGGTATCCAATTGTCCATTTCATACCCATACCCCAACTGTACAATTCACCTATAGCGAAAACACCATTTATTTTACTTGAATTTTTCATAGTAAATTGGTCTCTTACCTGCGTCGGTTACAGCGAACAAAGTGGCCAAAACCGCAGGCCACATTTACCACATTCCTATCGTCCAAATACCGCAATTTTTTTAATTGGACAGCATCTTCGCAATCTTTGCCTAATCCCAAACGTCGGTATTCTTTTCTATCTATCACGTACATCCGTCCGTCCGAATCCAAACACACTGTATGATGATGACCGTTCGTTATCGCTCGATAACGTCGGCGTAAAGTACGGAGTCAATTGCTTCAAACCTATGAAATAAAATAGTTTTAGATATGAGATATTTATAAGTATAATTTATTTACCTATTTGATTGTAATTATTCCATCTGCACCGTTAAGCCGGAAACCATTAGGCTGTGTTGAGGTTAAGTTCAATTGACGTTGACAGTTGAATTGACGTTGACAGTTGAATTGACGTTGACAGATGAATTGACGTTGACAGTTGAATTCTTCTGGTTTTGTCACGCGTGGCCTTTGCCAACGGAGCTATCCGGTCACTTTTTTGGTAAGCAAATACCTTACATAAAAAGGCCAGAAAAAAAATTGATGGTCGAATCGTGTTACTTATAGTTAAATTCAGCTAAGTTGAATACACCACGTGTTCGCGCACAACATCATAAAAGAGGCTGAGCTCAGCCGATGTTTTCGATGTAAATAACAAATAATGAATTACAAATAAACCCCAACTCGACCTTCGCTGTTATCGGGTATACTGTGGATGGTTCGACGGTCATACTTTTGAGGTAAAACCACGCCTATCTCTTTAGTTTCGTCTGTGCGCATTTTTACAGCTGTATTCAACTGACCTGAATTTTACTATACGTAATATGCATCTAGTAATATATCACCAGAATCTAGTAATAAATCACCAGTATCTAGTAATAAATCACCAGAATCTAGTGATATATCAGCAGAATCTAGTAATAAATCACAAGAATCTAGTGATATATGACCAGAATCTAGTAATAAACCACCAGAATCTAGTAATAAATCACCAGAATCTAGTAATATATCACCAGAATCTAGTAATCAATCACCAGAATCTAGTAATAAATCACCAGAATCTAGTAATATATCACCAGAATCTAGTAATAAATCACCAGAATTTAGTAATAAATCACCAGAATCTAGTAATAAATCACCAGAATCTAGTGATATATCACCAGAATCTAGTAATAAATCACCAGAATCTAGTGATATATGACCAGAATCTAGTAATAAATCATCAGAATCTAGCGATATATCACCAGAATCCACTGATATATCACCAGAATCTAGTGATATATCACCAGAATCTAGTAATAAATCACCAGTATCTAGTAATAAATCACCAGAATCTAGTGATATATCAGCAGAATCTAGTAATAAATCACAAGAATCTAGTGATATATGACCAGAATCTAGTAAAAACCACCAGAATCTAGTAATAAATCACCAGAATCTAGTAATATATCACCAGAATCTAGTAATAAATCACCAGAATCTAGTAATAAATCACCAGAATCTAGTAATAAATCACCAGAATCTAGTAATAAATCACCAGAATTTAGTAATAAATCACCAGAATCTAGTAATAAATCACCAGAATCTAGTGATATATCACCAGAATCTAGTAATAAATCACCAGAATCTAGTGATATATGACCAGAATCTAGTAATAAATCATCAGAATCTAGCGATATATCACCAGAATCCACTGATATATCACCAGAATCTAGTGATATATCACCAGAATCTAGTAATAAATCACCAGAATCTAGTAATAAATCACCAGAATCTAGTGATATATCACCAGAATCTAGTAATAAATCACCAGAATCTAGTGATATATCACCAGAATCTAGTAATAAATCACCAGAATCTAGTGATATATGACCAGAATCTAGTAATAAACCACCAGAATCTAGTAATAAATCACCAGAATCTAGTGATAAATCACCAGAATTTAGTAAAAAATCACCAGAATTTAGTAAAAAATCACCAGAATTTAGTAAAAAATCACCAGAATCTAGTGATATATCACCAGAATCTAGTAATAAATCACCAGAATCTAGTGATAAATCACCAGAATCTAGTAATAAATCATCAGAATCTAGCGATATATCACCAGAATCTAGTAATAAATCACCAGAATCTAGTGATATATGACCAGAATCTAGTAATAAATCACCAGAATCTAGTGATATATCACCAGAATCTAGTAATAAATCACCAGTATCTAGTAATAAATCACCAGAATCTAGTGATATATCACCAGAATCTAGTAATAAATCACAAGAATCTAGTGATATATGACCAGAATCTAGTAATAAACCACCAGAATCTAGTAATAAATCACCAGAATCTAGTAATAAATCACCAGAATCTAGTAATAAATCACCAGAAGCTAGTGATATATCACCAGAATCTAGTAATATATCACCAGAATTTAGTAAAAAATCACCAGAATCTAGTGATAAATTACCAGAATTTAGTAAAAAATCACCAGAATCTAGTGATAAATCACCAGAATTTAGTAAAAAATCACCAGAATCTAGTGATAAATCACCAGAATCTAGTAATAAATCACCAGAATCTAGTGATAAATCACCAGAATTTAGTAAAAAATCACCAGAATCTAGTGATAAATCACCAGAATCTAGTAATATATCACCAGAATCTAGTGATAAATCACCAGAATTTAGAAAAAAATCACCAGAATCTAGTGATAAATCAAAAGAATCTAGTAATATATCACCAGAATCTAGTAATAAATCACCAGAATCTAGTGATATATGACCAGAATCTAGTAATAAATCATCAGAATCTAGCGATATATCACCAGAATCCACTGATATATCACCAGAATCTAGTGATATATCACCAGAATCTAGTAATAAATCACCAGAATCTAGTAATAAATCACCAGAATCTAGTGATAAATCACCAGAATCTAGTAATATATCACCAGAATCTAGTAATAAATCACCAGAATCTAGTGATATATGACCAGAATCTAGTAATAAATCATCAGAATCTAGCGATATATCACCAGAATCCACTGATATATCACCAGAATCTAGTGATATATCACCAGAATCTAGTAATAAATCACCAGAATCTAGTAATAAATCACCAGAATCTAGTGATATATCACCAGAATCTAGTAATAAATCACCAGAATCTAGTGATATATCACCAGAATCTAGTAATAAATCACCAGTATCTAGTAATAAATCACCAGAATCTAGTGATATATCACCAGAATCTAGTAATAAATCACAAGAATCTAGTGATATATGACCAGAATCTAGTAATAAACCACCAGAATCTAGTAATAAATCACCAGAATCTAGTAATAAATCACCAGAATCTAGTAAAAAATCACCAGAATTTAGTAATAAATCACCAGAATCTAGTAAAAAATCACCAGAATTTAGTAATAAATCACCAGAATCTAGTAATAAATCACCAGAATCTAGTGATATATCACCAGAATCTAGTAATAAATCACAAGAATCTAGTGATATATGACCAGAATCTAGTAATAAACCACCAGAATCTAGTAATAAATCACCAGAATCTAGTAATAAATCACCAGAATCTAGTAATAAATCACCAGAAGCTAGTGATATATCACCAGAATCTAGTAATATATCACCAGAATTTAGTAAAAAATCACCAGAATCTAGTGATAAATTACCAGAATTTAGTAAAAAATCACCAGAATCTAGTGATAAATCACCAGAATTTAGTAAAAAATCACCAGAATCTAGTGATAAATCACCAGAATCTAGTAATAAATCACCAGAATCTAGTGATAAATCACCAGAATTTAGTAAAAAATCACCAGAATCTAGTGATAAATCACCAGAATCTAGTAATATATCACCAGAATCTAGTGATAAATCACCAGAATTTAGTAAAAAATCACCAGAATCTAGTGATAAATCACCAGAATCTAGTAATATATCACCAGAATCTAGTAATAAATCACCAGAATCTAGTGATATATGACCAGAATCTAGTAATAAATCACCAGAATCTAGTGATATATCACCAGAATCTAGTGATATATCACCAGAATCTAGTGATATATCACCAGAATCTAGTAATAAATCACCAGAATCTAATGATCACCAGAATCTAGTGATATCTCACCAGAATCTAGTGATATCTCACCAGAATTTAGTGATATATCACCAGAATTTAGTAGTATATCACCAGAATCTAGTGATATATCACCAGAATTTAGTGATATATCACCAGAATCTAGTGATCACCAGAATCTAGTGATCACCAGAATCTAGTAATAAATCACCAGCATCTTGTGATATATCACCAGAATTTAGTAGTATATCACCAGAATATAGTGATATATCACCAGAATTTAGTGATCACCAGAATCTAGTGATCACCAGAATCTAGTAATATCACCAGAATCTAGTAATATATCACCAGAATCTAATAATATATCACCAGAATCTAGTAATATGTCACCAGAATTTAGTAATATATCACCAGAATTTAGTAGTATATCACCAGAATATAGTGATATATCACCAGAATTTAGTAGTATATCACCAGAATATAGTGATATATCACCAGAATTTAGTAGTATATCACCAGAATCTAGTGATATATCACCAGAATTTAGTAGTATATCACCAGAATATAGTGATATATCACCAGAATTTAGTGATCACCAGAATCTAGTGATATATCACCAGAATCTAGTGATCACCAGAATCTAGTGATCACCAGAATCTAGTAATATCACCAGAATCTAGTAATATATCACCAGAATCTAATAATATATCACCAGAATCTAGTAATATGTCACCAGAATTTAGTAATATATCACCAGAATTTAGTAATAGTAGTAGTAGTTTAGTAATAGAGCGATGTGACGTCACACGCGCTGGCACGGCGGCCGGCCGGGAATTCTTTTTTTTGCTATAACTTTTGAACGGGTTAAGATATCGTTATCGGGTTTGTTTTGTTAGTTAAATGAAACTTGAATTAATAGTTTTGAAAGAATAATTTTTTTTCGAAAACCCTATAGTTTCCGAGTAAACGGAGTGTATTTATTTAAAATTTTAATTCCGGTAAAATTTCATTTCCCTATAACATGGTGAAATGACTTTTTGAAGAAATGCCATTTGCGTGCAAAAATGGCAAAAAAATTAAAGAATTTGTGGTAAAAGTTTGAAAAAAATCGTTGGCGTAGTTTCGGAGATATCGACCGAAAATTCCAAAAAAGGCGTAATTTTCACAAAAATCCGGCTCGATATTTCGATAGATATCGTCGAGTTACGTAGGATAGAATTTTTTTCCGATTTTTTCGTACGCTAATAAAGCCGTAAAAAAAACACGCCA